TCAATTTTCTCTAAATTACCCCTATACATACTCCCTCAACCATAATCAAGTAAAAGAGGAGATGAGGTATTAAGAAATAATTATGGTGTTTTAGGAAAATGTGTCACATTTCTTATAATTAACTAACTTACCTAACTTCCTTAATCTAATCAAATTAGTTAAATGGGTCTTATATTAAGAATCGGAGAAGTATTGTCTTTCATAAAATATCCTTGCTAATCAAGTTTATTGACTACAACTATCATTATTAGAAGAACTATCTTAAAATAAATAAATAAATATGGAAGAAAAATATATTTGGGTCTTGTACTTAGAGTCAAAATGAAAGTCAAACGAGATCTTATATCAAAGACCGGAGATAATACTATAATTATGTTTTGAAACTCTATTTAATTTTTGTATAGGCTGTTAGCATTTATTTCCTTTAAGAAGACAGAAAAAAGAGTTGGCAGATAGAGGAGGCCTGAATATGGTAGATAGAGAATTCAATCAAGTTGAACAAATTGCCTCATGAGAGATTCTTTAGTTTATAATAACGCAGAGGAAAATGATCTACCTGCAGAACATAGTTAATGATAGTAACGAGAGTGAATAACCTGGTGGATGCAGTTTTGAAACAAATTTGAATCTTCAACCTGAATAATCCCATTGAACCAAACGTACAACTCTCAGTGATATAAAGCCTGTTCTTTTTCTTTTTCTTTTTTCTTTAGTGATATTGCGAGATACATAGATTTTCAAGAGTGAAATTAATTGCGTTAAGAATAGTCAAAACCAAAATAAAGAATCCCAACAGGAAAAAAAAGTACCAGTGGCATATACATAATGTTATAAACAACCAAGCAGATCTAAGTCATAAATTGGAATACCCTACCGATGAAACTATTGAATTGAATTCTCAACCTCCCCTCATTGAAATGCATGCAAAGCATTTAGTTGCATAGCTGCAGATTTAGCCTCTAAATATGGGTGTCACTGGGGAGAGAGAAATAAAGGGGCTATCAATATGATGCTTCTGCTTTGATTACCCAAACGGATCAGAGCGAAGCATTCAAACGCCATTAACGAATCCATTTAACTCATCAGAAACTTCTCAGCAAAATCAAATGCCTCTGCAGTGAATTCAATTAACCCACCATTGAATTTCCTTCTGCTCTACTAGTAATTTTTAAATCTGGCACCCATTTCTTCTTCGTAATTTCTGCTGCACAAGCAAACCACCGCGGAAAATTGGTCTTTAATGAGGGGCTGTGTTTTATCGTCATCATTATTATTATAGCAACCTCAAGTAAAATCAATTGCACTTCTCAATAAGGGATCTTTCAATGCATCCATTAAAAACACAGTAAGCACCCCGCAGAGTTGCCAAGATCCATCCTTTCACGTGATAGCAGAGCCTTCCACTTTTCAGGTATTATTGGACGATTTCGAGGTTGCTCGTACATGCTTAGGAGGACAACGATTTAATGTTTTATGGATACTGCATAGTACTACGAATGACTTTAAAGATTCGGAGTATTAATATCATTCAGTATATCTATGTAAATATAGAAAGATTCCATAGTTTACAAGTTATGAATAATGCAACATACATCAGATTTTATATAAATACAAGGAGCTCTCTCTATGTATATGCATTACAAATGCAATCTCCCTTACAGCTTAACTATGCAATTAGTTTATCAAACGTATTCTAAGATTGTCACCTTATCCTGTTTAGCATTCTGATATGCAATTATTCTTTTTACAGGTGAAATCTGCCAGTCAAACTTTTCTCATTCTTAAATCCTTGAGTGACTACAGCACTCTGCCTTTTGGGTTGTGAGTCATGACTGCATCAGAGGAAGGGGATAACACAGGACATGCCACCCCCAAAAATGAAGGAAAAAAACACAGGACATGCTATCCTATTAGAAAATGCTCGGGACACAAATAAAATGGGATTTGGAGAAGTTTATGCAAAATTAATTACCCATTTTGCGGGCATCAACATTGAAATATCTCTGGAATATAAGTTTACAAATAATTATAGTTGGAATAAAATTCCATATGTGAGGCCATACATGTAAATCTTAAAAATGTGTGGCGATTTAGTAAAGCTTAAACAAAATGGTCTATTCTTGGCAAAAAAAAAAAAATGGTCTATTCAGAATCAAGATTTTAGAGCTTTGGGGTATATTTGTCATAGAATTCGTGATTAAAAAGATCATTGTGGTATTTTCAATTTTGTTGGGGGCCAAATTATAAATATTACAATTCTATGCCTTGATTAGGAAGAAACCAATTGCATCAACATGTCAAGTGCAAAATTAATTACCCATTTTTGGGGCATCAACATTGAAATATCTCTGGAAATAAGTTTACAAATAATTATAGTTGGAATAAAATTCCATATGTGAGGCATACATGTAAATCTTAAAAATGTGTGGCGATTTAGTAAAGCTTAAATAAATGGTCTATTCTTGGCAAAAAAAAAAAAAAATGGTCTATTCAGAATCAAGATTTTAGAGCTTTGGGGTATATTTGTCATAGAATTCGTGATTATTAAAAAGATCATTGTGGTATTTTCAATTTGTTGTGGGGCCAAATTATAAATATTACAATTCTATGCCTTGATTAGGAAGAACCAATTGCATCAACATGTCAAGTGTACTTCATAGATATGAAGCTGAGCATGCATTTGAGGAGGATGATCCCATATTTTATAGTCCGTTGGTGAAAATGAGTCACCGATATCACCAATGTTGAAGTGGAAGGACATTGTGACAGTTCTATTAAATTTTTCAAGTATTGGAAGAATGAAGAGGTAGAGCAACTATTAATGATAATCAATTCGGGTGATGAAGATGCAGGCTAACAGTTAAGGGAGTCCATCACCGGGCATGAGAAAGGAATTAAGGAAGGAAGTGACGGGAAGGAGCTTTCCATGAGAATTACTTTTGATTTTGATGTAAGTGGAATAAGATGTGGAAGTGCACATGCTTGTGTCTGTCCTTAGGGACTGTCAACCAGTAAACTCACTGGTATAATTGCATTTTGCTTCCGTAAGCAAATGTACAGGAGGTCTGTATGGAAGTGGAAAGCTTAAAAAATACACGCAACTTGCAAAACTCTGCATCTGATGTAGAACTATACTTGATTCATTTAATCGCCTCAGAAGGATCCCTAGTTTATCTTAAACTGGAAGGTGATCTCAGTGAGAAAATAGACAGCGACCTAATGAGGATTACAATGAAACCATCCATATAAGCTTCGAGCTGCTTGAAACAAGGTTGGGCTCAGGCCTCCTTGCGCTACCCCAAAATAAAGTTCTGCAGGCGTTATGCAGGTATCTCAAAAGCGAACATGAAAAATTTTATCCAAGAAAAAAAAAAAAAAGGAACATGAAATCGACCAAAATAAGATAAGGACAAGACAAGAACAACGAGAATACAAGAAACAAGGAAAAGCGCAAGAATTCATGTGTCTAATGAAAAATTGTATTAGCTGTGTTTGTGTGCGTCACAAAGCTCTGCGCAAATCTTCAGAGAACTTTTCCAAATACCTTTAACAGGACAATAATTAACTCGTGTTTGGACCACCCACCGATCTCCCTCCCAACGAAAATCCTTGTTTTAACTCATCTCGATGATGGCATAGATGGCAAATTATCAGTACCGCACTATAAGACACACGAAAATTGAAACCGAGATCACTAATCTCCGAAAACCTTCCTCTCGCAAGAGAATAATCCACACATTGGTGAAATAAAAGCAAGCTTGGCATTTTCTACGGAGCAAACTGATTCACCTTTGCTACCTCAGTCATAAAAACTCGCATCTTGGAATTTGCAGGGTGTGCGGCTAATCACATTCCCGGCCTGTGCTTGAATTTTGACAACAGGAACAATGAGTCAAAGGCCTCGTCTAGTCATACCATTCGCAGACAGTGCACTCACCATATGATAGCCAAATCACTAGCTCTTAACCACTTTAAGATTTCATAGAGAGATATGTAGGGATTCTGTTCCGATTGCAGCTTTCAACGTGCTCATTTTTTTTTTTTGGTGATACAGCTTTCAACACGTTCTGCTCAACGGATTCTTACCATAAATCACATTAGCATCGCCGCAGTGGTCGACATGTTTCTGAAGGTCGCAACATGCTTCAAGCATGCCTAAGCTCAAAGTGCGTTGTCTATCTCCTATCTGTGACCAAGCTCCTTGGAAGCTTCCTGATGCTTCCAGATTCAGGTACTCTTTCCAGACCGATCTTTTATGAGATTATTCATCTGATACACGATGTAACATCTCACAGCTAGACGAAGACACAATTTGGAGGATTTAAATTGTCATTTTGGTTTTAGTATTTAAATCAATGGGATGGATTGTGTGGCTTCTGTCCTGCCTGCGCCACAATGTTCCAACTGCTTTTGGTTTTGGCATCGATCTATCAGAAAACGATTCACGTTTCAAGAAATAAATGAATCGCATCTTCAATTTCAATCCAAACAAATCACATTATAAAAAGAAAAATAAAGCAATTCAATTCTCCAATAGTTGTGTTGCACGACAATAACAATACATCCATTTGTATTAATTTGTTTAGAAAGAACAATGAAATGAAAGGCTGCAGTGGTAGGAAACAGAAAGAAAGGTGAAGTGAAGGTGCGAAGAAGAGGAAAAGGGAGAGGGAGAAACTGGAATAAATCAAACATAAGGGGGAAAAAAATGATTACTACCCACCATATATATAAATCATAAATCATGAGTAATCCTAATATTACTTGAATATAAAACTAAATTTTCAAATATCTAATTCAAATATAAGTAAATTAAGTAAATGTTCTATTTAAATCTTAAAAAAATTCGTTCAACGATCATGGCATTAACCAATCTGTTAGATGAGTATCCGTCCAATCTAGAATTCACGCGTAAACTTAAGAAGCAGGATAATTGTGTCACTTTTAAACCCCAGGATAATATCAACTGTGTATTATAACCTTGAATGGAATACCGGAAGAAAAAAAAAATACAGCTAAATTTATTGAGCACCCAATCAGTGAACTACGGTTAATGGGGGCACCCGATCCAATACCATGGAAAAGAGCCCTAAATAAGCGTGAACGTAAATAAAACAAGGCATTAAGGGGAAAAGTATTGTAGTTCACAAAAACTGATAATAGCCACGGCTAACAAATATCCTTCACTATAAACGCAAAGTACTTTCAAATACCTTACATTAAGTAAACAAACAAAAGCCAAAAAGAACTCGAAACTCAAACCAGGGTGAGCGTCACGAAGCCCTTAGAACCTCCTGCCGGCTCCACCAAAACCACCGCGGCCAAATCCAAAGGATTGCTGCACGGGAACGGGATCAACTTGAACAACCCCTGGAATCTCGCTCATGCCGAGAGCGCTGAGCATATCAAGAGTCTCCTTATCGACCTCAATGTGATCCGTCTTTATCGCAGAAACGTCGGGCACGAAATCCATTCTGCGCTCGCGCTCCTCCTCCTGAAGCTTAAGGGAGATGCCCCGAACGGGACCCTTCTGGATCCTCTTCATCAGGTGGGTGGAGAATCCCGCAATCTTATTGCGGAGCCTCTTGGAGGGAATGAGAGCCACCTCCTCTAGGATTTTCTTGTTCGTGTGAAAATCAAGGGTCATTCGAGAGTAGTACTTCTCTATCACTTGGCGCGAAGACTTCTTCACGGTCTTGGTTCGTACGCGCCCCATAGTGAATCAGAGAGAGAGCGAGGCACTGCTTGCTCGGTGATCGCAGGGGCAAATAGGCAGAGCGGCACTGATCCGCCAACGAACGACTCTATCTTGGCAACGATTAGGGTTTTTAGGTGTCTTATAGGAAACCAGCAAGATAAGGTGGCGTTGGAGACTAGCTTCGACCAATAAACAAAATATTTGGGCCTTGGCTCACAGAAGTGGGCCCATTGTATTTATCTTACTTCATACGCTATCAGTAAAACTAATGATCCAGGTCGCGACTCGCAACCAAATGTTCTTTTTATCAATACCCAAAATAAAATGTTCTTTATATCAACGGACTACAGCCCAGCAAAACAAAGCAAACATGGTGTTTAATTTCGCTTTAGTTTTTTTTTTTCCCGATAGGAATAAATATCTTCTTATTAGAAATAATCTTATTCAAAACACTATTGAGTATTAAATATAGACAGATCTTCTGATATAAATTTAAACTTTAATTTACCACAACTATCCCTTCCTTAAGCTCAAGTCCCCCATGATAATTTTGCATTGATTTTTTTTTTTGGCTAAAGTATAGGTTTCCTCCTATTGGAAGCAATCCTATTCGAGGCACTGTCAGACATTGAGTATTAAATATAGACAGATCTTCTGATATAAATTTAAACTTTAATTTACCACAACTATCCCTTCCTTTAAGCTCAAGTCCCATGATAATTTTGCATTGATTTTTTTTTTTGGCTAAAGTATAGGTTTCCTCCTATTGGAAGCAATCCTATTCGAGGCACTGTCAGGCACTAAATGTAGCACCTCTCCTGATGGGGATTTGAACTTTGGTTTGTCACGTTTGTGAGGAACTAGTCCTTTCTACTAGATCCAATCCCCAGGCACTGAATTTTTTCCCTGAGCTTCCTTGGCGATGGAGGGGATATGGACTGGGTCACAGAAGGGCCCAGGTCATCTTAATAAGTGCAATGACCCGTTTACCAGATATGGACTGGGCCACAGATGTGTAATTTCGCGATGTGTTTGCCGATACCGCTGGCTCCTCCGTTGGCATCGCTATTTGCTGCGACGGACATGGAGACGACAAAGAGATGCATTCCGCTCTCTCTCACGAAGTGGAAAAGAAATATCTATCAAAGTTGTAGGCTTCCTGACATTTGAAGCAATTAAAGCCAACCTTCCTTTCATAATATGCTGAGTGTTATGGATCGTCAGCTTTTCTATTTCTTTCTTTCTTTCTCAATCAACATAACTTGTCATTAAGTGACAAGTACAAATATACACTAACAGATCTAAAAGCCCAGTGCACAGAACTGATACAGGAACATCCACAAAAACATCATAGAAGAAAACCATTGACAGTGAAGGCTTCAACACAATCATCGGCTTTTCGAAATCAAATTTATCTGGGGTAAAATTTGGGAAGTGGATATTTGGATAGAAAAACGTAGATCAGTAAGGAGCATACTTTTATTCTTTTTTTAAAGATTAAACTAACTCCCTAAACTTAAGCATTTATGAAGTAAATAAGAATAAGTACACAGGAAGGTGTTGAATTGTACGTGTACCAGATTTTTTTCCCCTTTAAATATTTTTTTCTTATTATCTCTTTTTTATTTTAATGATATGCATACTTTGAAAAGTTTTAATAATACTAAGAAATTCAAATAATCTAAATCTTCATACCATTTCCAGAGAGAGGAGATCCATACATACAGATTGCAAAGTGCCGGTGTGGGATCACTTTCAAGACCCAATTATTAACAGATATTTGGTGCCAAATATTGGCTTTTCTGCTTCAATATATATTTGGTTCCATTATTAACAGCCGGCTCCCTTGACGCGTGTGCTACCCATATCCTTGGGCAGATCTCACACATCAATGGCAATACAGTGAAAAACAAAAATTACAGGCCAAAGTCCTTATTAGCTTCTCAATATAATGCCCTGTGATTCAAATAATTAAGCAGTGGACAGATATAAAGCACAAGGGACTAGTGTGACCGCCATTGGAGGCTAGATATTAAGACGCGGCAGGGTACTGAAACATGTGAAAGGAGGGATTAACAATACTGAAGCCGCCATCGATGAGCAAATTATGGCCACTCACATACTTAGATTCATCACTAGCCATATAGAGCGCTGCATTGGCCACATCGTCAACCTTAAGGGTCACGCCCTTCAGATTAGCAAGCGCGTTCATCGCATTCTCAAGCTCTTCATCGTTGACCCCAACAAAACTTGGTCGCTAATGGTGTGTGGCCATGGCGTAAGGCGATAAACAGTTCACCCTTATCCCAAACTGCCCTAACTCTACTGCTGCGTTCTTAGTGAGCCCAACCACTGCATGCTTGGCGCAGCAGTACGCATGGGAAGCAGCCCCTCCCACGTACGAGCTTATGCTCGCCGTCGATATTATGCTCCCGGCACGAGCTGGAATCATGGCCTGCGCCGCGTGCTTGATTCCCAGGAAGACACCGGTGACGTTCACGCTCAGTACGCGCTCGAAGTCAGCCTTCTCGTTGTCTATGATTCGGGACTTGTTGGGATCCACTATGCCTGCGTTGTTGAACATGATGTCTAATTTGCCGAAGGTTTTGACCGCCGTGTCCACGGCGTTTTTGACTTGGGCCTCGTCAGTGACGTCGCAGTGGACGTATAGGCAGTCGGATGGGCCTTTGGACTGGGTCACGGACAGGCCCAAGTCATCTTGAATGTCAGCGATCACCACCTTGGCTCCATGCTCGGCGAACACTTCAGCGGTGCGTTTGCCGATCCCGCTGGCTCCTCCGGTTATAAGGGCTACTTTCCCTTCCAGCCTGCATAAAATGCATGCTTAGCTGCTTACCTCTCGATTGATTCATAAAAGAAGACATGATTTTTTTTTTTGACCAGCAAAAGAAGACATGATTATTAGTTTAGATAGTTCGTATTTTATATGTTTCTTCAGTAAATATAAAAAATAGGTAGGAGATTTGTTTTAATCATAAAAACAAAAATTCAATCTATTTTATCTCATAAATTTATGATATTTTCCCCAAACATATTAAGAGAGCAATAGTTAAAAAGTATGTTTTAGATAACTCGAAAATCAATACAGGTAGTACGCGTTATACAGAGAGACACAAAGGCATAAACATATATACCTTCTGTGACAGCGGAGAGTGAAGAAGCGACCGCCATTGCGTGGGATCTGGAGAAAAGAGGGACCCGACCTGTTCTCTAGAAAAAAAAGAGGCAAGATCAATGCATGGTGACGAAAACTAAGCCAGTCTGCTTATGTATTTAAAACAATTCTGATCTCACGGGGCTCGGAAACCCGTACCTTAAATTTGAGTTTATATTGGGATAGCTATGGTGTCATGTTCTGTTCTCTAATACAGACAACCATTAAGTTACGAGGTCGGCTTACTTCATCTTCGGTTTTGTGGATAAATTAGTGTATTTAAATTTACTGGCAGCTAATGAAATGCGGAGTCCCCCCGTCCGAGGCCAGCGCGAGGGCGTGGTGGTTGTTGTCGTTATGTAACTTTCTTTGATGCTTATGTCGGCTTTCTTTTTTAAAGTAACAACTCACAAATCACAATTTAATAATTGATGGGGGATATAAGGCCAGAGGGGGAGACCGCAGCGGACTAAGGAATAATCAAAATGGAATCAAAGCCGGGCGGGATCATAATATACACATCTATGTTTTGTGACAGATAGTAAATAGATATATTTATATATATCCACCCGAGATAATCACAGACGAATTACCCTCTGCTATCAATAAGTACATATAGCGATGCGACAGATAAACATCGAAATTTTGTCGTGAGATCTCTAACAGTGTCATCTAAATTCTGACAGACACTCCCACTACCGGTACGCAATTCCTAGTTTAGTATACAAGTGATAGTAAAACTGGGACGGACCCCCATCGAGCGACACTTCAGCCGGAGAGGCGCAAACAATGGACACAAAAAAACCTACTAGTCGTAATCCAACAAGAGTCGGAACAACTTTTGGTACTTGCCCTCTCTGCCTGCCAATAACTACTCACCGAGAAGGACAGAATGAAATCCGCACATCTCTCTTCCCTGAAGCTTCGACGACAATTTTTAACTTCCACGTTGCACTCAAGTGCCAGACGTCATTACCGGCACATTATCTGATGGCCTTTGCATGTACAGACCAAGCAAGGAGCAGCCAGGGACTGGCCACAACAAGATTCTGCTACACGCATTTTAAGATCTATATTTAAGATTATTTTAGTTCGGTTAGAAAAGGTGAAATACTTATACTCTCACCGATCATCTTTTATATCCAGGAGACACTTGAAAACACTTAAAAAATATTTTTGCATAAGTGGAGATAAAATGTTCTTCAACTTTATGAAATCACCTTTTCTTGTAGATATACATGATAAGTTTATTCGTTTTGAGTTCAACTTTTTAGGGTGGTTGCTTCAACGATCTCTCTCTTCTTCTTTTTCTTGCCATCGGTTGCTCTAACAAGTTATGCAGAAAATTTTATTGAGAAAGAGAATATTTTGCGCTTCTAGATTGAGAGCGGCAAAAATGTCACCTTCTTAAAACTACAGCTTGTAGCATTTGATGGACTTCGTAAAATGATTTTGAGCTTTAGTTGTGATATAACCGATAACTTGTTTGCTTGAGATAAATATTTGCATATCATATTTGGATTGATTCCTGTAGCAAAGCCAAAAGCAAAAGATATGAAGTATGAACTGCATTCAAATTTTGGTATCCGAATCACCCCGGATCACACGGCTTGAATTTGAGCCGAGGAGATGGACGTCATGTACGAAATTGAAGAATTTCTACGCCCATACTCATGACAACAATTCAACTACGTACGTTTCACGTGAAGTAACCTCACGGTGGATGCAGCTAATTAAAGGCAGGTGTTCATATATACTTGATGGCTGCTGATATAAATAATACTCCTCCGGTCCTTATTATAAGAGCCTATTTGACTTTTTATTTGGTCCTAATTATAAGACCCCAATCCATTTTGTCTCTTATATTTATGCATTTTTTTCCAAGATAATCCTTCTAATAATGATAGTTTTAGCCAATATACTTAATTAGCAAGGATATTTTAGGAATGACAACACTTATTTATTATAAATAACCAACTTAACTTACTTCCTTAATCTCCTCAAATAAGTCAATTGGGTCTTATAATTAGGACCGGAGGAGTACTGTATATTTCCATACATATGTTTTGTTTTTGAAAGGGCACTGCTATTCTGATGATAAACTTGTATTCCAACCAGCAGCAGAGGGAAAGGGTGGGGCCCGTGAGAATTTTTAAGGAGGGTGTTTTATCTCCAGAATGCGGAACCTGTGCTGCGAATTCGTGTTTTCCCAGGTTTCCCAATCGGCACCGTCGCTTCTCGATCTAGTCCTATGTTTCCTGGCTACCAAATTTGGAGACCCAATTCATGATAATCTCGGACCAACCTTGCTTCCCCGTCTCAGCAAAACCCAATTTTAGCGGCATCTTATTATTAGCATACTAACTCACTTCAAATTTTTTTATTTTATAAGGTCAATACAATAACAAATAAAAGATCAGACTGTAAAGAATTTAATGATATGATGACTTATAAATGGGATAAAAAAAAATTTACTCCATCTGCCAGCCATGTAAATTGGGGCGGGGGGACTACTATATGCCCGGGATGAGTCAGTTCGTGTTAAGCAGTTGAGTAATACGGCTGTCATGAAGTTGTCATTATGTGCACGTGTCATGAAATGAGTGCTTGGTCAAAGAGTCATAGATCTGAAATGGCTACACAGCACGCGAGCACGATGTGCACAGTGCACACTATCATCGGACGGTCGCCTTTTCTGAATTCTTTTTCAACATTGGGCGACAAGACAACCCTCCGATGAACTTCTCACTTTAGTCTGATACATTTAGGATCGATGTTTATCGCACGTTCACACCAACAAATTACTTCATGAGAAACTGGCCCCTGTAAATCTAAGGTTAATCATCCGTCTCTTTCCCACTTGTCCCGGCCACATTTATTCAACCTCACCTCCTTCTTGTGGGCCATGTATGCGATAGTGTACATGCGTGTGTGTGTGTGGCTTCATACTGTGGACTGGGCCAGGCCCACGAAACTGTGAATGGCTTTGCTCTATCCACAAAGCTATATACCACACACACCTCTCTTTTGGTGGGAGACAAATGCATCGTCTATCACACCACAAACTGCAACTGTTTTCTCCTTATAGCTTCAATTGTTGATTTTTTTTTTGGTGCATGAAGGAATGCATGTGGAGATCTTTGTGGCCCTATCGAATAGTTATCCCCACCAACAGAAGTGAAAGTGGATGTAATGAAGTGGCGCTAGCACGCACCAAGCAATTCCATTATGAGGAGAAGGACATTGTGTTGGAGTTGGAGGGGGATAAGGATGAAGGATGAGGGAAGGCGCAAATATATATCAACTGATGTAATAAATGGTGGTCAAAAGTGTGAATTAGAAAGTGATTTACATATTGGGACGATCACCTCCACAGAACATTGTGCGTGGAAGGAATTATTCGAGTGAGTGGACCCCGCACTTTGATTGACGTCCAGGGGATGCCCAATGTTCCGCCGTTAGTGCACTTCAGCCATTCAAAAATTTGTTTAGATTGACTTATAATAAGTAGTTTTTAAAACGTAATTTACAGAATACGAGATAAATATACGAAGAGAATTTTGTTTTGATTTACGTGAATTTCTTGAAAATTCATTTAAACGGAGCTCTAAACAAGTCTCAAATTGGCATTGACCGCACGTTCAAGTACTTACCATCACAGAACAAAAACATGATAGTTGTTGAGATCCATATTCCATTCAAAATATCGTCTTTGTTTTTTTACTTTTAGAACTAAACTAAAAATATAGAACTATATGTAAAATTTTCTTTAGGAACAAAAAGAATTTTGTATAATTAAAAAAAAAATTACTCCCTGTATGTCTTACAAAATAAAAGGTGATCCAGAGATGATAAGGTGTCCAAAATTAAAGGATGTTCCTTTCGCTCATGTAATGATGAGATTGCACAGATTACAGAGATGGATGGTATATATTCCTCGCATTAATAAGGAGGTAAATGGAATATTGAAATACTTTTTACTGAACAGATCAATCTAATGAGTCCTCTTAATAAGTGTGAAAGGTATCTGAGACAACTTGTACAAGGGATGGAACCGAGGTCATTAAATAGTCTTTCTGCCACCTCACAACATTGGCTAGGCACGGTTACCTGTATTTTGGGTTCAAAATATTTTCAATTGAACCAATTCTTTATATAATACCATTGCTGCTTGCAGGAATTTCTTATGTACTAAGAGGAGTATTAAATAAATAAAATATTTTAATTTTGTCTTTATTAAAGAAATATCAATAGTAGGAAAAAAAGTAATAACTATTCCTTCTCTCTTCATTTTTAATTACTATAATTAATAGAGAAAAACTGAAAACAAGTCATTAAAAGGTATAAATGACAAATAAAAAGAACCAAAATCCCTTCACAAGTGACAAATAATAAGAACCAGAATGGATGGTCTTATCAAAAATTATTATGAAAATATAATACTTATTAAGCAAGCATTTAACGAATAAAAGACATTAAATAATTAAAAAAAATTAAATTTATAGTTTTAAACAATTACACCAGAGTGAATAATATTCAAAAGTATTGCGAGAAAAATTTTTCTGCATAAAACAAGCTAAATTATTTTAGTGCACTACAATACAAAAGTTTTTAAAATTTTATAATAAAACGGGTTAATATAATATCTGGTTCTTTAAATTTGCTTTTATTTTGCTTCCTTCCTCTGGAGATTAATAACTGCAACCAAGTATCATTTTGGAGATATAAATTATTTTTTGCCAATAAAAAGTTAAATTATTAGCTAATATTATTTTCAGTTCTAATTATAAAACTCATTTGTAATCGGTATATAATTAACACCAGAAGGTAGTATATCACAAGCTCACTGCATCATCGGCTGTCCATTGTCCTCCACTCGAAGTCCCCTGAGCTATCTTTCTTCTCGTTTTGCTTTGCTTCCCACACATGGCCAGAAAAACAATGGCCATAGACTTCGATCGAAAACTCTTCTGGATATCTTTGTGCTGCTCGATGTATTTCAGCTCCACATGTGCCTTCTTCACACCCGGATTCCCACATTCACTTTTTCGTCCACAGTGGCGGCTCGCTGATTCTGGCCAAAATACTGGTGGGTTGTACAGAACAGAGTTCTACACTCAAATACTGGATCACTTCGATTTTAATCCCCAGAGTTACCAGACGTTTCAGCAAAGATATCTCATCAACGACACCCACTGGGGAGGTGCCTCCAAGAAAGCTCCCATCTTTGTCTACACAGGAAATGAAGGAGACATCGAATGGTTCGCTCAGAACACAGGCTTCATGTTCGAAACGGCGCCCTATTTCAAAGCCCTTCTTGTTTTCATCGAGGTAAATCCATGACCATGAACAAGGACAGTTAGCTGTCCATAGGCACGGTTTCTTTATCTTTTTCTTCTTTTTTTGCTGGGGGGGGGGTTCATGGTGAATGATTTAGAAAATGAAATGCAGCATAGATTTTATGGGAAATCGATTCCATTTGGGGGAGATAAAGAGAGAGGGAACTGGAATAGCAGTGAAGTTGGATATCTGAGCAGCACACAGGCCTTGGCTGACTATGCCACCCTGATCGTTGATCTCAAGAAGAACCTGTCTGCCACTGACTCCCCTGTTATAGTCTTTGGAGGATCCTATGGAGGAAGTATATCGCCCTGTCTACTTTATCAATTAATTCTTCTTTTTTTCATTTTCATTTTTCTACTTATTTGATTTTTCCTATTCGATCCCCCATATAAATCGAGATCGCAGTGCTGGCGGCTTGGTTCAGGATGAAGTATCCCCACGTCGCCCTTGGAGCCTTAGCATCGTCTGCTCCAATCCTGCAATTTCTGGATCTGGTTTCACCGTACACCTTCAACGATATCATCACACAAGACTTCCGGGTCTCTCTTCTCTCTCTCTCTATATATATATGTGTGTGTGTGCATATCGCAATACATTCAGTATATATATCTCGTGCATCACCACTTACTTGTTGTTGTGATTGCATGAAAACGTTGACATTTAGAGCGAGAGCGAGAACTGTTACAGAGTGCTAAAAGGTTCATGGAAAGAGATAGAAGAGGCGGGTAACAAACCCGGAGGGCTAGACATCCTGCGCAAATCCTTCCGAATATGCAAGTAATTAAGATCGATGTATCCGGTTCTATTTGAGTGTATAATAAGCTAAGCTAAATAATGCGGCCCGGTAATGTATTTTTGTGAGGGTGCAGGAATTATATAAGCTCGGATGCTTTGACAAGTTGGCTTCGGGGGGCACTGATATACACGGCCATGACGGATTATCCCACGCCTTCCAATTTTATGAGCCCATTGCCTGCTTATCCCGTGAAAAAGGTACCGCCCGCTAATCAGGATGAATTAATCTAATTGGCTGATCAGGACTAATCAGTCTAGTGGGATTAGTATATTTGTCACGTGCATGAAAGATCACGTTTAGAGATATTGATAACAGTGAAGATTGAGAGGGGGGGATAAAATTGTGCAGATGTGCGAGGCAATTGACAGTTCAGGAAGCGGGAACGACACGTTTGCCAAACTGTATGCAGCGGCTAATATATTCTACAATTACTCTGGCACTGCCACGTGTTTTGACCTCCAGGATGATTCTGACCCTCATGGTCTCGCCTTATGGCAATGGCAGGTACTGTACACTTCACGCTCCCAATGTTAAATCTTCAATTTCACCCGGGGTGGGAATAATGCATGTGGGTCCAAATATTCTTTTATAAGTAAACTCCTTTTTATTTGCGTGTCGCCAAAACTAGTCCCGTGATAAGGGGGGAAAAAAAACCAGGAATTAACTATAGTTTGTGGTGACGAACAAAATGACTGGATTCTTGAAGATTGGGTCGCATTGCATCACAAAAAGGAACCATTCGTTCAGTTATTGTTTGGACTGGTATCTTGACGATGGCTCCCAATTTGTACGCCCCGTAATATAGCCACTATACTCGAATTTTTTTTTTTTTTGGGGTCAAAGATACTCAAAATCTCAAATGTCCTTTACAGCCACATTCTCTCTTCAATAAGTAGCAAGAGCTAATTTGAAATTTGATGTGAAATGTAGAAGTAGAGTGAGGATGGCTGCTCTATCAAAAAAAAAAAAAAACAAGGAATGATTGTGGCTCCTATACATAAAATATTCTTAAGGTCTTGGCAGCAGTAGTCAGAACGTTATAACAAACTCGTGATTATTTATTCCGATGCTTAAAAAATATTTTAATTATAATTAAAAGATTCATGACTGCCGAGGAACTCTTGCGTTACAAAACAACTACAATGTAAAGAATGGGCCGCTGTGTGTCGGAAACAAAAGACATGCATGTCGTCCACAAACACTGGGCCTCATTCCGGGGCAAGAAGCGTGATGTGTAGAATAGAAGGCCCACTATAGAGAATAATGGAAAATGAAGCGCCCAAATTGCAATGAGGTGCAGGCGTGTACGGAGATGATAATGCCGGAGGGAGGGAGCAGTGAGGGGAGCATATTCCCAGCTTACGAGTGGAAGTACGAGGACAGAGTATCGGCCTGCTCAGCTAACTACGGCGCAGAGCCCAGGCCCCACTGGATCACCACTGAGTTTGGCGGCCCAGTCCGTACTTGCTTCTCAGTTTTTACTTAATTTAATTCCTAGAATTCAATGGCCCTGTTCTAATTCGATACGTGCGCGTGCAGGGCATTGAGAGAGTGCTGAAAAGGTCAGGCGGCAACATTATCTTCTTCAATGGCTTGAGAGACCCCTGGAGTGGTGGAGGGTACCCTTCTTGTTCCCTTTTCTCCTCCTATCTCCATCTTCAGTCTTAGTGTCCTCATTTGTCATTTTAACATGACCAACTTCAATTCATGGTGCAGTGTATTGAAGAATATTTCACAGACTGTGGTGGCCATTGTGGCCAAACAAGGTATGTGTGTGTGTGTGTGTGTGTCTTTATATTGGACCAGCCGCTGTCTTTTTGTTTTTGTTTTTTGGGGGGGAAGGCGAATGCTTTGACTAGTAATGTAATATGTGTGTGGGAGAGCAGGGGCTCATCATGTGGACCTGAGGTTCTCCACGGAGGAAGATCCACAGTGGCTGAAAGATGTGAGGAAGCAAGAGGTGGACATCCTGTCCGGCTGGATCTCTCAGTATTATCAAGACCTAGCCCAGTGACGCAGCATCTTTTCCAGCTTGTTCTCAAACACTGACACGCTCATTTGTATGACGAACTGTGGTAAACACGATTCATTTGGGTCGACACAATAGATAGACAAATAATATATTCTAAATATAAGACATTATAGAATAAGTTTTATATTTATAGCAGGAAAATCATATAAATAAACAAGGCCCTCTTTCTTCCAAGGGAAATGAGTGCGTGGAAATTGGGGGAGCATATCCATCCACAGGGCTGGGTCGTTGTCACCTGGTACACGTGCTGTCCCCAAATCATTTTCACCGGCCTCATTTCATAAGACCGAACCGAGTTACAGAGTCTGAAGAGCCAGCGTGCACCCCCGGCTGTCTTCTCGGGGGCGCCTTCAAAATCTGTTGACGCCTAGTAAAAAATAAAAAAATATAATAAAAGAGGAATCCTAAAGATTTGAGACGGGATGACTCCCGATCAACGTACAATTTAACACGCGTCCCCCGGTGACTGAAATATTTCCATGTACAGCCGTAATTAACGTTGAGCCCAATGGTCCCCTCACACGTGTCTTCCCCTTTCTTAGTTTTAATCACATAAAATTAATTTACAAAAAAACCAAGAACCAGCTGGTTAGCCCGTCGCAATCATCAACTATTCGGGTTTATCTTCACATCTGTTTCCGTGTCAGGATACTAGTAATGTTTATCGTGCAAAAGCTTCAAATGTTAACCTTCGCCTTTAAAAAAAAGATTTTGTCGACAAGCGTGGAAAATTGATTAAAAAAGAATACAAATCGTCCGCACCACTACCCTGTGGGCTTGCCCCACACTCAGGCCCACCTTCTGGCGACCATGTGCCACGTGCTCTTTACTTTGCCTGCTACTTAGCCTCCTCACTTCCCCTCCATGCGTTACTGTTCCCAAGCTATTATGTTTGGAGCTTTTAAATTTAATTTGGATGGTCAACCTTTATTTTATTTTATTTTTTTTAAATAAACAATTTTTCAAAAAAAATGATAATTAATAGATTATCCTTATTTTAGATATTATACTCATTCAAAATAATTATTTAAAAAAATAAATCTGGACTATATAAATCAAATATTTATAGTTCAGATATAATAATTTGGGGTGTGTAATCATTCTCTTGACTGCCAAAACCAGTTCATACTTTGCACCACCCCCCTTATCAAATTGAAATCCCTTTTTTTTTCATTTTGAAAAAATAAGCAGGCGCATATTTCAATATTTTTCTACCCCCATTTGTTGCTTTCTAATTTTTATGAAAATTTGTTACGGATATGCATAAAAAGAAAGGCACATAGAGTAACTCACAAAAAATTAATAATTACGTAAAAATCTCAATGATTAATATATTCTACTCGTATTTAGTGTCATGTTTTCTTAAAGAAACACCCTTGCATGTTCGACTTGTTCTCTTGTGAAGAGACTTTTATGTTGCTTAACAAATACGGTAAATCCGGACGTACGCACGATTCTAACCCCAGTTTTTTCCATTCGCCTCGTTCATGTTCAAAATAAAATTCGCCTTGACAAAAATTACCAGGATGATCATTATATTTATCTGATTTGGATCCAGCTACGTGTGTGTATTCATCCCACAACTGTTGTTCATACAAGAACAGTAACCAGCTCAATCATGTATACGATATGTTACGGACATGCATAAAATTATATAGCATTACTGGACATTTATATACTACTTCTAAGTCTAATTAAAAGAGCTATTTGGCTAATTTGAGGAGATTAAAAAAGTAAGTCGAGTTAGTTATTTATTCTAAATAGGTGTTGTCTTTCATAAAATATTCTTGTTAATTAAGTGTATTGGCTAGAACTATCATTGTTAGAAGGACTACTTTAAAAAAAGATCTTATATTAAGAACTTGAGGTGATATTATGACTTTGTCTTTCTATTATTTTCTGGCGAGCTATTGACTTTTTTTAACTTTATCATCTTTTTTTGGTTAATAGACTTCTGCTTAAGGATTTCAGGGTTGACGATTACGTAACTGTGGTGTTACCAAAGCATACTTTAATCAAAACATCCACATTTTTTACTATAAACGAATCGATATATACAAATTTAAATCACTGTTTATCATTTTATACTCTTTGCTGTGTAGTTTACATATACTTTTTTTATTTTATTTGAGTAATATACATATACTGATATACATATAGATATATAAAAATGATATTCCACACACACACACAACAACAACAACAATTCCTTGAAGACAAAACAAGTAAAAAATTTTTAGGGCACAAAGGAGACATGAGGAGCAGAATCAATATTCTACTTAATTATTAGAAGAACAGATGGAGAATCGTATTTTGTTTGGATTGTTTAATTTTTGCCACTTAAATATTTTGTCTTGAAAAATAAAAAGATAATATGTCAATTGCGAACAAAGCGAACAGAGCAAGGGTAAAAAAAGAGGTGTTTTCAGATAATTATCCCGTGTTCAATAATTGAGAGTGAAATTCTTAACCCAAATCATTTAAATTTATAAAGTTTAAAGCATTCTTGAAATCCTGGCCAAAGAAAAAGGGGGGGGGGGGGAGCAATATTTTGAATCACTTAAAAAAGAGTTAAGAATCACAAACTGTTGCCTCGTGGATATCTATTGAGACCACCGTATGTAACGATGAGAGGCAGGCGGCCTGAAAAAGAGGAAAATTGGCCTCTCCCGCATTTAGATTTTCTTTTTTGGGGTATTTAATTAAAGATCAACTTGGTTGAATTCTATGTATCTTTTGATGTCTATACTATACTCCCATACTCATACTTTAACTGGATTACCCTTCACCTTTTGACTCCACAAAATGACAATTATTTTACGTTCGGGACTTGCGAACCCGTGACCTACATGACCCACATTTTATATGCCGTCCCTGAACCAACATTAGATCATTTTCAATATTTCAAAATATATACTGTGAGAGATATTAATAACAAAATTATTGCAAGTACGAAACCTCAGTAAAAATGCATTATTCGATTGACGACAGATAAATATAGAGGTCAACTCTAACTATAGACCCCAGTTAAAATGAAGTTCTTTAATTAATTTCAAACACTCGACCGTAGTTATGAATCGCTATCTCTACCCTTGCGTACCCAAAGGAATATTACAGGGTCAAATTTTATTTTTTGTAAAAAAAAAAACAGAGACATGCTCATTTAATTTAATGGCATTTCGGTGATGTTAGCCTAGGATTAGTGGTCTTTCCAATCAGCCAAAGCACCTTATAGCATATATCAACAAAATCTATTCCGTGGCAACGGATCAACACCAATTTAAGCCACTCGATCATTAATAATTTACCCCCACACACACGCACATATAAACCTATATATTATAGGGTAATAAATGCGCGCCTTGTAACTTAATAAAATATATGATTCTTAGATTCGACACCATTAATTATGGATAATTATCAAGCCTTTGAATGCCTCCTAATTCAGGCACTTGCGTTCATCGCCTTTTGCCATCTGGCTTGCTTAAATTCACTCCAGCGCTTTTCACCCGCATGTTTACTTTATGGATTTCGCGATAAAAAAATCAACGAAAACTTTCTTATTATTTTTTTTGTGAGTCACACACACACACACCATTAAGCAAGCTTTCCATTTTCGTCGTTACTATCTAATTGATCAAAATCTAGACAGCAAAGCAAGGAGCAGCTAGTTAACTAATTAAACGCAGTGCAAACTCATGGAACTGATGTGACTTTGGGGATGGGATTGGTGATTAGAGCGGGAAGAAAATTGGAAAGGTAAGGCTGAGAATTAAGTCACTAGAGCTGTACGTAGCCGATGAAAAGTCCAACAAATCGGCCAGATTGCATTAATTTTCAAGCGTCTAATACCAAAGCCGTATGATGGTCCATACACAAAGACAAGTAACAATCATCCCTCAAAGTGTATGGACTTTAGGAGTAGGGTCCCCTACACTCGTTTTAAATTAAAGTGGGAGCAACGAAAATGGAAATTTTGTATTGCACGCGGCAATAACTTTATTGAATTTTGGCGTATCATCTTTCTGGTTTTGGTCATTTGGTTTGGTTCGAGCTGTGTCATTCATCCGCCTTTCCCATTATATTTGATGCATATCTCTCCAGCAGACTGAAACTCTTTGTTCTGCTCAGAAAAAAGAATCACGACGCAAACATATAAATTACTAAGTATGCTAATTAATGAAGGTGAAATGATAATTTAAGTTGTGATTTTTTTTTAATTGTTCCTCAACTTTTTGCCAAGTCAAATTTGATTCTTACACAGTAGCTAAACCCTTCTTTTCAGTCCCAACAAAACTTTTTTTGGGGTATCGATTAATGATTAAGGCTCTACATATATAGCCAATTGCCTATAACGTAACATATATAATATCCCTTAACAACAATTTCTTGCAAAATAGCATTGCTTATGTAAATTTTTCCTTTAATCGACGTTACGTTATTCTGACAAGCGGAAGATCCTCTCGTGAGCTCCCGTTTAATAAAATGGAGAAAATTTTCGATAGAAAGACCGTCTTACTAAGAACAAAATATTTGAGATAAATTATAACCCCTTTTGACCCTTACATTATTCTATATCATAATATTTAAAAAATCGCATAATTCCAACCTCAATTTTGGTTAAAACCTATAAAACACCACCAAAACTAGCGTGAAGGGGAGTGTTAAGTTGCATTTTTGTATTGAATAAAACAAGAAGTTGTTTGATGCTCAAGTACGAAAAACTATCAGGTGCAGCATGGATGCGAATCAACTCGTATTAGATTGCGAACATCGTTCTTGGCCTTTTGTTACAAGTTGTTTCGGATATATTACGGCTACAATGAACAACGTTACAATCTGGAACACTTTCTCTCACTCTCTGACATCGCACGTAAGGCAAGACATTTCGTTAAGCCAATAATAGCGTTTCTCACAAAACCGGGCAAGCTGGCTTTGTTCATTGAGAGAAACTAGATAAGTAATTAAAAAAAAAAACAGACACTTTAATCTACGCCAACTGTTACATTATGAATTTATATATGCCCCCCTCCCCATGTAGCTGTAAATAATTTATTGCTAACACTAAGACACGGTCGTCATATGGACTGCACTAAACATTACTGACAGTATAGATCTTGCAAAAGCAAAACCCAGTTGAGGTGGGGTTTTACTTGGGGAATGAGGAATACCCAGGACTGAAAAATATTAAATTGGCGATTCCGTCACTGTGTGAATTACCCTATTTCCCTTTTGCAGTCACCCTAGTTTCTATTTATATCGGTCGGACTTGTCTTCATCCTTACCTTATGCAATAAAACTGTCAGAGATTTCCATATAAAGAAATAAACCACTCATGAAATGCTATTACATGGCAGATTCCTCACACTGAGGCCCAGCCTGGCCGTTTCTTCATGGTCAAGGATTCCTGCACTTAGCCAAGCAACGCCTTTGAGAAACTGATGGAAAATTTCAGATACCTGTATTTACATGCAAGATTGTCTCATCATTTGCAGAACTCGTAGTTTCTTTTTTTTTTCTCCCTGGTTTCTTCTGTACACAGGTTTCTATTTATTGTTTGCCTGCTTGCTATTAAATGCACTCCATGTGTTGGTGTCTTTGCCTATAGGTCGACATGACGGAGAGGAGAGCAAATATATACCTGGAGTTCAGGATGACGCAACCACAGTCGTTCCGTTTTGTTTTGTTTAGAGAATAATGAAAATAAACAAAGAGCTCGATGAGCTCTATAGCTATAATTGTGGCCTTTGTCTCAACAGGGACTTAAACTAGAAGAACCTTTTTGTAGGGGCACAAAAGGGTGTCTGAATCTACCTGGAAATTGAGACGAGTTTTGTCTTTTAATTCGTATAAAAGACAACTCACTCGGAAATAAATAAATAAATGACATGATGCACAACTATCTATATAAAAAATGCGAATGGGAAGACAAAAATAAGGGTCCAGATGTGTATACAGACAGAGAGAGGATAGTTTGCTTGTGATTGTGATGAAAGCGTGAGGGAGAGAAGAGTAAGTGTGGAGGAGGGAATTCAAACACGACTGCCCAGAAGGGGCTGTGTTTTCTTCAGTTGGACAAATTAATTACAATCTTATCTCATTATTTCTCTGTGTGCTTATTGGAAAGTGAAGGCATCTCTCTGGAGCTAGATATTTTTTCTCCATCATCAACACATTCAAGTCGAACGTTTCTTTTGTTGTTTTCTTTTCCAACTAGGAATGGCCAAGCACCAATTATGCTGTCATGCACGTGAATTTAATTCTTCCGCCCTGAACATATTATATACATCCATCCCCAAGGCACCAAATACTGGTACAAATTCAAAGTAAAAGAGGAATACCTCCTCCTCCTGGTTTTGTTTCTTTTGTGATGACTATCTCATAATAAAATATTAATTAATGTCGGCCGCCCATCAAAGCATTGGACATTCAAATTATAAAACAGAGAAGAAAAACGGGTCTTTTCTAATTTCAGTTCATAGAAAATAAACCGGGAAATTTCATTTTAGTCCCAAAAAAAAAAAAAACAGATCTGAGCAATATATACACATATTCGGGGATTGTGGTGAAATTGAGGTGGAAATGGTGAGTATTGAATGCAGGGGGGTGTTAATGAATTAAATGGAGAGTAAAGTGGACAAAGACACGCCGGCCGTGGAATGGAAACGAAACAGCAGAGATAGTGCTTTATTTTTTGTAGCTAGTTGGATTATCCCCCAAGTGATGATCGGGGTTAATATTTCTTGCTTTAATTTCCAAATCATTATTTGGTACGTACCTGGTATTGCTGACGAGCATAAACAGAGATTCAAAACTTATCGGGTTCCAAATTATTTATTTGTGAAGGAGAGGACCCCACCAATCGATTTGCTTGCCAATTTAGTAACATGGGGGATGTCTTTAATTTCTCTAAATTATTCACCCGTAGACTCTCTCTTTCTTCATAAGATTCATAAACATACATGTTCGGTCCAATTCAGTTCTAATAATTCATTTTTATAATCCGCCTGTGTCTCCCCTGTATGCTATTTTAATATATATGTTCAGCCATCTTCTCCATCCCCTAAACTCCTCATCATCCAACTTACTCATTATTATTACTACTATTATTTAGATTGGCCATTTATTTAAAGCAAGAAAGCTACGCCAGTACAAGCATGCAATTTCCTCAGAAATTTTAATTTGCCTTTCCCCACTTCATATCAGGCCGCACTCATGGCTTATAACCTTAAAGTCTCGTACTTGCTGACTTACATTTTCGTCGTCCCCGTTTCTGTCTGTCTGTCTCTCTCATCGTCATACCTTGGGTAGCTAGCTCCTTCAAATAGTTCCCACATCTGAACCTCCCTTCCCTGTCCAGCGCCATAAAATCCTCATCAATTTGTGCATCTCTCTCACGAGTGAATAATTAATTGAGGAAGAAGAGGACAGAAAAAAATGTGCATAAAACCAGTAGTCCCCTGGGCATCATTCTGTAGTGAAGAGAGCAGCAGCAGCAGCACTACAACTACAAGGCATCGTCCTTATGGAACAAATCCAAAACATCAACTCGTGCGCACGCGCTTTCAACACAGAGGAAGAAGAAGAAGACCAAAAGGAAGCCATGTTCGAGAAGGCGTTAACGCCGAGCGACGTCGGGAAGCTGAACCGACTGGTGATCCCGAAGCAGCACGCGGAGAAGTATTTACCGCTCAACGGTGGGGCTGGGGACGCCAAGGGCGTGTTGCTGGGTTTCGAGGACGAAACCGGCAAGTGCTGGCGCTTCCGATACTCTTATTGGAACAGTAGCCAGAGTTACGTCTTGACCAAAGGCTGGAGCCGTTACGTCAAGGACAAGCGCCTCGACGCCGGCGACGTCGTTTCCTTTCATCGTCACCTTACAGATTCTCACCGCCTTTTCATCTGCTGGAGGCGCCGCCACCTTCATGCCAGTCCCCCAGTTACCAGAGGTGGCCATGGTGGTGTGAGTGTCGGATGGACCACCCCCACACCTTTGTATTCTGGGCATACTTATCCCGAGCATCAGCCTTTGCCATACCAAACTCAATCTCTTCATGCACCAGGTCTCATCTCATCTCTTATCTCATCACATCCATATTATTCCTTTCCCTTCTCCTTCCCCATTCTCATCCTTGGCCTTTTTCATTTCCTTAATGGTATATATCCTATCATGCAATTGTGCATTGAAAGTGTTGTACAGAAAGAATACATTCTAATTAATTGGGACAAATGTGGGTTGTTTAATTTCCCTCTAAGCTAAGAAGGAGTAACCGATTATCTTGGTATATAATGATCAGCATCGATATCCTGTTCAGGCGCGCTGTTTCATCCTAAAACCTGCAGGCTTTAATTTGTTTCTTTCATCAGCAAAATCGAATTTGAATGCTCTTTTTTTTTGGTGTCATGGGGGAGATCTACTTTTATCAAATGAAGAAAATAAAATATTAATGGCTGCTCGCTGTAATTTTTGCAGGAAGAGTTTTACCAGAAGTATTTACCGCTCAACGGTGGGGCTGGGGACGCCAAGGGCGTGTTGCTGGGTTTCGAGGACGAAACCGGCAAGTGCTGGCGCTTCCGATACTCTTATTGGAACAGTAGCCAGAGTTACGTCTTGACCAAAGGCTGGAGCCGTTACGTCAAGGACAAGCGCCTCGACGCCGGCGACGTCGTTTCCTTTCATCGTCACCTTACAGATTCTCACCGCCTTTTCATCTGCTGGAGGCGCCGCCACCTTCATGCCAGTCCCCCAGTTACCAGAGGTGGCCATGGTGGTGTGAGTGTCGGATGGACCACCCCCACACCTTTGTATTCTGGGCATACTTATCCCGAGCATCAGCCTTTGCCATACCAAACTCAATCTCTTCATGCACCAGGTCTCATCTCATCTCTTATCTCATCACATCCATATTATTCCTTTCCCTTCTCCTTCCCCATTCTCATCCTTGGCCTTTTTCATTTCCTTAATGGTATATATCCTATCATGCAATTGTGCATTGAAAGTGTTGTACAGAAAGAATACATTCTAATTAATTGGGACAAATGTGGGTTGTTTAATTTCCCTCTAAGCTAAGAAGGAGTAACCGATTATCTTGGTATATAATGATCAGCATCGATATCCTGTTCAGGCGCGCTGTTTTCATCCTAAAACCTGCAGGCTTTAATTTGTTTCTTTCATCAGCAAAATCGAATTTGAATGCTCTTTTTTTTTTGGTGTCATGGGGGAGATCTACTTTTATCAAATGAAGAAATAAAATATTAATGGCTGCTCGCTGTAATTTTTGCAGGAAGAGTTTTACCAGCTCAAAGGTCGGCGGTGGGAAACAGTTCAAGTAAAGTACTTAGACTATTCGGAGTAAACATGGAATGCCAAGCAGAACCAGACGAATCAGGACCTTCCACATCCCAGCACTCCTCCAACGTCTCATCATCATCCACCCATCACCACTTCTACCAATATGAATATCCTCAGCCTTCATATACTTCCAGTCCTCACCGCCACATGGTACGTCAACAATCATACTTCTGATGAGTTAGATTTTCTTTTTCCTTCAGGTGTAAGATAGCCCTTATAATATCAGAGCTAATGCAATATCAAACGATGTACCTGTCATTAACATGAAAGCAATAGTTATTAATTATAAGAGTAGATAGGTTAATGTTGAAGATTATGTAGTATCTTTCTTGTCTTTAATTTAAGGAGATTCATGCAGCTTATTTATTCTTTTCTGGGATTTTGTTGTTTCCTTTTTCTGAAGCATATCAACTGAGGTGTGAATGCCAGGAGGGACATGTTCCCGCTGCGCTTTGGCTCTTCGTATTCAAGCAACGGATACAATATATAATATATATTATCTTGAGAATAATAATATTATAAGAGTATGAAGGCCGTCCACTGTGAACCGCAACTGTGAGCAACTAGCTCAATTTGAACCATGTGAGGTTTAATTAATCGGTCACGTCACTGTATCTTCATTAAGTTGATTAATCTTAATTTTGTGGAGAGACAGAACACTCGAAAGAGCATATATTTAATCTATTTCATTAATCAAGATCCGAGAAATTATTGGTTACCTTTGACCCCGACACAGTTGGCTTGATTCTCTCTGTTTTATTTTACCTCTCTCTATTCCTCCCTCACTCTCTCGTGTTTAATGACCGGCATCATTAAGAAAATAATAAGATGCAAAGCTGAACGCAGGTACATATCGCCGCTGAAGATAATATTTATGTAGGTTCAAATATTCATTTTCTGGCTTGGCATCCACTTTAAATGTCTGTCAGGTATGACAACTGTGTTGGACACGTAATAGGTTTTTGGGCGTGAGAGAGTTTATCCATATATTCTGTCTACCTGGAAAGCCTCTTATGAAGACCATTAATCATCTAATCATAGATTTATACCATGATTAAAAGGTTGTCTTTTCCCCAGCATATGGAGTCGAACGTGGTCTAAAAGTGTGATGAATGGCAGTCAACTAAGGTTGGTTTATTTCCATTGTAGAAAGTTGTCAAGCCGGCCACTTCAAAATTTAGATCTCTCTTTAAATTTCGGGATTCAGGGAGTGTTTGGATAGAAACCAAACCATGGTTTCAGAAGTGTTTTTACGGATTACGAAGTAAATATGTAGAGAAGGTTACCTCGTTTTGCGAAAAAATGTTTATGAAACCATGGTTTTGGAGCATCCAAACAGCCCCTCAATATATGGAATTGGAAACCATATAGTTAAATCATCCCACCGACTATTCTGATTTTTGTGTTATATCAAGTCACTTTTCAGCATGCCTTTACTGAATCAAAAACCATTTCATCCAATCACACCTGGTGATGGGTTGAAGGAATACGACGTTAACGTAATGTTGCTCAAAAGGATTGATTAAGATATGGATATATTTTGTTTCTGATGCGTGCGCATGATATCGAAGAAAAAGGAGTGGCAAGTAATTAATAGAATGTATGGGTATGTGTGATTGCAACAGGATGTCAACCAGATGAGAAATCGCCCAGGATAAAGATTTTGGATGTGACATTTTCGATTTGACCCTTTTAAGTTTTAACCCACTTGTCAGGTACTTCCCACTTAACCCTCCTCAATATCAAGAGGGAAAGGAAAACCAAAGAGGAGGACATAGAAAAATGTGCAGGGGAAGAGTGGGAGAAAATGAAAATCCCTGATTCTCATACCCACTTTGAATCAATAGCAGTTATGGTAAGTAGTAACATCAGTGAGGCAGAGAGTAGTAGAGTGAGGAAGGTGAATGACGTCAGTTAACAAGAGAAAAAAAAATTAGGCGTATATATGGAGCACTGTTTGGGATTGCGGGGTGAAGATTTTGGGAATGGGTTCATCATGATTGATGAAGATGAGGAAGGTATGGGTCTGGGGCGGTGGGTGTATTGTGTTGAATTCTTCAATGGACTTGACTTTGATGGAGAGATTAAAATGGTGTTCGTACAAAAGCCCCATATCTCTCTCTGGAGCTTCCTTGTCCAATAGGTAGTAGCAGAGGGTTGTAGTCGTCAATTGCATTACTCCTTGCTGCCGCGGACCAAGTGATAAGTAATCAGAAGTTGACAAGGCCCTTTAACTCTGCAAATATCTTCTTGTCACAGTTATACGATGATAGTGGGTGGAACCGAAAGTAATCATTTATCTTGGTTTGCTGGCAGCATTAAAACATGTGGATGAAATTCAAGTAGATGCAAAGCTAAACACGACATTTAATACAGAAGCACGCGCGTCAACAGAACCATGGCCCATCTCTGTTTTTATCCTCTTTTTTGCACCAACTGATCATTGCCTTCATGTACATATAATGAAAACTCACTCTCTCTAGCTACTCCCCCATTTTTGTATGGCTTCTTCCCGATTGGATACCTCATATTGTTCATCCAAGTTAGTAACTTTTCCTGCTAAATGTGAGACGTTTCTTGCTTGACAACTGGATCTGTCAGAATATCATCAATCATCATCACTTTTTAAAAAATAATCTATAATGATGTCACTAGAAGGGTAATTAACTGTATATCGCTTTAAAGTAAGCAACAAAGGGAGTAAATACAGTATACAAGGGTAAGTTGCACTCTTGTGTATGTATAGTAAATGAAGTCGTCCGAGGATTTAAACTGTTAAAAATATACACCACCATTGGAAGTCGAGTTGAGAGAAGTGCAGTTAAACCCAGTTGGTAATGCTTAAAGGAGACAAATATTCCACATGTAAAGGACAAAGCTGGGGTTTATATCAGATGGGAGGTGGGTACACTTCCACTGAGTCACTAGGTCTAAGCTAACATGCAGCCATATGGTTTGCATAAAACGACAACTGCGGGCTGCGCAAATCAGGATGTGACCTCTCAACGAAGTGCTTTTCGATTCAATGATTCATTGCACTCGTGATCAGTACAGGTACTTTCACTTCCACTTCCCCCACCCAAAGAAAAAAAAGAAAAGGATTATCAATAATGCACTCATCTCACTGTTTATGAACAATGCCTTCACACACAACTTTGAGAGCTTCTACTTATGGAAAATCCATGTCATGGGGTTTTCAAGACGACAGGTTATTCCTGATCGATGTGCACTAATTTGGCCGATCCAGTTCAAGGGGCAACAATACTATGACGCTAATGTGCGCCCCAGTGGCCGGGTCTATTCCTGGGAGGACTGAACCAGAGTGGTCAGCCAACGAGCGGGCAAGAGCCATGGTTCACTCTGCACTTGACCACATCAAAACACTGTTCACTGTTCACTGTTCACTTCCGGTCATCGCATGCGCGCCTATCAATGCATACCCACTACACAAATGGAGCACACGCCCTTATGCTTTCGAGGTGTTTAGATTGTTCAATAATCACTTTTAAAATGTATTTTTTCATAAGAGGTAAATTTTCACATATTTATTTTAAAAATATTTTTAGAATTATGATTTTGTGTTTACCCAAACACTTTCTTAATCTACATGAGTAAAAGCCTTTAATGCCCCAATTGTTGATGTAATGTTTCTTTCTTTTTTTTTTTTTTATTAATTATTATATTTTATATAAAATGAGTGGTGTTTTGATTATCGTGTATCAAATGATTTTCTTTAATTTTTACAGTTTTTTAAAAATATTATGAAATCGCATGGTTTCAATTTATATTTTTTTTAAAATCATAAAAAAATTATATCATTCTATTCTTCTCAGATATTAGAATTTTTTTTATTTTATGTAAAATCTAATAATAAAAAAATAGGAAGTTGAGTAGAATATTAATGAAATATTAGAGGATTGGTGTTACAGGCGGTTGCCATATAAAAAAAGGAATAAATCAATCAATCAAATATTTATAATTCTTCTTCAGTCTTCACACATTCTCATCTAAGTGAACATCATAATCTTTTTTTTTTTTTTAATCGTTCAGGTTTTATTCGGATCATTCAAATTCAAAAGCGTATTTTTTTTAATTCTTTAATGTAAATATCATTATTTTAACTTGAATGATTAATATTCACAGGCGCAATAATAACCGAATCCAATCATGGTCGCTTTAGACTCAGAATTGATACCAGAAAAGCTTAGGCAACGCTGAACCTCTGACCTCAGGGCAGGAATTGTTTAGAGGCCAACCCGCCCATTATATTGCCGCTGAGCTGAGTCTTATCACAGCGTAACACCATCAGTGGGGGTAGATAATCCTGTCCTTAATCTCACACGTCCTGAACCTTGATGATCCCATATTAGTTAATTCTTTGAAAGATCCCCCACTTAGACTTGATATATAAATCTCACCTACCATGTACTGAATTAGATAAGATTATCAACAGTTTCTTCCTTAAAGGACAGGATCCATGCCTCATTATTTTGACCTCCACTATGCATATTCAAGCTTCATATGGAAACCTGTTAAATAAATAACCTGAGTGATGATGGGGTCAATAAAATTGTGGGGCCTTCATCTCTGTGGGATCGCTCGAATTAATCGAGTCAGTTTCAGTCGGCATCATTATGACCATAAACCATTCGAGCCTCGCATCTCATATCCCCCATTGTGTTTGCCACTTCCAAAGCCAAAGATGGTATCCCCATTGTAGAATGGAGATGGCGCGCGCTATTTCGCATTTTGGCTTTCTCTGTTTTTGCTGCTGATTATTAAACCTACCTGTCGCAAAAACTACCTACCCTCCTGACAAAATTTAAATATTCATGTGTATATATGTGTATCAATACATTTTGATCATGCTTTGCTATTGTCTGTTTCAACCTGTTACATGTAAAGGAAAACGCATGTTCATGAGTTGCAAGACTGAGCATTTTCATATCCCATGATAAATTAAACGGGCTTCGGCGGTAACTAAATTCAAACATAGAAAAACATTGAGTTCATGAATCATCAGTTGCGTCAAAATCGTAGTTTCATTCCCACTACGAACGAGGAAATTCAGCACTATGACCAACATCAATAAAATTTTCTGTAATTCTCCGATGTTTAAATTTCGTGTCCATTTATTCCAATTCGTGGATTCTAAAGTCACTTGGCATTTCATAAGAGTTTTTCATATTGGAATGTAATAAAGAGATAACAATAAATCATAATCTATTCATTTAAATGTAACAATCTGCTAAGTGGTAATTAAAAAGAATGCCTACTTGATTCTTAAGGCATTTTTTTCCTCTTCAATTTTTTAAATCTTAAAATTACAAAGTTGAACTGGTCCACAGCTTGTTAGAAAATTGCCAGGGAGTCATTATATATAGAGCTAATCTGATAATGCAGTCGGTGTGTAAGCAAAAGAGAAAGACCCTTTTTTTTTTGGCCAAACAAAAGAGAGAGACCCCATATAAGCGTAATTTACATTAGATGGTAATGGAATGCGACATGAAAATTGTGCAGGTTTGAACATATCTCATTGTCTATGGAAGCCGATCACTCTGCCAAGTATCGGGAACCAGGCGAACTCGAGTTGGTACACCAAAGAATGTAATGGTAGCTGTACATATATGCATTGCTTCTTACGAGTCAGCTTCATCATCTTTCTCATCTGACTCCCCAACGGCAGTTGTCATTTTCTTCACTTTCTCAAGCTGCCTCAAGAGATCCAACCTTTCCGGGGCATATGTGGACGGAATCTGCCGGCACAGAGACGTGTTACATTCGAATGGAAAATTAACATCTGAAAACGATAATGAACAAAGCAGCCCCAGGATAGGGTTATATACCAGAGCTGGTACATATCTCTGAATAGCAGCCAACATGGCAGCATGCCCCACTGCTGTGACCTGTAACAATAAACATTTTCATTAGCATGTGACACTAGGCTAAGCAGGATGGAGCATTCAAAAATGATCTGGACACAGCTGATCCTAAATGCAGATGCTTTGGTTTTTTTTTTTTGGATGAAAAGGAGATACTGTAGATGGGAACAAATTATGCTAAAACTCACTGGAAGAAGCATTAAAACACCAATTGGAACCACTGAAGCCATGTCAGTCAAGGTTCTTTTAAGAGTTTTCTTCTCTTTCTCAGTCAATTCGTCCCCTACCAAGAACCTTCTAAGCAAATCCGTAGCAGCAGCAACGTCAAAAGCCAGAAGTTGAGTTCCTTGCCAGACATCCTGCTCATTGGGCAAATCATTCATCAGATAAGAGGGAATTGGCACTAATATTCCCACCCTTCTCCTACCTAGCTTAGCGTTTGGGGACTGAGAAAGGAAGAACAAGATCAAATAACAAAAAGAGGGAGGGAGGTTTGATCAATACGCATGAAAAAATTGAGTAATTAGCGACATCTCTTCAATTTCACAACCCAAACGAATTCGTATACTCAATAGACCGGGTTAATATTTTAAGAAGGAAATGCCCAAGACTTTATCATACCGTTCCTGTTTCTTTTAGTTTGCTGATAGATTTTTCTATAATGTTTCCTCTTTTTGGAGCCTGGACCATGTGAATACCTCCAGATTCCTCATCATACGCACCATCCTCCACAAGTACCATATCCTATAAAGGAATGTACAAAGATTATAAAGGGGGAAACATTTTATAGAAGTAGAAAAACGGCATGAGCATGACTAGTCAATACCACTGATATGACCATGCAAATTCAAGTCAAATTAAGACAACAAAGGGCAGAGAGAAGTTTGAACACTGACACAATCATGGCACATGACAAGGACGGGAATGTAGTTTAACACCAACAATGCATGTATAAAAGCCACAAAGCCAAAGATAGCACAGAATTATTATCTTCCTCATAAATTTTGTTTCAGCCGCTACTAGAAAGGAAAATCTTAGCTTCGAGTCTACAATTCAAAAGGCAAGATGACATAATAAACATCAAGATGAAGCATTTTGTGTCACTTGACAATTTTGCATGCAATATAAAATCATGAAAATGTAATTAGACGTTGTTGTAAACTCCAGGCATACTTACATCATTTTCTGATTGATAGGTACTTCTTTGAACCCTTTTCTCAAGTTCTATCAGCTCATTTCTTAGAAGTTCAAAGCGGTGGATTTCACTGGCTTCTAAGTCCACAACACCGACGGTTGAAGTAGGCAGTTCAATATAATTCTCCTGCGATAAAAAAACCAAGTACACGCTACACAGGTCAGTACAGTACTCCAACTATGAACCAAAATACGTAGTTAAGATGAGAGCCATGCATACAGAAGCATCTGTATCAGATTCCTGATCAGGCTTTCTGACTACAGGATTTACAAAGATGCTCCAGAACCCACGAGATTTGCCAACATTTCTGAAAAAGAAAAATTTACCTTATGAATAAAGTTAAATCCAGAAATGTCAAATAACAGCTGAAATTTATGCTTTTACAAATTAATCACGAGCTTTTTTTTCATTCCCCAAAAAAAAAAAAAATCGCTTAATCAGGTCATATAAAAACAATAGGTGAAGCTAAAATCTGTGACAGAAATTTCACACCTCTTGGTTTGGTCTGCCCTTGCATTAGCATTTTTTTGGTTTTTCCCTCTATTATACCCTTGCATCTCATCAACAGGACTACGGGATTGACCATCATTAACTCCCTGAATCAATATAGCAAAAGCAAGTATACATTGACAAGACAACAAAGAAATTATGAACAAGAAAAACAAGTACCATAGCAAGCATGAAAAAAAAAAAAAACTAAAATCAGTACAGAGAGATGATTTAGAACAAATCATAACGCCTAATTACTTCAAAAGAAAACTATCAAGACACTTTGGGTGGTCTAGCAAGTTTAAGTTGCTTTCAGCATTCACCATTTAACACTAATACAAGCTGAATACCTCAATTACTTTCCAATATAAAGCCACAAAAGAAAATTTAGACTTCAAAACTAGAACGCGATCCCAATTTGTAGGGCCAACCAACACAGGCTTACAGGGACAGATGGACAGGCTTGAAAGACATATAGTTAAAGTACAAGGTTGATAATATTATCAGAAATTGACGAACAGGCTTCAGATGATAAGAGCATACCAGTTGGAGAGAATCTGCTTTTGCTCGAAAAGATGCCTCAAGGAATTCAGCTTCTTTTTTAAGCTTCCTTATCCTCTCCAGGTCGGAACAAGCAGCTTTTAAATGCTCTTTCCCAGAACTAGCACTTGTTACATGCAACTCTTGAAGCAATTTTTCAAGTCTTAGCACAGCTTCTTCAACACTCTCCAACGCCTAATATCAAATGCCATTGAGAATGCTTAACGTAAAGGACATAACTGGGGCGTCACTGAAACAAAAATTTCAATTCATCTACCTTTTTTAATTTTTTTTTAAAGTGATTGTATTTAGTCACGGGAGACTGAGTTACTGACTCATCCAGTTATGCATACTAGCTTGTAATGTTTATGTTTTAGTTTCAAAAAGTTTTAAAAAGTATTCATGCATGAAATATTATAAACGTGGTACATCTCGTTTGATATCATCTGATGCATAGTAAGCCTGTTTATTGTATTTAAACTACAGAAATAATATTGAATCCATACCACCCTTTTTACACCTCTTCTTTCCCCAATTTATACTAATACCCATAGTCCCCTGACTAACAAACATATTCCTAACTTGCATGTGACAAAACGTCTATTTTTACCCGCTTGAGAAAACCACTGGTAAAGTGCTTATTTCATAAGTTGGGAAGCATCATGTGAATCGAACCAGATTTTGAGAAAAAAGAAGCTAACCTTGTCAAAAGAAGTGGACTCTTTTGAAGTGCCAATGGCTGATCTATTTTTCTCAATGATTTTCTTGGAATTACTCTCTAGTTTCTTATCCCTGCATCATATTTAATAAAACAAAATTAGGGATCCAAATAATTAACTAAGGAAGTTTTTGGAATGTGCAAAAGTGGGTAAAAAAAGAAAAAAAGCTACGCTTTAATCACATCCCTCTTGTACCAATTAATAGTATAACTAGGAAAATAACCAATGAAAGATCAGAGAACAAAGGCACAAAGTTGCATTCTTCCCTGAAAGGAGAACCTCCGCAGGGCCCTTTTTTTTTCTTCCCAACCTTCTCTACTTATAGGCCTAAAGCCAAGCAAAATTTCCAATAGTATAGTATCCCTTGAGTCAAGAGGAATGTACGATGATGTCCCTAGAAGTTAACTTATCGATAATGGACCCAGAAAAACACAACTCCGTTCCAACAAAGGTAATATCACATAACTTGTAAAAAGTACATTCATGGAAACACATCAACCAGCAAAGTTATATGCTACCTCTACAGGCTTTAGGAGAAAATGCTGGGGCAAAACCCAGCTTCCAAATACAAATGCAATGATTTAGTACCACACTACGTCTATTAGATACAACTTTTTGCATTGAATGAATCTCTGAAAACAAAATCTTATAAAGGAAGAATATATTGGAACCATTGATATCATCACAATAGTCATGTAAAAGATTGAACTACTTGACTAGCCTAATCTAATATTCAAAATGTTATGATGCATTAGATCTTTAGACACAAGAAATCCATCACTGCAAAAAGAGGATATGAAGAAAATGAAAATCCAATAATCAGTGGCCCTCTTCACAGTTGTTATTTAATATCTCAACTCAGGAATTCCATTACGTCTTCATAATACAATTATTCACTTGTTTGATTTTTTTCTTCTTTAAAGCAAATACTCAGTACAAACAAATTCTTCTGTAACATAAAATCCAATATTGTAGCAACTCTGATAATAAAAAGGTAAAATATCAATGGTGAAAGCTAATGTGAAGTCAGGAAAATTCCCACATTTCTTGGCATGAAGCCAGTGATAAGCACTGTAAATGTACGGGCCAAGAAAACAAGAATAGACATCACAGCCATTAATCTATGTCACCATTTTATGAACAACTTTTATGTTTTATGTTGGACAACCATGAGAGAAGCACATACAACTTAGTTAATAAACTGGCGTCTCTCAATTACTTTTACTCGGCTTTTGGATGTTGTGTTTTCCAGTATTTCATGTATTCTATTCTGTGCAAACAGCATACATAACTTTGATGCATGAATCCCGGTGCCACTGGGCATAGGAGGGAAAAAACACCATAAATGCATATGTTGTCCAAATCTTACTTTCTCATCCCAACTTCTTCCATGCACACCATCAACTTGTTGTGCCTAACATAAAAGAAGATTACACATGAAATTTTTTTAACCAAAATCTGATACTCTTGCTCAACTATCACTGAATCTTGGTGCCTTTACCCTATTGATAGAAATCTAGCAGCTTTCACATTAGAAGGACTCTCCAGCCACGTACTGTATTTAATAAAGCTCTGGATCCAATGAGAGCAAACTTCTAATGCTTTGGGCACTGCTTCGGCATTTGGAGGACCTTCTGGTTTACTTTTATGCACGTTCACCTGTTTTGCATTGCTGTTGTTTCCTGGATAAAAAGGAAGCCACTCCAGCTCTTCACAAACCACCTTTGAAATTATAGGGTTCTCTCAGTTGACATAACTTATTAATGAAAAATATCTATTCGGGTAAAGATAATACATACTAACCTCGACATATAATTGATACAAACTTATTGTTGAAAGCTGAGGGTAGTATAAAATACTGCCTCCAATAAGATACCTGCAAATAAAAATCTCTATGGTTAAACAAATACACAAAATTTCACAAGAGCAATAACAAGGCAAAGCTAAATGAGAAGGGGAAATCAGAACAGAAGCTGCACCTGATGTAGTCATCAACTGAATCATCTGGAGTATCAAAACCATTTGCAGAAAGAAAGGAGCGAGTACTCCTTCCTAAAGCAACAAAGAAACCAAATATAGCCAAATCCTTCTCTAAAACCTGCATTACGTGATCATTCAATCAGAGCTTCTTACGTTTACAGATAACAAACTCCAGCAGAAGACAGCATGTTAGAAGCGGTATACATTCACCTATGGTACCCGAAATCATCACCATCCCTTCCTTTTAACGTCATTCACATAAAAACACCCCTCCCCCCAAAAAAATAAATAAATAAATAAATAAAGATACAAAGTCATCATAGATCGACTTTTGACACAATCAGAAATTTAGTGGCACACTTATGTTTCAAAGCCCGCCAAATTTTAGGAAAGACAGCAAAATATCACTTGTACTGCATAATTTTGTAAGATTAACATCAAGTCATGTACAACAAATATCAATTCAATGATATTAAAATAAATTCAAAGTCATAAATGGAAAGCAGGAAAAAATTACACAAAAAGCATTGCATGGACATCGTATGTGATGGTCTTGTCATGGTAGTTAGGCAGAAGCTTTAAACACTCTCCACCCATCCACCTCCCTTAAGAAGAGTCAAAACCAAGGTCAACTGCCTTCAAAGTTAAACATGACTAACCTCAATACTTTCCGATGTTGTCAGTCTTGACCATATTTTCTCCTTGTCTATAGCTTTCTGTAACTGCCTCTGGGTAAGATTTACCCAAAATGCAACCTCTTCTGAACCCCCCTCGACTTTTGCTCTACATGCAGCAGCTCGGGGTCCAAAATGAACAAGAAATTCTCTATGCAGACCAATTTCCTTTATAGAATTATAAGCTTGACTTATAGGAATTAAATCAGCCAGCTTGTCCATCAAACCACCAGTTACCTCCGTAATCATGGAAAAGAATTGTGAACAAGAAACTTTTGCCGGTCCAAGTTTGGTGACAGCAGAAATGCACGTTAGTGCAAGCATGAGAAGTGAAATGTCATGGCCGCTGCTAAAACCAGGAGACAATTTTTTTTCAGACCTGGGAATTCAGTTAAAAGATCATTTCCTCATTGTCTTCAAAAATAAAACTAGAGGAGATATGAAAGCTAGTATCTCCATGTACTGAAGCACAATATTGGTACATACGAAGAAGAGGCAGCAGTGAAGCAAATTTTCCCTTCAAACTTGTTAATGAAAGACGTCACAACAGCAGGAACTTGATCAGACCAAAACCATTCATGTGCCTCCGGCTGTTTGACTGATAACTTTTCTCTGATTAAGCTCTCTAGGGGAGCAGATAGCCTTAGTAAACTGGGCCAATGCAACATTTAAACAAGTTTAAGCCCCAAACCAGCTATATAATAGTGTAGAATATTCAAGCTAAACACAAAAAGACAGAGATAAATGATTAAGAAGCACAGTGATGATGAAAATAAATAAATAAGCAGAGAAATCAATTTCCTCAACAACCTCTTTTCTTCAACAGAAACTCATTCATTCTTTCATAAAAAAAGTTACATAAGCACAAAGAGTTTCAAGTAAGGGTGAGAACCTGAACTAGCTGAAATTCATTGTTAGTTCATCCTGTAAAGCACTTCCAGTTGAAAGGCACAACACAGTTTTTCAACCTCAACAAATGCAAACATAAATTTATGCCAGATGGTTCTTATAATGATAAATAGCAGATTTCACTGAATATATGAAGTATCATAGGTTATGAAATACAGAATTTAACATTAAGATGCAAGCTAACTGTTGTAGACACATTTTGTCAGATAACGATATTTCCTTCTGATAAGTAAGTGTGGTATTTTTCCCCAAGATTCACATAACAATATCTGATAAAAATTCAGCACGCAACACTAAGCACCATACTACCTCCGTTGAACAAGTTCATTGACATTTCTGTCTCCCCGATCACCTTGGGATGAAATTTCACTTGCAGCTTGCAACAAGGAGTACACAGCAGCCTGAGAGAAGTATTGCAACCATTTCCTCAGTTTTTAAAAAATTAATGGAATGTGTGGACTTAATTAACTTGAAAGAGAAATGACTAATGGCAATGGTGGGAAAATTGTAACAGTACTCTAAAACACTGGAAACAGAAAACATTACCCATATTCAATTATGATGGAGGGAAAGTGCATCAGCAATAACTAGCTTAATGCAACCAATATTAAAGTTTTACATTAGTCTGAGTATGATAGTTCCTCAGGGAATGATAATCTGGAGCATGAGATGGACCTAACCAGTCCCAAGTTCTAACAACAGTGACAAGAACAGTAAGTCACCCAAAGCTGAAGACTGAACCCGAATGTGAACATTTAGAGTTTTTCATAAGTGCAAAAACTATAAAGTCAACTGATTACATAAGAAATATAAAGCATTACTTCAAGAAATGGAAATATAAAGCATAAATTTACACACATCCTAAAAGGTAAAAAGAGAGGACTCAACGAAGAACCGCCAATCCTATAACTCCAATAATTCCTTCTGCAGTTGAGTCAATTCAATTACTAAGGACGCTGTTGAATGATGTCATTCTTTTTATCGCACCACTACCCACTCGGTTGATTTAACATGGATAATACTTTGGGTGGAAAGTAGGAGAGAACCACAGTTTTGAGATTCTACCTTTCCAGAAATGAAAACAGAAACATCCGAGTCACACAAGTGCTTCCGCATGTTAACAGTAAAGAATGGTAGTTAGGCTCTTGCCTTTTGTTGCACTGATTACTTTCCCCACTGAGAAATTTTCTGAGACATTCCCATCCTAGATACACCTCAAGGATATTGACAGGCAAGAAGAATAGACAATACACTATATTGACTCTGATATCTACGCCTTTAGCACATGCCTAACTAAGAAAAGCTTCTTTATAGCCATAAACATATGCTTGGATATTGGCATAAGATAGTTCGTTTTCTCTCAGAACAGCAACAATAATTTTTAAAATCACTCTTCCAACCTTCAACACTTATAACATCACAAGAAATTTTCAAGTTATTGCAAGGCATATTTGTCAAGCTTTCAAAGGCACTACAGGTAAGTCATGCATTACACATGATATACCCAAATAATAACTGCTGAATCGCATAAATGACAATACCTGATATGATAGTGTCTTTGACCAAGCACTTTGATCTATTCCAAGCCAAGCAGTTGAAAACCAAGATGCCCTTGAGAACAAGCTTTGCTCTTTAATTGCGAGCTCAAAAACCCTGCTCGCATCATATAAAGATTGGAGAAGTCCATCACAAATATCTTCATCTTCCAATGACTTATTCAGTTTCATCCTCATTTTCTCAAGATCCGTACTGGTTTTAGCTTGGGGACTCCCATTTACAGTCACACCATCATCAGCAGATGCAAATGGGAGGATGTATGCTCTCCGTCTTGGTTTAGAAGACGTTATGTAGTATTTCCTATAACCCACCAGTCCACAGTCATTTTTCGACAAGAAAGCGTGCCTAATGAGGCAACTCTTTCTTGAACTACCCCATTTGCTAAGAAGGCGATGCAACTCAGATGCTTTTTTGCCCAGATGAGGAAAATCGTGTGGACTTTGTGACCCCCATGTATTTGAAGAGCTGCCAAAAGAAATGCAACTAGTAAGGACAGACCCAGATAGGAACACATGAAGAATTCTTTGGAATAACTAACATCAAGGGAGACAATGGACTAAGAAAAAAGTGCAGCAGTTAAACTAATGATTGAATTTTATTCCAATATGTATATATTGAACCATAGGGAACCATACTTCAACCACTGACTCGTATATTATCGACATGGTTGTGTTGGCAGTGTTAAAACCGCATCATATCATACAACGAACTTGCTTGAAAAACTTGCATTATAACTACTCTCTAGATTTCTTTATCAAAGCCTCATAGAATTACATTATCAACCGGGGGTTGATATTGCATAATCCAATCCGACAGAGTAAATAGAAGCCTAAAGGAACAAACGCGCGCTTAGATTAAAAATGTCACCCAGTAGAAAATTAAAAGCGGCAAAATTCCCTGAATAACAACTACCGTGAAAAGAAAATTAACAGGAACACTTACTTAGCTTAGGTGAATGCATTTGACAGGAAAAAATTTCAATTGCTTCCTAAGAGGGGGGAAAAAAAATCAATTTCCTTCCTTCTTCCTCATCAGTATCTTATAAGCTAAGCCACACAGCTTGCATAAAAAAGAAAAGGCGAGCTAAAACCTAGCAGCGTCCAAAACTACTCAGCTAAGATAGCAATCTGATGGACCAAAATTCGATAATACAAAATGAATATAGAGAAAGATGATGAATCACCTGAAGGATACAAAACTGTTGTGGGGCAACTTAACTGCCATATAGTGGATCAAAAAATGCGGAGAAAATTTAGATAGAGGCGCCGGAAAACTCGAATAAAGAAATGGGAAAGAGGCTCTGGAGCGAAGGGAGGGGAAGGGGTGCCGATTTCGGGGTACGTGACGTGGCAGGAGGCGACTTTATCCGGATACGTGGAGGAGGGAGAAATCACATAGGCAAGAAGCGCATAACAGGGTCGAGTTCTAAATTTTACGCATCACAGGCCCGTAAGTAGCTTCTTAGTTCTTGCTAACCCCAGTTGATTCGATTTTCTATTTGGATAACCTTATTGATTCGGTCGATTCCAATGTTCATCATCAATTATGTAAATTAGTAAATAAAAAATTTTAGATGTCAATCAACTGCTAAGTTCAACTGGATTCTTTCCAAAAACTGGCTCCTAATGAAGACACGATGAGAAGATAGTTTTGGGCAATAATAACTGTTCGTATAGCTTTTAAATTAAAATATTACTCTCTTGATATATAACATAATTATTGAATTAATTTTGTCCTAAATATAATATCTATTTTTTATTTATCAATTTCTCTAAATTACCCTATAGATACTCCTCAACATAATCAAGTAGAAGAGGGAGATGAGGTATTAAGAAAGATGATTAGGTATTTTAGGAAAAACGCATCACATTTCTTATAATTAATTAATCTACCTAACTTTTTAATCTAATCAAATTAGTTAAATGAGTTTTATATTAAAAACCGAATGAGTATTTCATTAAAAAACCCTAAAAAATTAATTGACAGTAAAAATATTTGAAATTTGGAAATACTTTGTTCTGATCTTAAATGTAAGACTCATTTTGTATTGTAATTATTACCTCTGGTCTTTAATATAAGACCTTATTTAACTTTTATTTCGGTCATAAATATAAAATCTCAATCCACTTTGTCTCTTATATTTATGCGTTTTTTTCCAAGATAATCCTCTTAACAATGGTAGTTATAGCCAATACACTTAATTGGTAAGGATATTTTAAGAAAGACAATACATATTTATTAAAATAACTAACTTAACTTGTTTCTTAATCTTCTCAAATTAGTCACTAGCTCTTATAACTAGAATCGGAGGTAATAGTGTTTAGAGCCAAAGAGTAGTAATTAGTTAAAAGATATATTTAACGACTGTAGCATTAAATTTAAGTAAGATCATTATTTCTTCAATTTTAAATGAAATGCCCCTTAATTTAACTACTCTTTGCAGATGAGCAGGCTAAGGCGGTCCGCTTTCTTTAAAAACTAAAAATCCTTCTGCCCTTCTTTAACTATTTTATTGAGGGCATGCACGTCACACGATTCGCGTTCCTTGCGAGCTGAATAAACAAATGAAATAGACCAATAATTAAGAAGGCATCTGGTAACGATACTTTTGAATAATACTTTTTTGTTGATATTTCTTTCATATGTTTTTAAAAGTTTGAATGGTCTACTGAGTCGTAGAGGACAAGTTATTCCAATCTTAAAATAATCTTTTATATATATAATTACAGTCACTGTTACAAAGCAACAACTCGATAATTAAAATGTGGAAGGAAAAAAGAAATTATCATGTGCTGCATACAACATATGCAAGAGACGGTAGTTAACGCGAGACGTCTTGTCCAGATGAAACGTTGACCCCTAATTAAGAGACTGCACATATGATTACTTCACAGTGGGAGCAAAAACGGATTAATTTATCATAAATAAAAGTTTTTCCTGATTATTTTAATCCAAATAATGTTTACAGCGAACTCAATCTTAGAAAAGCTAGCCATGGCTGTATGCTTAGGAGTTATTCTTTTCTTTCCCCATCCTATATACGGACCTTTTCCTGGTAATTTTAATTATGGAAAATGAAGTTGGCCCAAAAAGAAATATATGAGGGAAATCCTTCTAGATTCTCCAAAAGGACGTAAAATCCTTCTAGATTTTACAGCAATATTCTTTCATGTCCTGATAATTAAATTTTAAAAAATAATTAAAAGAAATTAAATAGCCATGCATTTTTATTAAGTTAACCCATCAATATAGCTGGGAAAAACAAAACCCACCAATATATCTTATCTACACTTACAGCATATATGGGTAACATTCCTCTCCCCCCTTTTTTGCCAACTCTATATATAATACTCCCCCCTCACGATAAATATGTAAAAAAAAAAAGTAATTTATTTTTCAAAAATATTCTTATTTATGAAAAAATGTGGATGAAAAAATACATGAGAGAGAAGGACTGGGAAAAATGATAAGAGAAACATGTAATTAATTAAAGGTAAATAAAAAAACAACTAAATGTCTAAAAATGTCTAAAGTTTTTTTTTTTTAATAAAAAGAAACATGCGCTTTCGAAAGTATCTCTTATGAATAGGAAGAGAGGGAGTATGCTTTTTTTTTTTAATGAGTGTATATGTTGAACGTATCATGTTCCCCCCCCCCCCCGGTATGTTTGGGCCCAACATGAGTATATTTAATTATACAAAGATGGAACGATGTAAGCAATAGAACAATTTTTTGTCATGGAATGACTGTACATGTAGTGTGTTACTGGATAGGTCATCATTCGAGGTCAGCATTGACCTAAACGGGGCAAGTATGTGGAGGAGATAATTAATGTAATATTGTAATTTGTAGAGTAGTGTGTGATGAGATACGCAGGAACCCACTTTCAACTTCTCATTTATTATTAATCTGGGCAAAATATAAAAATCAACGCACAATATAATGAACAGCGTAGAATATACAGAGAGAAAGTAGGTTGATGGGACCAAGCCACTAAATTGGCAAGCCACTAAATTAGCAGTTTTCAAATGCTCTTGCGCTACTTCGCTTCGTGAAAACGACGCTTTCATGGCTTGTTCTCGCTGTCCGCTTCCTGCCAACGTAAACCACTCTTTCATCAGTTGAGCCACAGCTTCCTTTGAACTTAATTCGGTTTTTATTTACCACTGCTAGTAGACCAAAGTGTGTGTGTCCAATATATGTATCCACATTAAATGACCATGGACATACAATGAAATAATCAAATCTGGAGGGACTATCGTGTGGTCAGCATGGGGCCCACCACACCCACACCCACAATTAAATATGCCAAGCCATAAAATATGGAGTACTCCACAAGTGGAATATCATCAGCGGCAGCCTCCTGTGCGTGTATATAAAAGCTATAGGCTCCCCAAATCTCCACAAACTACACACAACTGGTTTACTTAAGAAAGGAATCTCGCCTAACACATGGCGTGCAGTTCCGGCACCACCATAGCCGCCGTCCCCGACGACATCATCCGGACTCACATCCTCACGCGCCTCCACGGTCCTGCACTCGCCTCCGTTGCCACCACATCTTCCCAATTCTACGCCCTCTCAACCGACGAACGCCTATGGGCCAGTGTTTGCCGATCCACGTGGCCTTCCACCAGCTCTCCCCTCGTCAGCCGCATCATCTCCGCCTTCCCTCATGCTTCCCGCTCTTTCTTCTCCGACTCTTCCACCACTTCACGCTGCACTCCTCAACATGTGCACCCTCATCCAGACCGCACGCCCCGGCTCATCTCCGCCGTCGATCTTTACTACGGTCAACAACTCCTACTCTCCAAGGTTGTAGAAACCGAAACGGTGTCCGGTTGGTTCAGGTGCTCGCCGTTCCGGCTGGACCTACTCGATCCCAAGGACGTGGTTCAGACTCCGGTGCAATACGCAAAAGACGAAAACGCGTATGGGGAGCTGAGGCTGAGCTGGATAGTGATAGATCCGGAGGGACGGCGCGCCATGAACTTTTCTAGCCAGAAGCCGGTATCGGTAAAGCGTCACTGGCTGAGCGGCGAGATTCAGGTACGGTTCGCGTCGGTTCTGGCGGGAGAAAAAGGATCCGCATCAGAGTTGGCACTGTGCCGGTTGGTCGTGATGTGCGGCGGGACAGAGGGAGGGGAGATGCAGGTGAGGGAGGTGAGCATGGAGATGGAGGACACGGAGGGAATGCACATGAACGGGAGGGAGAGTTTGGTGATGCTGCAGAGAGCGATGGAGGGCAAAAGGGGAAGGAAGAATGTTGGGGAGGAGGCGGAGGAAGAAGCAAGGAAGCGATACAAGGAGTTCATGGGGAAGAAGAAGGAGAGAAGAGAGAAGAAGATGAGGGCAGAAGGGAGATTGGACATGATCTGCGTGGCTCTGGTAACGGTGTCGTTTGCCACCGTATGTTCCATGTTCGTGCTGTGGTGAATCATTTCGGGATGCATCACTTAGGTCGCGTGCATTAATATCCAATTCCCAGCCTTTTTCCCTTTCCCTTGCTTGGCCATCAAATAACATATGGCCACAATTAAGGAAAGGAAACGGCTATAACCATCGCGGTGTATTTCAAAACATACATGCATATATATATATATACACAGAGTTACAAGGCATCAAATCAAAGCTTTAATTTAACCAATTATCCCATATTTATTGCCTCTTGTTCAGATACGCATTATGTATTCGCAGTGCATTTACTTAAATAGCTACAACTCGAATTCCGCACCAACCTTTTTTTTTCGGGGAAAAAAAATTAGGAATCAGTAGCAACTGTTGCTGTGCATAGATCAACATCGATGCATGTATGTGAATGGGAATAAAAATGATTGGACCTTGAGAGCGGGGATGGATTGGGGCCTTAGGGCGCGTTTGCTGGAAATAACATACATATTTTAACGAAAGAAAATGAAGTGACGGAAAGGGGGGATAAAACGCAGGTGCGGTTCTTAATTAGAAATGACCTTTAATTTGTTGATCGGTTTTTTTAAATAACCACGTCTTCAAACATTTTTTGAAGAATTTTAATATTTACTATTTTTTTAAATACCATTTGTTTAATTATCAACATGGAATATTTAAAAAATATATGTAAAAGAGCCATCCAAGCTTTGGATACCCATACTGATGAGATCTGAGACTCGATCTAACAACATACTATATGATTTTAAATGCCTGGAAAAAGAATTTGAAAATATTTTCAAGAATTAAAAATTATTTAAAGAATCAAATTAACTCGTATCAGCTGAGCAACACGCCGTCTTAGCTCAGCGGTAGAGCGCGTGGCTTTTAACCACGTGGTCGTGGGTTCGATCCCCACAGACGGCGTTTTATGATTTTCACTTTTAAATTGTGCTTCAGGGCGCCGGATGACGTGCTCAGAGATCAAGACCGTCAAATGTTTTGCGTCTTCGACATCCACAAACGGCGCGTTTTCCTTTTCTTTTTCCTTTTTTTTTTTTGGCCACGATCTCCACAAACAGCGCTAAAAATGATGCGCTCTTCTAAAATTTTACCATGCCCTGTCTCGTGTCTGACCCAGAACCAGACCATCAAAATTATTGGAAATTACGACTTATTGGAATTTAGACCATCATATAATTAAGTAAATGATGGGGTTATTTCTGTATTATTTGCAAATCCACGCCCATATTGCATGATACTCAACCCATTTAATCAAACAACTACAGTTGATGCAAATAATTCCGGCCTCGACAGACTTCATTTTACACCATTTAATAAAGTCTGATTAAAGATTACGCCCAAAAACAGTCCAATTAAGGGGAAAGAATACATATAATCTGATTAAATTACAACTTCAATATAATTTGTGTAGACAAACCATTATTATTTATGCACAATATCATATGCTATTTTTTTACCCAAAAAAAATGCATTCCCCTCTAGCACTAAGGGTGTGTTTGGATGAAACCAAATCATGGTTTGGAGAATAGCTTCTGGAGAATAGATTCTGGAAAAAATAGATTTTGTGAAAAAGTGATTCTGAGAAGTGAGAGTGTTTGAATAGTTGTTATCAGAAACACTTTTTATATGTACAAATTATTAAAAAAAGCATAAGTTAATATGATAATTACATAAAACATAGATTGTATGATATATTTTAATTTGAAGGAATAAAATTGTTAATAATATATTTTTTACCAACATAATTAATAATACATAAGATAATATAATTAATAAATAATTAATATGTGTATATTTATTTATAAGATATAAGATTAAATATGTTTATAAAAAATTAATTAAGGGGTGTTAAAGTCATATTATTGTTGAGATTTACTCTAATAGGTACAATCATACTCTCTAATTTGAGCTAGAAGCAGAATGGATTCACTTCTCCCGAAACTATGGTTTTGACCCAAACCATGGTTTCAGATAATTTGTACCTGTTTGGGTTGTTTTTTCCTCAAACCATGGTTTGGGTCTCCAAACCATGATTTGGCTTACTATACAAACAGGGCCTAAATAACACGTGAATCTGAAATTTTCATTTTAAGTGTTATGTAATGTCATTGTTTTGTACTTAGAAGTAGAAAATGTAATAGTTTATTCTGGCTCAAAAATGTTAAAGCTAATGCATTCAAAGTCACCAAGTCAAAGTTCAGGAAGATGATTTATAATTCCTCTAACAATTCAAGCAGTATATTTATATATTCTCCTTATTTTTGTTGCAAACTTGTGCAAATTGTTGCTAACAAAACAAGTATCACATCTACGTCTCTATTAAATTTATAGAAAGCCACATCGTTCATATGTCATAAACAATTCATTTTGCCATACGGGACTCTATGCAATGGCCGGGTTCCTCCATCTAGTTATACAGGCAAACATTTGGAATATAAGTGCGGGAAATATAGACCTTTCTTTTACTTTTGCTTCTTGCTATAAAATCCTAACCTACAAGTTCGAAACAAGTATTCTAATACAAAAGTCCTCCTACATTCAATTTGTGGGCTTGAGTGAGATCAGCAAGAACGATGCTTCTGACTGTCATTTGCTTCGGGAGATTTCAAATCTCAGCTTCCCTACTCGCCAATGCCTGCAATACTGACCAATAAAGCACTCGAGCTTCCAGGACATTCATATTCATATAAATAAATTAGCTGTGTGCTGTTGGTTCAGGAGGTCCTCTGGCAACTGGCATTCCACCACCAATATTGGATTTGGGTTTTGCATAATCCACAAAGATAACGCGACCGTTTAGTGCCTGCTAAGACAGATATCCATCAGTTGTAGCGTCGAAGTTATAGCTTGATATTTACAAAGCATAAAGATATACAAATATTGTCATTACCTTCCCATTCATCCCTGTTATGGCATTCTCGGCCTCATCCTCCGAGGCAAAGGTGACAAACCCAAACCCTTTTGATCTGTCTGATACCTTGTCCATCACAATTTTTGCTGGAAAAGTAAAATAATCAAAGGCCAGCAAATCATAACATGCCGACACAGAGAGTAGCTAAATGTTAGCGCAATAAGCTTGAAGCTACCTTCAACAACTTGACCGTACCCAGAAAATGCTTCTGACAATCCCTTCTCTGTTGTAACAAATGATAGTCCTGTAAAATTAAATTTGTTAAATTTAATAATTATGTGAATTAGCACTAACTACTAATAATTAAGGGGAATATTTATTTTCAAGCAACTAGTCCAGAGTTAATATTAAGCATAGAACAGATGGGGCCCTATCTTCTGTGTGTGTTGTATGATAGGTTGGATCACACATGAACCCATTTGGGCAGAGGCTCCAACCTCCAACTCTTTAGTTGTGGTTTCCTATCACTATATGACAACAATAAAGATGCTTAGTAGGATAGAGAAATACATTGATATTTTAATATACAACAAAACCCCGGCAGTCTAGAAATTAACATTCTCTCTGACGGCTCTCACTATCGCTCTCTCTATTCTCTGAAAGCTAAGGGGAAAAGTAGGTTTGAGAGTCTACTCCTCTCTTCTCTGAGATATCAGTTAAACGTCCATGGGTTCCTCATCAGGTTCGGATATTGTTCATGAGTCTATATTTTAGATCCTACAAGTCCTTTATACGTGAAGAACACAACTCCGACATCAAATAACCTTTTAAGGTTGATAGAATCAGTATATTTAAATTGGAAGCCAATATAATAATCAAAGATGACTGTTGTCATCAGCAGAAAACAACGATCTCAAAGTTAACAGCAGTTCAATCATATGATCCTCCCAAGAGGCAATTAAATGCAGTCGCTAAAGTTATGTTTAATTGGGTGGTTATTATTTGTGTCCCACAGCAATTAGAACAAACTCTAATCCATGAGATTAACAGTGTTGCAAGGCCCCAAAGGAACCAAGTGAACCGGGAGAAAATGAATGAGATTTTAGGGTAACCTAGGACACATTGGCTCAATTGAATTCGAAATCAATTTCACCTCAGTTTAAAGAAAAAGGTTGTTTCTAGCCAAAGCCACAAGCTTATTCCCAGACAATGAAAAATCAAAGCTTCAATATTCTACGTAACCCCAACTGTCATTTCCAGACTCCGAATGTCGATGATTTATCATCCTTCACAAAATGCAAAAACTAGGCATAAAACAAAGAAAATCATAACAGAATTGACCTTTGTTTTTGTTATTTGTTATTTACTCATTTTACCTTAGCTTAATTTAATTCAGGCATAGAGAATACCAGCAACATTGGTCAAATATTCTCAACTAGTTCGTCTTAACGGTAAACACATGCAATATCAAATGAACATTCTAAAACAACCCTGCTAAAATTCAAACCAAACAAAAAATGTTTGTGTATCATCAATAAGCACGTTGATGATTTAACCGAACAGATGACGGTGACAATCGGCCTTTCATTTGTCGGTGAATAACTGTAACGGGTTTAAAATTCGACGATTGAAAAAACTGACCAGTGGCAAAGGAAACATACGCCGGTTTCCTCACCAAAGAAAACGGAGGAAGCGAGGTGGAGAGGAGAGAAAAAGCAAACCTCCAACGAAGAGTTTGTAAGCAATTCCTCTACTGAGGAGAGCAGGAGACCCAAGCGAGAAGCGAGACAAAGCAGAACGAGTGCCAATCAATCTCGTGATCGCTGCCATTCGAAATCGCAGAGAAACAACAGTGCGAGTAAAGAGGGTATGGAGACCAGAAACTGGGAAGTGGAAAGGCGGACGCATAGGGGAGGCGCAGAGCAGGAAAAGGCCACACTTGTACCCACTTGGGCTCCGTTGAGCTGCAAGCCCACCGAGGAGCGGGCTGGCTCCATCGGCTTCATCGCCGTTGAAAAAATTTTCCCCTCTTCTTGCCGAATGATATTGATTATTTTTTTTCTTTTTTTGCCAACGAAAGATATTGAAAATTATATCTATAGTCCTTTTTTTTTTTACCAGCATATCTATAGTCCATATTATATATCCCAGCAAAAATACAAAAAATAAACTTACACTACAAAATAAATCCTATATTTAAAACCGAACGAGTATATTATATAAATGATCTTTTTCCTCTGTTCAGCATATGTTTACAGTTTACTACTTTTTACTTGCGGAAGTTGGAAACGCTCTCCGCCCTGGTTACGTCTTCTACATCTGTGTTGGCATACTTGCAAAACAGGCTTCCCTGCCTGCCTCTCTTGTGCGCGTGAATAATTTCTTTTTTTTTGGTGCAATCAAATACACTTCACCCAGCAATACACAAAGAACAAACAATGAGAACATTTTTTTTTTAAATTAACACTTATTTCTTGTACTTTAATTAAAGCCACATTGTTATTTTATGAATAATTTTCATATAAATTATATGTTTTATATAAATAGTTATCTCAGCAAAACCAACTAATCCATGCCATTGTTCCCCCCCCCCAAAGCACCGCAAAAAAAAAAAAAATTCCTGTGCCATTCTTCAAGACCTGTAGCTGAGCTGTCCGTACACAGCCGGTGTGCTCAGCACCTTTGAAAAAAACTGCATAAATTGCGATTTCCATGCATACAAAAACTAGCTTTCTCCTCTGCAGAAGAGAGCATTTACATAACTATGTAATCAGCCAATGACTTATAGAGAGATCGATTTGCTGAGAGGCTTAACTGTATAAAGAATTAAAGACAGCCTCAGTCAAAATGGCCGAGGAAGAGGTCGAGGTTAGACACCCAATCAATTTAACTCTAACGTCTGTGCCAAAAATACAAAATAAACGTAAAGGGCAAAACTGACGCAAAATCAAAACAATTATTGACACCATCCACACATTACGGGTATACCTTAGCAGTGATCAAACCTTAGGATAGACTTGTCACCAAGGAGGGGGGGGGGGGAAGAGCTTAGGATAGACGGAAAGCTATATGAAGTAACACCAAGAGATGAGCTCTTGTTAACTACTATCTACAGAACCAGGTCCATATGGAAAACTCTCGACTCCGACTTGAAACTACTCATCAATGTTGCGGCTTTAGCAATGTCTGAAACACCATGTCAACGAATTGATCATCCTGGCAAAGGAAATTTCATTAGAGGAGAACCAAAGTAATGACTCCTATGGCAGCGGCCTGAAATAAAAAGATAGCAAGCCTCCAACTTAACGAAAAAAAACATACATTCATTTCACTTTCTGTGGAAACAACAAAAAAAAAAAATAAATGATAACTATCCAATCTTTTACCATTTGAATGCTGTTAGGAAGAACATAGGGATCTATTTTATAATTGGAAAGTATAAACATGGACATGACTAAATAAAAAAATATAAATTTTAAAATTTCCATTCTTCTAAATTCTTTTGCCAATGAAATTGTGCCCAAAGCTAATCTTTTAAAAGGGTAAATGAATATTTAGGAAAAATTACAGCTAGGTCTCCTGAATTTCATTTAATATTAATGGGTCCTAAAGGATTTGATATTTACTAGTTTAACTAATAAATGACAAAATTGACTTAAAAATATGAAAATTTGACTTGTAAACAATAAACATTAAATTGTTAAATTTGACTAGTAATTGGTGGGATTTGACTTATAAATATGAAAGTTATTAAATCCCTTAGAACCTATTAGTAATAAAAGAAATTCATGAGACGTATCTGTAATTAATTTTCTTACCAAGGACCTATGGTGATTTTTCCTAAATTTTATAGCCTCGGGCTTGACATAAAAATCAGCTTGTCCTCTTATGGTTTCTTTTGTTACTATTCAACAAAAAAATCAGTCAACATATTGAAATATCTAATGAGAAAAACAAGGAATTTAAACAGATGATAAAACCATAAAATTACCTGAACAAGTGATAAAAGTGCATCACGCACTTTCTCCCTTCTGATAACAGGCTTGTTGGGGGTGGGGGTATTAGTTGGGTTAAGAGATGGAGGTGGACTTGGCGGTGGAAATGGTTGAAGCAACGGTGTGCCATGTTGGCGCGGCTGCGGCTGCGGCTGCGGCTGATTCAGGAAATTAAGAAAAGCTGCAGAAGGTGCAGATGGAGAGAGAGTGGACGCAAAAAATGCAGAGGGCTTCAAAAGATTGGCGTTTTGACTGCCCCTCTTGCTTGTATCAGAAGAGTCGTGCAGGAAGGCTGGCAGCAATGAAGCTGAGTGAGAAGCAGATGGTACATTCATAGACGGGGCAGCAGAAAATACACCACTGGGAGCAACAGAAGCAGCATTTCCAGAATGGTAGGACTGTCTTAAACTTTCCACATTTGAAATATAGTTACCAGTGACCTTATCTGTCTGCAAATATTAAATACATTACTTTTTGAGGTCACATAACTGGATACGGTTAAACTGCATAACATGAGCGCACAGAGCAGGCATAATAGCCAAACTTTATACCAGCAATTATTTAATCAACACTTACTGAATTAATCCACATCAAAAGCCTATATATTACTTGAAATTGCTACTGCGAAAGGTGCAAAGTGAAACCGGCAGCTATATCATAATCAGAATGCCTGGTTAATTGAATCTTTATCACAGTATCATGGAATAAATTATGTTTATGAACTATAAATAAACCTTATCTTTAAGAATGATAACTGATATTCTATCAAAAATAGTACTTCCTAGTAAACATCTTTTTCTGGGTTTAAGTATCACAGTATTGCAGGCTTCACATATAAAGTTTTTCTGCTACCAAAGCAAATTTTTCTAAGACACAATAAGAAAAGAAAACTTCAAATCAGCATCAAAGAAGAATTCATCCAAAGGCTGAGAAAATTATGCTGTACGTGCTACTAGATTGCATACATTGAGGTAGTCTACAAGTGCAGGATCTTCAAGTGCACCGATTGTAGAAGGGGTGGCTGAAGAGGACTTCAGATGCTTTTCTGCTGTAATTGCTACCGGTTCAAGTTCCTCAAATTCACTACAGCGTGTACCAAAACATGATGTATTAGCTACACATGATACCACTGCAGTTACATGTGATTGCAACAGTTTAAACTTTAATACGGTAAAACATTAGTTCAGTTACTGTCAGTCTCTACAGAATGACATTTCTTTTAAAACTACAGGGATTCAACCACAAACTTTTCAACAATAAGAACCAACTAAAATATTATGAATTTGAATTTCAAATGTTCGTTCACTCTCCAAAAGGACATACAAACCAGTGCAACTACACACATATATTAGCTGCTTGACATGCACTAAGGAATAACTTGATTATTTTTTTATATTTTAATTTTAAATAAAAAAATCAAATTAAAACAATTTTTTAAATCAAAAAAGTTTGGGAGGCTAAATAGACTCCCATTCTCTTCCATATATAAGAATTTCTCTTACATGGTAACAGAAACTTCATAAGATCCCATAAGCCTTTCAAAAAATCCGTACCTTTTGCTATAAGGCAATTTTGTCTTTGGAGCTACCTTTAAGTGTGCATCAAGTATCCTGTTAAAGTTAAACAATTGTATGCCATTAGTGGGGGGGGAAAAAATTTATGAGCCATTAAGTATACAGAAACTCAGATACATGATACATTAATAAGGGGGGAAAAAGAAAGTAGGCAATCCATGAGCATCTATTAACTAAAAGTTCGAGCAAAATATACAGGGAAAAAACAACATAGAAGACTTGACTGAGAACATCACGTTACCCATTAAAGAGACTTGCGACTTCTTCACTTTCATCTGAATTGTAAAACCATATACCATTAACTTCTTGGGCAGCATTCCTATATAATAAGTATGGCTTTTTCAGTTCATACTCAAAATCCAATAGATTTTCCACTAGATTATCTGTCAGAACAAAGTTTGGATAGAAAACGTGATTCAGTAGAAACAGATAATAAAGACATAAGATTAAATGCATGCAGACCAGAGTAACATCTACTTCTCCATACTTAATAAGTAAAACTATTGTTAATAAGACGATGATGAAATCGTCAAAAGGGGCATAAGATCCGGCAACAATAAATCCCAAACAAAACTAACCATAAAAGCTTATCCCAATCTTAAATCCAATATGGCAGGATAGGATTCAGAGTTGGTACCAGAAATTATTTCTTAAGGGTATATTTTTAAAGAAGTTAATGCATGCCCTCATCGATTATCATTATCTGGAATTCAAAATGGAGATAACTAGCAACACATAAAAGTTGCAGAGCAATCAAATGGAATATATTCATCACACCCGACAGAATTGCACAGCAAATAGAATTACAAGGTTATAGTGTTCTACAGCAATGAGAGTAGCACTTGTCAACAATACATGGTGATCCATGGTAAGTGACAGTCATTTGATGCCTGGTATCCAAAAGGAGGCAATCGATAATCACTGGTGATTGGTGCTAGTTTAAAAGAGAAAGGAGAGCACAATAGGATGATGCTTAGTGGCATAGGATGATGATGCCTATAAGCAGGGGCAAAAACAACCCAAGCTCTTTTTGAGCTACTTGGTTCGGCATGTACAAAAAACAAGTTCGAGTATAACGTGAATGTGCTTAAATATTAAATGAACAAGTCCATCTTGGTAATTCCGATGCTTGGGTCATTATCATTGCACAGCCTATTCAGTACATCTCTATAATCTATATATAATATAAAAATTCTCAATTAAGCTGCTCATTTTTCAAACTCCATGAAATGCACAAGACCTACATTTGTTAGAGATAATTACAATAAATGTGAATCATTGAATAATTACATACATTTTTTTAACTTTTTCATACATAGTTAATGAAAACTTCGCAAAGTTTTTCAATTACGATTTAATTTATATATGTATGTAAAATATGTATTATATTTGGGATACTATTCACAAGCTACTGGAGCTAGGCTTGTCTAGCATGACCACACATTTCAACTCAAATAAAACTAGAGGTTGTATAAAAGGTTTAATGACTGCCCCACATACAAGATGGCTTTTGCTTGGCAAGCCATTTGAAACAATCTCATGGTGAAAGGAAGAAACCATTCACCCATTTTTATAGCAAGTACTGGCCACTAAACATAAATCATTCTTCCAATCAACCAATACCAGGGATAAGCTCAATTTGATATTTCATACTTCCTCCATCTCATATTAATTGTCACAAAAACAATTTTTACAGACACCAAGCAAATCATTAAATAACATTATATTTTAAAAAAATTAATCTACTAAAATGCCCTTAGTCTTCTTTAAATAAATACTACTCCTAATTTAATGCCTTCTTGGACTCTAAAATTAATAAGAGGCAATACATGAAATAAAAAATTTAATGATTCCTGAAATCTAAAATTGACAAGTTTTATGAAACATGAAAAACAAAATTTTTGTGACAAATAATATGTCGAGTATTGAACACGGAACAGCCAAAAAAAAAAAATACACAGAGAGAGAGAGAGAGAGAAGGATATTGAGGAACTACATTTCGCCAAGTTCACCGTTAAAAATAGCTTTGTCAAAGGCTCCTGGAAATTAATTACTAGAAAACATGTCTACGATTAATACTCCACTTCTCCAGCTCCACATTAATAATAACTGCTCCCACACTACTCATCAATTGGAAAATAAAACACGTAAACTTAATAAAATTATGAAACATGGTGAGATAATGCCACAAGCATCAGTAATAAATGACACTAATTTTCCGAGTAAATAAACATATCAAGCCCAAAATCAAAGAATTGCAATTAGCTTCAGTACATATAAAAATCAATCAAATATAATAGTAAACCTGCATTGCGGCGGTTCATTACGATGAATTGAAATTGAGGTTCTGTATTCCTGAACAAGAGATAGCAAAAACGAAGGTGATCCAAGCCTACATGAATTCAATCGACAGCATTTACAGAATAAATAAAGACAGGTAAGAGCCAGTGTTTATCACCTCTTCACGACAAAGAGAGATCCTTCAACATCCTTACGACTCTATAACCACCCACAATTTCAAACATTAGATAAAAGTTTGATGTGAAGGCTTCAAAATACTATTGGATCCGGGAGGAGAAACAAAAACAAAAAGAAAAAATTGGAATAATAAATAAAAAAATATAACCGCGCAAGTTGAAAATGTTTTTTTCCTTTCGTTTGGAAAAAAAAAAAAAAAACTGGAATGAGTTTCATGCGCGTATTACATTACAGGGTTATAAGCCGAACAAAAACGGAGGAAGAGTGAGACTGTGAACTAAAATAGTTCCATGGCACCAAAGGGAAAAGCTGAATTAAAACGAAGAACGAACCCATTGATTGCTTTCGATGTTGAACGAGTAGAAAGAAACATGAGAGGCAGTAAACAAAATCTCTTCGATGCATGGATCTCTCCTCTGGAGAACAGTGAGATTGAGCATCTTCGTGCTCTGCTGATCAAGATTCGGCGTCAATTTCTTGGTTTGAGACATTTTCGTTCGATGATGCAAAAACCCTGAAACCTTGCCACTGCGAAAGACAACGATAGGGCAGCGAACGCAGAAGTGAAAGAAGAGGAGTGGAGACTTGGACTTGAGAAGAAAGAGGCCCCAACCGTCTTAATAGCAAACAGAGTCGCACTCGCCCCCTTCCGATTTTCGGTCTTTCCCCTAATCTACAACGAAACTGTTCCGACCCAAAACGCAAAAGTGAAAAACCGAAGACCGGGACACTTATTATTTCCAGAAACTAAAAAGGCGGGCGTCTAAAGTGATCCTTGTACGGTTCGGCCTATTATAAATTTTGTATTTTATTATTAACCCAGAATCTTCCATGCCTACGTTAATCCATGATGCCCGATATTATATATGCATTGAACTTTAATTATGTCACCAAACCGAAAGAATATAGAATTTAATACGAGTTAAATATTTCAAATTATAATGCTATTCATAACCTAGATACATCAAAAATAGTAAAATTAGATTTTACCGAACCCATGCACGTGAGAATAAATTTTTTTCCAATTTTATCGAAGGAACACAGGAATAAAATATTTTGACCATACCCTCAAAATTAAGAGTATTATTAATTGTGTAATTCCCCGACTAAATATTTATCTTTTGTGGGCCAAACCAGGTACCTCTTCTACTCTTGAAATTTGGGGCTTATTTAGAGCTTCTTAGCGTAAATACTTTTGCGTAAGTTATGATAAAACTCTTGTCATATACTTAGACTTATTTGGAATCGTGATAAGAAATTTTAAAAACAACTTTTCAATTATAATTTAAAGAGTATGAATTGATTATGTGATGTGAGTTTTGTTTTGACTTATATAAATATGCTTATAAATACCTGAGCTAAACAGATATAAATAAACATTTAGGTCGGCCATCTTTTATTATATTGTTTTGATAGTACTATGGATTCGAGACTATCTTGCTGCGTTTTTGGCACCGAAACAGCAACAATAACACATCTAACTTAAGTTTTTGTTGGATTATTGTTGCGTATTAAAGCAAAACTATTGATTGACATGGCTAGCCGATGTAAAATAAAGGGGCCGGAGAAGTAATATATGAAGAGAGACAAGACATTGACTTGACGATCAAAGTCGCCGACCATCGACTAAAGAAAACGCAGTGACATTTAATTTGTTTCACCAAAAGCAAAAAAGAAAACGTTTAATCTGGACATCAACCCACATACGACACAATCAATATAATTGACTGGAGATTCAGAGAAATGTAGCACATCTTTTCAAGAAGATACAAGTCAAGCTCTGTGAATATATATAATAATCTCATAGCTATATGAGCACATGTGTAGGTGTGTGTTATTGGAGAGCCAAAGCAGAGACGATAACCAACACCACAAAGAAAACCACGGCAACGAAGGACGACACAACTGCTCCACTGGTAGCCTGGCAAAAATCTGTGAACTGACTGCAGATGGCAAGCCAATTGGAGTCATCGTTCCCATTGTGTGCCAAGTATACTATGGCGGCCGATGCAGCCCCACCGGCAGCTGCCAGCGTCAGAAACACCTGCACACACACACATATATAAATCACAATTATCCATATATCACAAGTACATCTTGAATATTAATTATATATATATATATATAGAGAGAGAGAGAGAGGCTAATTACGGTGTCAAGGACAATGAGGAGAAGCCTTGCTCCCACAGCATGGGGACGAATGATGGTTACTACGGAGAAAGGTAGAGAGAGAACTAGGTAGCCTCCTGCAAATGCCATTGCAACGACGAAAAACCTGCATTATTCCAGAAATGGATTAATTAGTTAGAGTAAAATATTGTGATAATTGACTCCAGAATTAAGAAAGGAAAATGTGGAATCCGGGGATGATGACGACGATGATGATGTATGTATATATGTCATATTACTGGAAAGTAGGGAAGTCGTCGTAGCCGGCTTCAAACTGGAGGAACTGAGTGAAGAAAGGAAGAATCTGATCAGCAGTTGCCATGGCGGCCGCAGCACCCAAGGCAGAAGCTATGCCTCCCAACCTCAGAACAAAGTCCATTATGGCCATCCCCTTCTTCCATCCTCCCTGATCACGTGGAGCTACAAGCATGGGCGCTTTTGCTTTGCCTGCGTCGCTTTTCTCTGAGATTTCGATTGTGGTCGACATTGTTTGGCTCTGAACTATGAAAGCAGAGACGGTGATCCTCTTACAAGAGTTAACGTATATATGTGTGGAGATTAATGCCTGGGATGAAAATGGCTTCGCGGCTGGATCTTATATATAGAGAGACTGAGAGAGCATGCATGGTCTCAGAGAAGTCAGCTTATATATTTTAATGAGGCTGAGGAGAGTTGTTGTCAAATTCAAACCGTTTCCACTATGACCATGAGGTCACCTTCCATGCATGGCAAGGCAAGTAGAGAGGTCAGAAAATGATAAAAAATATTTAAAGCTAATATGAACCTAATTCTACTTAATCAGCCCTTTCTTTTGCAATTTATTTCATCTTATTCTTGGCATGAATATTGTTTCTTTTAATTAAGTCAATGCTTTTCATGCTTGCTGAGATTATTTAATCAATCAACACGTACGACGCTTGAATTTAATGCAAGATTATCTTTTGAGAAACAAAACAAATTGAAAATTCACCAGCATTGACCATGTACCAACCATCCAACTCCATTCTTTTATCAAACATATGTTGCCTGCATAGATAGTTTTTTAATGCGTCGCATTCCGATTTGTAAAATAACACGGCTATTAACGAAGATTTATAGGCATAACCAATCTTAAGTCGAAATAAATGGTAAAGACCTTCTTCATATCTAAACAAGTGGCTCCAACCCATGAATATGTAGAAATTTAGTGGGGTGGGAAAATCTTTGCTATCAGTCAGACCTGCTTCTCATGCGAAAATAGTACACTCCCTCCAGTTTTTTAAATATAGCAGCTAGTTAAAATTTTTATTTTGATTTAAATTTAAAGTTTCAATTCACTTCTATCTCTTAAATTTATGATTTTTTTTTCAACTGCAAATGATTAAATAGGATATTTTAAGAAAATTAATGTACATTTTTAACAATTTACTAACTTAATTAATTTTCTTAATATTTACAAATTACTTATATAACTTTTATATTAAGGGCCAAAGTAGGGGAGCGTATATAATTTCAAGTTTAGGAAATTTTTTAAAAAAACTGAAAATAAAAAACCTATACATGAGTTTTTAAAAAGGACAAAAGTACGTGACTATTAATTTAAGAAGATCGATATCTGGATCTTTACCACCATTTTTGCGGTATAAGATTTTCGACGTGGCACTTATGAAGTCCAAAATATTCGTTTATTAAGACATTATATGATTCATTCATTCCGAATATAATCAAAACAAATAAAACTTTTGAACAATTCAATATGCCGTGCGTTTCTATATAAACATGTACACACACACACACGCTATACGCCCATGGTGAAGTGAAGGCAATATACTCACATGCACTTAGTTCCAATAATTGTAACATCAAAATATTACTGCTTTTAATTCTTAATATAAGAGCTAGTTGATTAATTTGAATAGATTAAGAAAACTAGTTAAGCTAGTTATTTGTGATAAATATGTATTGTCTTTTCTAAAATATCTTTATTAACCAAATATAGGGGTGTTCACGAGACGGGACCGGACTGAGACAGTCCCGGTCCCGTCCCAGTGAACAGTAACGGGACGGGACAGGGACGTCCCGTTCCTATTTTTTTCCCCCTTCAATGGATCTTTTTTGTTGGGCCTGCCAGTCTTTCCTCTTTTGTTTTTTGGGGGCAAGGCATTTCTCTATGTTATTTGGGCCTTTTTATTACTTCTAAACAAAAACTCTTCTGGTTTGTGAGTAATAACAATTTTAATCAAAGATTGTCTATAAAATAAAAAGCAACGTCAAAACTAATAACGCAGGCCATTAAACTAAGCAGTCAGTTTGAGAATTAGAAGAACAAATCGAATACACATGCTATTGACATCTTTTTTAAATGCCTTGCTATAATACTCATATCAAGGGAAATGATCACTTCACAATATATTGGAAATACTAGTGTGCATCTATTTAATCTTGCGCATCTGAGGAAAATAAGTAAACTGTAACTATGAAAAAAATCCTGGAGGGACGGTGCCATTCTTTTTTTCGCCCTGAAACACGGAGTCTCTAATCCAAAGCTGAAACCCACCCTACGATAGCATTAATATTGTCATCACAGTGGGAAGAGACACGATGAGAATTTTATAAATCACGGTGATGCACCAGTCAACTCGAGGAATTGCATGCAATCACATACGGGTATCTCAAATACAATAAAATTAGAAGTAGGATTAGCATGGGAGTATTATACTTTTCGATATTTAGGAGATTGCAAAGCACCCTTACCTCAGTGATTAGGTAGGGAAAGAGATTCAAAGCTATAATCGTAAGCAGATTCAAAGAACTGAAGCCGTGAGGCCGCAGGAGAGAGTCATCGGCATCAGAGCGCTGGCCCAAGAAAAAATCCCCGAGATCCGAGAGGGCACGACTAGCGATCTATGGACTGGTTGCCACACGCGAGAGGCTGAGGGAGATCTGCAGGAGACGGTTTCAGGCACTGGCTCACGTCACGGGGAAGGAACGACCTGAGGAAGTGATCTGAAGGCGGGCCAAGGTGAAGCTCAGGGGAGGCGCCGAGCGGAGGTCACGTTTTCGGGGAAGGAAAGAATGACGAAGTGATGACTCTAAAGACAGGGGAGGCGCTGAATTGGTAGTATAATGGTATTAGACTAAAAGAAATAATTAGGGCAAATCGGAAGGGAGGTCTTATATTTGCAAAAAAAAAAATTAATTATATAGTATATACCTCGGGACAGGACATGGATGGGACAACCCCGTCCCATGTCCCGTCCCATCCCAAAGTTATCAGGACCGAGACGGATATATCGGGACGGGACAATTTGGACACCCCTAACCAAATGTATTGGTTAAAACTACCATTATTACAGGGATTAACTTTAGAAAAAATAAATACATATGAGAAATAAAATGAATTAGAGTCTTATATTTAGGATCAAAATAAAAGTCAAACAAGTTCTTATATTAAGAATCAAATGGAGTATATTGCAGCATTATGCGGAACTGATATAGTCATCTTGACTCTCCATCTAGTTAGGTATTGTATATTCGAGTAACAACGTGTTTAAAAATTTTTGGCTGTTTTTGTTATTTAGTTACGTGGATGTCTAGGCTTGTTTAATAAAAGATAAAATGTAGTGTAAGGGTTGTGTTGCGTCGTTCTCAAAAATGATGTTTTTAACTTTTGAAACAAAAAATTAAACCGGGATTAATTTTTCCCTTGTCATCTAATTTATAAGTTCTTCAACTTTCCTTCTTACCCATTATGGATAGATCGTTATGATCTATGGCAAGACAAAGGTGTAGATCGTATTATAGAGAAAGGTAAGAAGAGCAGTAGAAACGAAGTGAAAAGCACATTGTACATTATAAAAGCTATATGCGAGGAAGATTACAACAGCTTCCGGAATTAATCATGAAATGGACACTTGAGTGAAATATCACTTTTATATGCATGTACACAACTTGAGAACTTCATAACAAGAAGATAGATAAATGTGGCACAACATAACGATAGAATGCAAAGGTACCTAAGTACTTATAAATTAAAAAAGTTCACATATTTTGTCTCATATATTAATTAATTCTGCTAGTGGCTTCTCAGAGCCACGCCAGACAGGACGACCATCAAGAACATGGCAGCCACAGCAACAAAGGCTGACACCACAGCTGAACTGGAGGCCAAGCAGAATTCACCAAATTGGTTGCAGATGGCGAACCAGTTTGTGTCCTGATTGCCATTGTGTGCCAAGTATGCTATGCCCGCTGATGCAGAAGCACTTGAAGCAGCCAGCGTCAGAAAAAACTGCAAGTGATTGTTACAACATAAATATTTATTAGGAAAAATATTAACGATCACTGTGTGTAGCTACTGAATCCAAATAATTAGAGCGCTTTACGGTGTCTAAGATCAGAAGGAGAAGCCTTGCTCCAAGTGCATGGGGGCGTATAATGGTGACAATAGAGAAAGGTAGAGAGAGGACTAGGTATCCACCCACTATTGCCATGGAAATAAGGAAAAACCTGCATTGGGTTAAACGATCTAGGAGTCATAGTTCATTCCCTTGTGAATTTAGTTCTTGCCAAAGCCAGATTGAAAAGAAGAAAGTCACGTACGTGAAAGTAGGAAAACTATCGTAGCTGGCTTCAAACTGGAAGAACTGAGTGACGAAAGGGAGAGTCTGCTCGGCAGTTCCCATGGTGGCGGCGGCCCCAAGAGCAGCGGCGATGGCACCTAACCTGAGAATGAAGTCCATTATGGCCAACCCTTTCTTACTTCCTCCTGGTCTTGCGGCTGCATCAGCTGCAACTGCTTTTCCCTTCTCCACGTTGCTCGACTCTGGGACGTCCACGGCGGTTGACATTTTCTTTCTGCTTTGAAAATATCAGTAAATATAATGCTATGAGTTAGAAAGGAAGTCTGCGATGCAAAAGGGTGATCACTGGTTGAAGCTTATATAGATGGGAAAGGGCAGTATTTTGGATGAGTTTATTAATTAGTGGAATTAAGCCAAGGGGAGTTGTTGAGGAAAACCATTCTCACTTTATAGTTATTCCATCTTTTATTCAAAAGGCGATGGTATGGTTAGTCGCCATATGTCCAATTCTTTAGAGTCACTTTTGATATAGTAAAGCAAGTGGAGATCAAATAAAAATCATCACCAGCTGGTCAAACAGATATAATTGTACGAGTTAATAACATATTAATTAACCAAGTTTCCTTCTATTATTTCCGTCCTTTTTTGGGAAAAAAAAAACAGAACATAGTGGACGTTGTTGGGTGTGTTAATTCTTCCTAGTACTTTCAAATTATAAATTAGACTATATATGAAGAACTCGTGAGGGAAAAAAACCTTGTTAATTAATTAAGCTGTGCTGCTGTAAGCATATGTCCGTATAACAAATTCTCCTTTTTTTAGTCAGTCAACCAAACCACACGCATACGCAGCCTTCCTAATCCAATATTGCAAATATGAGACTTCGATCGGGTTGGCATCTCTGGCTAATGAAGATGCGCTGTTTTACATGTTAAGGAAAATTATTTAAACTTCCAAAAAGTGAGCAAGATGATTTTCTTGAGAACTTTGCACACTAACAATTAATTACCACGACTTAGTATTTCTGAAGTGCCAAGTGAATGAAATAATTAACCAATGTACAGTTGTAACACTAAAGTTAAAATACTACGCAAGTTTATCTAACTATCAAATTCTTACAAGATAAAAGGCACTACAGATCAGATTCACTGTTTGCTTTATGGTATCTCGGTTAGCTTAGATGAATTATATTATGTCTATTTTTTAATTAGTTCGAACTCTAGGCTATCCTGAATGAGTACCACACTTGGGGAAACACAGTGTCCTCCTCTATTGTTTCCGTTGTCCTCAAACGTTAGCTCAAATGACACGTTCCTTTGGCATATACTTCGTTTGGTCCTTAATATAAGACCCATTTAACTAATTTGATTAGATTAAGAAAGTTAGGTAAACTAGTTAATTATAAGAAAAGTGTCACATTTTTCTTAAAATACCATAATCATCTTTCTTAATATCCATTCTCCCTTTTCTACTTGATTATGGTTGAGAGAGTATCCATAGGGGTAATTTAGAAAAAATTAATAAATATGATAATGAGTCTTATATTTAGGATCAAAACCAACTCAACAATTAGATCTTATATTAAAGGACCGGAGGAGTATTAATATTAAGAGAACTAATATGCTTAGGTTTTAAAAGAAGGTTGCAGTTATATGCATAACTAGATAAGTAAATATATGATAAAAATGACAAAGTTATCGATTGTTTTGTTTAAGTTTACAGATTAAACAGAGCAATGAGATAAAACAACTGAAGAGTGAAATGGGAAGTAGTTCAGCATAAGACAGTATAATAAGTTAAATGTTTCCAGTCATATTGTATCATTCACAAGCAAAATGCATAAAGTGGCTTACCGCATAATATAAAAGATCAAACAAATTACACTAGTTAAAAGTCAGTTGATCTTGCTTCTTTTTTATTTATTTTTAATACAAAAAATCCCCACTACCACACACAATTTTTATCAAATTTAACCCTCACTAATTAATTCTGGCGAATGAAAGTGCTTAATTCAGGTAACAGACCTGATAGTTCAGCATAAGACAGTATAATAAGTTAAATGTTTCCAGTCATATTGTATCATTCACAAGCAAAATGCATAAAGTGGCTTACCGCATAATATAAAAGATCAAACAAATTACACTAGTTAAAAGTCAGTTGATCTTGCTTCTTTTTTAATTATTTTTAATACAAAAAATCCCCACTACCACACACACATTTTATCAAAATTTAACCCTCACTAATTAATTCTGGCGAATGAAAGTGCTTAATTCAGGTAACAGACCTGACATTGGATTTTTTTTTTTTCCAAACAAAAAAGCAACTCAACTCAAAAAGCGGTACACGGTAAATTGTAGACGTTTGCTAAACTACCGCTTTGATCCATGAACATCTCTGTGCGTGCGTGATATTTTGTTTCCCTTTTTGTTTTTGGGGGGGGGGGGGTTGCAAAACATGAATATTATGACCCCTCGACAAGAAGACGAAAGAAAGAAAAGAAAGACCCAGCCCAAAAGCCCAGGCGACTCATTGGGATAATGGGCCCAGCCCAACTGAAACCAGCAAAACCTCTCCTGCCGCTTAAAACAGCAAGCGACTCCCTTTCGCGTCAGGGATAAGCTCGCCGGAGGCTTCTCCGTCTCAGCAAAATGTGGGCAAGCGCAGAAGGTGGTGCTCCGGAGGTCACTCTAGAGACTTCCATGGGTCCTTTCACCGTTGAGGTACTTCCGTTATATTTTGCCCCTCCCGTATTTTGTTTCTGCTCATTTGCTCTGAAATCCTGACGAACAATTATGGATTCTGAAAATTGCTTCTTCCTGTTTATTATTTGTTTTTGAAAATGAAAGGCATTTTTTCCTTCAGCTAAAGTATTAACTCACCCGTTGTCATTATCTAATTTTGGGTTCAGCTGTACTACAAGCATGCCCCCAGAACCTGCAGAAACTTCATTGAACTCTCTCGCAGAGGCTATTACGATAACGTTAAGTTCCACAGAATCATCAAGGTATTTTTCTTTTCCTCGTTGTCCGTGGCTTTCGTTATTTAATATTAAATCTTATTATTTATTTCCACTGTTGAGTAGGACTTCATAGTGCAAGGCGGAGATCCCACTGGAACAGGAAGGGGAGGAGAGTCCATTTATGGGTACTTTTTTTTTTTTTTTTAAAGTTTTGGCTCCGTATTGCTTTTTGAATGTTGACTACTAGAGCTGCTGAATACTTCTTTGCTTGCTGTTTGAATTTGTCTTGCTTGGCCATTGCATGGTGGTACTGAGTGACTGAAGTATGGAACAATGAGTTAATTGTAAATTCATTTGGCCTGGGATATTTTATCATATTTCTCCTCTTACTATTTATGACAGTCCAAAATTTGAAGATGAGATAAGACAGAGTTGAAGCACACGGAGCTGGTATTTTATCCATGGCAAACGCTGGCCCAATACGAATGGTAGCCAGTTCTTCATTACTTTGGCGCCATGCCCTTAACTTATAAGGAGTTTATAGGAAGGATTGACATATAACTGGATCCGTTGACAAAGCTTGAAATTTATTGTCTATGGACTAGAGGAGAGGAAACTTTTACACAAATGTGAGCTTTCAGAAATCATAAATGTTACTCCTATCTGTCTTTGTCCTGACTGTCATAACTCAGTTTTAGTAATTTCTTGGATTATTTTATTGTCATTATATGATTGATGATTTCTTATTACTTGTTTTGCATCAGCACCAATGGAATGAATCAAAAAGATAGAACTAGTGCAGAACAGGCTATTGAAGTTTTGACTTCTTAATGTAATCGTTTCATTTATTCATTAAGATAGACACTAGACAATAGACTAGATATCTACCAACAGTTTTTATTTTTTTAATTTTATTTTTTTAATTATGAATTAGAGAGTCCACTCAAGCAAACTTTTAAATTAGATTTGGTGTTTATAATTGTTGACTGACACCATGACACGATTAGCTAGTTTCTCAATGATCTTATGAGTTACATCTTAAGCTTTCCGGAATTGTTAGCCACTCTGAACTATTGATTCTGGTCCATCCAGGTAAACACACCATATTTGGAAGAGTTTGTCGGGGGATGGAAATTATCAAGAGACTTGGCAGTGTGCAAACTGACAACAATGATAGGTATGAAAAATATCCTCCAGAATTTTGATCAAATTGTATGCACCACTCGTATATTGCATCTTGCCTTTAGTTTCATGTTCTGGTTATGACGCACCATATTTAGCAGGCCAAAAACACATCTTGAGGGTATGTTTAGTCAAATGTTCGGATATCTTGGGGAATGATGAGAGTTAAAGTTGTTTCATTTGATCTTGTCAATTAGTATAATTGCTAGCTCATGCATTGTTGCTTTTAGTTTTTATGCTTCTTGTGTGCATGCTTCCTCCTCCTCCTCCTCCTTTTCTTTCTTTCTCTCTTTTTTTTATTTTTATTTTATTTCCTGTTGGGGGGGGGGGGGGGTTCCGATTTCCGACCATCATCTTATGTCATGATTGAGTTTTCATGACAGAAAGTTATACAGAAAGCATTTTTACGTTTTAGTATACTTGCTTAACCATTGCATATGGTTTGGCTCAATAAAATTGTCATTATTGGTTTAAATTCTGATATTTCCGTTTCTTTTTGCCGTTATTGTTTAAATTATATGAGGTCTTAGTAACATGCTGAGGGACTGATTTCTTTCCGATCTTTCTAAAATCATATTTTGTGTTATGTGCCTTTGTCGTCACTTGATACGATCAAAGTCTAATTTCACTAATAATAGCAACCTCCAGCTTAGTCTTATTTTTTCAGTTTCTTTTTCTTCTATTTTTGCCCAAGTGGTCGTCTGTAAGAATTAATTTGATTATTTCTAATTTTCCAAATTGCACTGATACTAGGCCTATCCATGACGTGGAGATACTGAGGACGTCGGTCAAGGATTGACACGAGTTCCCTGTTACCCGAGAACTGCTGTTCCTGCAGTATTGTGTGGAAAACGGGGTTTGTTATGTTATCACCTTGCCGAAAGGGGAGGGACCTGGAGCTATCGACCGGAAATATAATTTTATCATGGTTAGGTAATAGTAGCTGGGGATCAACATGATGTATAAATTCTGGATAGGCACCGAGCCTGCTTCTCCTGCCTTGAAAATTAATTTCTTACAATGGAAGAAGAAATTCGCGTTTTGAAATTTTGAGAATCAGAGAAAATTTTGATCCATTGTATTATTAGTACTATCTAAAATGAACCGATATTGGAACTGGTTGATTTTTTTTTTTTTGGCTTTGAATATTGGAACTAGTCGATAAGATTTAACGCTTTTGACAAAAGTGACCTCTGCAGATCTCTGATCTTTCCGACTTTTCTGTCAATCTGCATGGTCTTCTTTTTCTTTTTTTTTTTGTGTCAACCCGTTTTTTTAATCCAACATGATCCTATTCATCATACATTGATCCAGTGTTAATTTTTTGCAGTGGTTTTTAAATACGGTTATTTTATTCATTGATCCTTGGCTTGGATCTAAATTAAACATTGCAGGAAGCCATTGTTACAGTTTCTATAATGCAACAGTTACGTAAATTATACATTTTAGTGCTTTATAAAAATGTTATGAAAATGACCGAATAGAAGGCCTTCATGCCTCCCCGGTATATAAAGATCATAATTACCTTGGCATTTACCTAGTATTGATGTTGACAAAACTTCTTACATATTTATCTTATATTTCATAATGGATAGTTCTCTTCCTGTGGGATCAGGTTTTGAGCTGCTCACTTATATTAAACTTCACATAAAAATATACCGCGACAACTAAAAATAATGATTGATCAATCATGTTAATGACTTGATTCTTAAAAACTACAACTAAAATATTAGCAATCTTGTATTCTGGCGCTATTCACCTTTGTAAAGAAAAATATTCCTTAACCACATTATGATTATCTGCAACATTAAAAAATTACCAATGAAGAACCTTGCCCGAAAGTAAAATATTACACAAAATTTACACTCAACTAGCTTCTATAATTCGTGGGAAAAAAATTTGTATCGGCTACCGAAATACGTTGAAAGCAACATCAGCTCTTGTAAATCCACTGCACTTCGAGTCCAAAACCGAATTGACCACTGTAGCCTAACCTTTTTCCCAAAAAATTGCCACTCTATGACTGTAACTCCTGATGCAGTAGTTGCCGCAGACCTCTTCCAGTAGCAAGCAAACACCACAATATACATCACTTCAACCTACCAGTATTGCACCTATTCTAACAGTTCAACATCCTTGAATCACTACAAACGATTCTCGGATGAAGTTTAACTAGAACCCACCTTTCCTTGTTTACTAGAGTGATTCAATGACCCCCCATTTTCTTCGCAGCTGCGGATATTGAGCTTAGATGGCTGTGATGAGTTTAATTCACTGGTCTTGACAGATCCTGGGCTGCTGTCTGTTGAATTGGCTATCCTGGTTAGCTCTGATGTCTTATTAGATGGGTCACTCATTGCAGCTGATTGTTGCAACAATTCCATACGCTTTAAAGATGGAACATCTCCTTTACAATATCTGCGCCACATGTTCCTTAACGTTGATTCCAGGCCAAGGGTAAAATTCGTTCCATCACAAACAGGAGACTTGGACATGAGTTCTCGAAGACTCATCCTCAACTTTTGCAGGGCCGGTATGTCAGAGGCCAACTGCAGAGCCAATTGGACGTATTCATCTTCATTTCTGGCAACCAAACGCTCCAGACCTATATTTTGTAACATTACATATTATTCAGTTTTTAAAGTCAACGATAAATAATGGTGCTCAACAAACCCTGTTTCCCTTCTTTTTCTTTTTTGTTTTTTTTTAGGGGGCAGGGTGGGGGAAAGGTGGAGGGGGGGTGGGGTTTTGGGCGGCGATGGGCTAAGCTCAGATGCCCCTTCACCAAAACAATCAAATGGGCTGCCCTATATGAAAAGGACGTAAAACAAACCGATTGTTTCAGATTATTAATTAGCTCGATTGCAGCACAGGATCACTAAAGAATTATAAATAGCCCACCGGACAAACCATGGCATGCAACGGGGCTTATCGAGATCAAGGTCCCAAACCATCATCAGGTTTGGGAGGCCGTCCTTTAAACATGCTGGACTTCAACATCCACAATACAGAGGACCTATATTTTCAACTTTTCTGTTTTCTGTTGTGTTTCTACTTGTATGTTGGGACAAACAAATTAGACACTTAATAAAATACATGGGTATCTAAGACTTGTGCTGGGTATCACTAATTGCCTAGTATCGATCTAATCTACTCTAACCAGCAGCATACAGCTTCCCCCAACCCCCCCCCCCCAAAAAAAAAAAAAAAACAAAAGGGTGATAAATCTTGCAGAAATGGCCGAGGCAAGAAAACATGGCAATATAACTCTTCCAAAAGAGGGACGACAGAACGGGTGCAGAGGTACAGTAGATGTCCCAAGATTATTGTTGGGAATGAAGAAAAAGAATTACTTAACCATAATGGTATTAGGATATTTAAAGCTTTTAAACTCATTCTTGAGCATGGAACCCCTACCAGCATTGGCCAATACTGCCTTAGACTTGGTTGAAAAGGATTTCACAAAATATACAAAAGCAATAAAGAAAGAAACAAAAGTGAGTTTCTTACCAACTTTGCTAAGAAGGCTAACACCAACATTATGTGCATGTACAGAACCAGCCATAGTGACGCATGGAACTCCCATGTATAGAGATTCACACGTGGTGGTTGTTCCAGCATAAGGAAATGTGTCCAAACTATACATGAAACAAGGCATCGCTAATTAAAAACGGCATATGGCAACCCATATATCCCAGACATATAATAGCAATCTCAACATTAAAAGGAAAAAAAAAAAAAAAAGGAAGCAAAATTACAAGTGAATAATAAGGCATTAGTTGCACATAAAAAGAATAAGCTTGCAAATGAATATAAAATATATATTACCTGATATCCATCAGAGAATATGCTTGCATATGGTCGTGGTTAAGAAGAATTAGGGGTAGCAGATCAACACAGAGTGGTTCGACACCTAACTGCTCCAATGTTGCAAGAAATCTCTGTCTTACACTATCACAACAAAATGGTTTACATTTTACCACAAGGCGTGAATTTGGAACTTGACGTAATATCCTTGCCCAAACTTGCAATACTTTAGGTGTGATCTGATCATATGAAAGAAAACAAGTACCTAAAGTCAGGAGACACTTTCTCCTAAGGCATGCTCTTAGTTGGCCCAAAAAAAACAAAAAACAAAAAACATGTTTAACATATTTGACTCAAACACTACCTTCGCAAGATTGTTAAAGCTACCAAACGTAATGAAGCCATTAGAAAGAGCAGGAGTAGGGCAAACAGGCCCAGCCTCAAGCGAAGGTGTGTAACAAAGGAAGCATTCCGGTAATCGAACTAACTCCTCAACATGCCTGTAATTCAGGAAAGTACCATGATTAAAAACGCTAACCAAAATTTTGGTGAGAAAGTGATCTAGTACAGAACTATGGTCAGAAAGTACAGAAGTTCCAGAAGAGATCTACTTCTGCTTTGTTTCAGGAGGGTCTGCCAGCGAATCAGTTATTCTATAATCAATTGCAGGTAAACCGGTTGTATTAGGATAACCAATCCAGGTCACCTACATGTCAAGCAGTACAAGTGGCATAGGCCATATTAATAAACAATCAAAACATAAAATGATTGCATCATGCACATTGTCATCAACCAAAGAACATTTTCGATAACATAATTGATAGTTTAGCACTACCTTCAAGGAGAAAATAAAAAAAATAATTAGATGACTAACTAGTTTAAGGTTCAGAACTGAATCGCTCTACGGACAATCTTGTAAAAGTCATAAAAAGAAGTATTATGAATTCTTGATCGACCAACTCCTTAATTCAAATCAAAATAAGGAACCATATTGTGAGTATCTGCAAAACATGCTACTAAGACTAAATATGAATTGGAAGAACAGAGAGATGAGAGGAATATAGTAAGCCATACAAAGGGTTAAGAATAAAAATGCGCTCAAAGGCAACAATCTACATGACAAGATATCCTCAAGGCTCGACACACCTGAACTGGTGCAGGCCGACATGCCATCATTCCCAACTTGTTGTTTGCAGTATGACCAGTAAGTTCTACCAGAATGTCAACCTGGTCTTCTCTAACCATGTTGGCTACTCTCCTTTCATCAGCCCCATATATATCTCTCCAAATCCCACCCTTTTGTAGAACTTTCTCTCTAAATTTTATTGTTTTTGCATCTGCCTGCAACACCACATAAAATAAAAATAAAAATAAAAAATCCATAACGCAATGGTTTGTTTGGTGATATTGATCAAATCATCAAAATAGCATTTGGCTGGCTAAAGGCGCGTGACAAATCCACTCTTAACAATGGAGAAATGTATACCAATACATTGTAAAGACAAGCATATGCCTGATCATAACAAGCTAATAATGAGCCACTTTAAATGTCAAAGAACTAGAAAAGCGATTCATTACAAAACAACGTAAAAAAAACCTTTAAAAAAAAAATTGCCGAATCTTATATTAGAAGACCAGAATCAGATACCAGCAATGTATCTTAGAACAAGGCTAAAAAAGTGTACATCACAACTAATCTAAGTGCAAACTTCAACTAGAAGGTTTGAAAAGACAGAAGAATGCAAAAGATAAAGAGCACAAGATTTGGGAACAAATATTTAAATTCAAGCAGCCTTGAGTTAATTAATGGTGGCTGAGATCAATTGGGAAGCTAAACATCATGAATCGCCGCAATTATAATTGATGAAAGTTAGCAAAACGTCAAAGGACAAACAGTACACTTCTCCGTAATCCTTTAACACTATTAACGCTGATGTGTGTCAACTTTTTGGGTGAAGTGCATCAGCTTGAATAAATACCCAGTGTAAAAGCAACTATGGCTTCACAAGAATGGAATATAAGAGCCAAGGACTACACTTGTTACAACTGGAAAGTGGTTTAATTTTCATCCAGCATCCAGATTTTATTGCACCAGCTTAGTGAAAGGAAGAAAGTTATTACTCCAGGATGCACTTTGCTATGATCCATATCAAACTGGATATGCACATCCCACGCAGCCCCACCTGCCCCTACTCATGACAATAACTTTATCAAATTATGCTGTGAAATGCTGGACAGCTGATCAATGGAGTTATTTGTTGGAAATATGATAGGACGGATTGTTTTGGCATAATGCAACCAGTCAACCCACGGGCAGCATGGTGAGCAACAACTTCATAGCAAGTAGAAAAAGCTACTTGTTTAACCGTTTGATCATGCCAATTTTATGGTCAAAACATAGCAAGACAGGTCCCCATGCAGAACATATGTCAAGTATGTATAGGTGAGAGAGCAAGATATCTTCTGCCCATGATGCGTGGTTTCTATATACTACGGATCTTCTTTCTTGATTCCCTTCTCCCATTACATTTTTCTGGAAGCCAACATAAGTCTCATATATTTCTCAACTATTTTCTAATAGGTGAAAAGATATTTTAAGAAATGTAATAACACATGCATAAGTTATGATTGCAATAGACAAAAAGACAAAAATGAATGGGGAGACAAAATTACAACGACATTCAAATTCACAAGGTCATGTTGGAGCATCTATAGTTAACCGATGGAGATCCGGCTGACTCAAAAAGGAAAAACACTTGAAAAATTATTTGGTCTTTAGAATTTTCCACATGAATGGAAAATCATTTTCTTCTTAGTACCCATAAGTTTATTGACTTGCAAGAAAAAACATATTGAAATAATCACCTACAGTGTGCATAAACAATAATAACATACCTTGACAACTGCCGAATAAACTATGACTTTATAATTGGTGTAGTCATGATAGACAAGGGGAGCCTCTATGAAGTAAGACACCGAATGGGTAAAATAATCAGGAGATACATATCCTATGACGAGAGGTCGCTCAGGATCTTTAGTATTTTCCCATGTAGAGTACTGCGAAAATAATCTCATGAAGCGCCTACCCCAGTCCCTGCATTAAAACATTTTAATAGTCAAGGCTTTGATGCAACTTGTCTCCAAGCTACAAAACACATTACAGTAACAAATTTCATAGAAAACATAAAATCATACATTGTTATGGTTATTTATATAAAAAATGGCAACCTGTTTCAACAGCACTATTCATCTACTATCAAGATTATTCTAGGAAATTCCTTCTGCAAAAGCAGACATTTGAAAACTTTTGCATAGAGGTTCCAACGCGATTAACATAAAAAGTCCCCTCACAACATCAAAATGTTTAGAGGAACCATTTTTATGGCTCAAAGATAGGCATTCTTGGGTTTAGGAGCTGGCAGAATTTCTACCATCAGAGGATCCATTTCATACATCCAAATCTTCATTGTCTTCCAAATCGAAGCAAGTTCTCATTACCCCAAAAAATAAAAGAAATTTGTTTCTTTTTATTTTCTTCTATTCCATAATATTATACCCCCAGATCATAGAAAGGGGCAAATTACCCCTATATCTCCACCGACATGACGCAGATGGTAAATATCATTCGGGCTATTGGCTGAGATAGTCAATCTTTCAATGGCCAGGGAAATTATATCCTTCACCAAACAATTGACAAAATCCAATGTAATTGATTAAAACAAATTATAATGATGTTCAACAACCTTAAAACAAGTGAATTTTCCATCCAAAATCAATACTGTATAAGAAGTTCAAAGGAAAAAAATTGCAACCTGTGAGCTTCAAAAAGTTTATCATCATGGCCTTCATCTATGTAATTCATTGCAAGCAATCGATTCTGCACATTAATGCTCATCGGAATAAGATACCAATAAAAATCTAGAGGAAGAAAGATTTAACAAGCATGTACAAACAATGAAAATGAATAAAATAACAGAAATATATGACGTCAAAAAAATGCACTTTTAAAGTCATCAATATCCAGGTGAACCACCCTCATTAGCATGCCAACTTAGAAACTCTTCCACTTTCCAACACAAACTATGAAAACAAAGAAACTAAAGAAAAGGAGTGAATTTTTCTCCAACAACCTTCTATCACAACAATGTTGGATTAGGCATGTTAATTGTCCGGTCAAAATTTTTAAAGTAGCACATAAAGACAGATGTGCTAAATTTTGAGCAAATGAGAAATCACATAACAAACTCACAGTAGGCTGATTCCTGATATGCCCACTATAACCCACTTATGTACTACCACAACATTCTAGCAGCCAACATGAAGTTTTGTATGAAACTCAAGTTCATACGGATGCATGAACTTTCTTTATAGAACTCAGTAAGAATGTATATTCACAAAAAATGCACCATACCTGGCCAGCATTTCTAGAGTCGGGATCTATCTTGAGACATTGCTCATAAGCATTAACTGCCAGAGTGATATCACCAATATCCCTATAAAGAACTCCTACATAACAAGAAAACAGAAGATTGTACCTCAGAGTATACCCAATTTTTCAATTAAATACAGAGAAAAAGAAGCCACCACAAAAACCTATAAGCCCTTTTATAGGAGCCAATATAGGCAAAACCAGTAACAATCTTTCACAATTGCTCCTGCATGAATCTTTTAGAAATTCAAAATGAGCTTCCACTTTCCTACCTTTACCAGTATGAATGTCATCACATCATGATTCATAAGCTTTTTAACCACTTTGTCTGTTCATCTTTTGGCATCGTTACCTTAATATAGCAAGTTAAAAGACCTCTATCAAACAATCTCCTAGCTAGAAAGAAAGCAGACATCATTCTGTTTAAGCTGTTTGGCAACTTTTGAAGGTTATATGAGCACAAGCCATCAAAAGCCTAAAAATCAATATGACTCTTTGCACCCAGAAAGTATGGAGAGATCAAAGTCATAGAACTATGTTCATACATTGATTATAAATTTTACAATTGATGAAGTCCTGTAACCTAAGAAAGTTTTACTGTCAATATGCCAAAATATGAAGCAGCAAAACTGATATGTAATTGTAATAAATAAAAGAAAGTTAGTTAGGGTAGTTAAGAATAACGGCTATAAGTAGATGTAAACCCCCTTATTGTAAAGGAGATTATGATGTGAATGATACGCAGTATTCCGTTCCAATTTCTCTCAACCTTCCTCTGTTCTTCTCCCTCTCTTTCTCTTAATCTCTCTTCCTCTCTCTCTATTTTCCTCTGTTCCCCTCTCTTTTCCCTTTCTCTCTCATCCTAATTATATTTTACACAACAACAACGTTGACTAAGACAGCCACTTCTACGTCATTGCAAAACCACAACTGCCAGACAGAAAGGAACTCTGTGAAAGTTTAAATAAACCTAGATTATTGTAAGCTTCCGCATATGTTGGATTTGCAATGATTGCTTTCTCAATCATACTTGCAGCAGCATCGATTTTACCCTGAAGGAGTGAAAGAAGGCAATCAGCTATCAACTTCACATTTTTATCAATTATAAATACATAACTCGATCAATACTCAACCTGGACAGTATAGACAACACCAAGATTGTTCAGAGATTGTGAAAAATTAGGTTTGATTGACAAAGCAAGCTGCAAAATAACAAAAAAGGTGATGTAATAATAACTAAATGGACTCAAGAAGAGTGAAATCAGAAACAAGATTGTCATTGCTACCTGGTAACACTCTACAGCTTTATCAAGGTTGTCTTTATCTTTATATATAACCCCTAGATTGTTACATGCTTCCGCACAATGAGGATTGAAGTGAAAAGCAAGTTCATAAAATACAATAGCCTGACCAATAATTTTAATCAAAGCGATCAGTACATGACAATTTGTGGATATATGGATCTAGAAATATACACTCACCATGTCAAACTTGAGCATCTCACCATAAGCAACCCCGAGATTATACATAGCATCAGCATAATGCCAATTATAATACAAGGCTTTCTTATAATAAGCCACACCTTGATTGATGTCCCCTTCCAATTTAACCTAGATATATTACCAAGTCAAAACTCAGAAACAAAAATTTGAAAACTGATCTTTGATTCTCTATAAAGCAAAATAAAAAGGATTAGAAGTAATCATGATATCTCATAATACATGATAAAAAGGGGATGCTTCAATAGATATAAACTTGCCAAGCACAAAACAAGGACATTAATTGGCGAGCTTAAACTGTTGGGTGGTGGCCATCAATGCAATGAGAATTGAAAATGTGAAGCAGAGTAGGTAATTCAAAGGCTAACATTTTTGCACATACAAAACTTGAACCAGTCCCAAATCAGAACAGAACTTATTAAAAACAAAAAGGTATTTTCTAAACGCCACTTTTAAAGGTCAGGCAGCAAAGGAAAATCAGAAAGATAAGAGCAAGACAAAGTTATTGGTATTAGATAGAGTCCATATATGCTCACCTTCGTTCCCAAATCAGTCAATGCTATAGCCATATTATTCTTTGCAATCTCAAAGTTAGGGGAAACAGCTAAGCACCTGCCACAGCGCACCACCAAACCATATATAACAACAGTAAAATGCAATTCACTGAACGAATAAACATGGGATTACGGGTACAAGTTGGGCAAGAAAAGGTGAGTTCTAGCTTGATTGTTAGACTACCTCTCATAGCAAGCAATAGCCGCTTCCAAATCACCACGGTTTTTATAGATCACACCCATATTGCAATATGCTTCCGCATACATCGGCCTCTCTGATGCAGCCTTCTCATAGAAACTAAGGGCCATATCATATTGCATCATTTCAGAATACACAACACCAAGGTTATAATATGCTGGCTGCAAGAACGCAAAATATAAAAATAAGATATAAATATCATGTAGACTGAATGTTAAATAAATGTGGAGGAGATTTAATTATGGAAGCACTGCACAGCAAGAGAGAGGACTACAGCATAGTGAGGATCTATTTTCAGAGCTTCATAATATTTTTGAATTCCCTCTTGAGTGTTTCCTGCAAGCTTTATGTTGGTACCAATATCTGTTAAAACAATGGCGAGGCACTCAGAAGCTGCTTTGTATGAAGGATCCACTTGTAAAGCCTTCTGATACGACTGTTCCAAGTAATGTCAATCAGTTGGAGTAACGAGTCTGTGCAGCTTATCAGATAACTACTTAGAAAACTAGCATGGCAAATATGCGATGAAAAAGAAAATGAGAAACTGTGCAATATGGGGGACAAGAAAACGTGAACAGGTAAGTTTGGCAACTTCAGTTTTGTGAGTTTAGCATCAAGAAAATTTCAGTGACCATGATAAACCCAGTTCCATATGACTAGCACTAACCGTGATAAGTTGATCACCCATTATGTAGGCTACTAATTCATACAAGGAAATCTTTGATTATTGAAGCCAAGGCCCATAATCTAGCCATATATATTATTGGAGGAAGTTTCAGGGTTGTCTCCAATAATCATACTTTTCATTCTACACATTTTGTGCATGTTTATCTTTAAAGTGAAATTTGCAAGCATGGGCCTGGCATCAACGATTAAGAGAATATCAATTTCTGTACAGTATCATCATCTATGCCTTCCTTCAGGTAACAGTAAAACCTCAATTTTTTTACCAACCAAGTTTTCATGCTCATCATGTAATTACTAAAACTTTGCAACCTAAACTAACAAGTACAAAAGCAAGTCACATTCAGGATCTTATCATGAATGATGGAACTAAATTTCAATCAGGTGCTTTGCTGACTCAACCATAGCACGACACACAGGGTGAAATGAAATTACCAAATAAATTCACATTTCAGCACTATAAAGACAGGCTTCAATAAGAGCAAGAAAATTTTAATTGTGCTTTGCTGTTCATTAATTTTAATTATAAACACGTCACATCATCTATCGATCAACCTATTAAATGTGCAGTAAAAAGGTCATTTTACCATTGAAAAACCATCACGGACATACCTCAGCTGCCTCCATCAAACGACCTTCTTCTTTGTACAAAATACCACAATGCGTAAGTGCACAAGCATTATGAGGATCCAACTTGATAGCCTCAGTAAAACTGTCAAAAGCAAGCCTTCCCATGTTCTGCATTTGCAGGCATATTCCTTTTCCAATTAAAGCCTCTACATTTCCACTATCATTCTCAAGGACGCGATCATATAAAGCAAGAGCATCACCAAACTTGTTCCTTGAACGTAGGATGTTGGCATACGAAAGATTATCTTTCCCTTCACCTCTCTTATATACTGGATCAATATCCCCACCAGAGCCACTACTACTAACAGAAGGTTGTGGCGCTTTCAAGAAACCATTTTCTCCCATCATTTCCTTTTCTTTCCCATTCCCTGCACTGTTTTCCATCCATGCCATTGGACACGACTACCAGCTCACTTTCCTGAAGCAATCAATTGATTTGTTGAGAGCTTTGGAAGTTCATGAACGGCAAAAGGAAGATGTATTACACGCTTAGATACTTTTGCAAGATGGTCAAAATAATTAATTTAACGACATGGTCAGATATTAATGACAATGACTCAAAGCTGGAGCATCCCACTGTTCGACGCAGGTGCTCTTAGGTAGCAGCCAGGAAAAGAAAATTCAATCACACAGTGTAGAGAGAATGAAACAGTCAGCGTCAAGCAACATGGAAATGTTCATCAACATAAATTGATCGCAACTAAAGATTATTGAGCAAAACCCTAACAAGTAACTACAACTGGCGTTAAGATGCCCAGACCCAAAAGGGGGGGGGGAACAGAGAGAGTCGATGACAGAAGAATATAAAGGCGAAAAATTAAGCATCAAATTAGGGCTTCGAAGCTTACACACTCAGAGTTGATGCCTCTTGGAGTGGTGCAGTAGAAGGCAGAGCATAGTAAATGGGAGTGAATTAAACCTCGAATGGGCGGCTCATGAACACCTGGCAATTGCAGACAGGGAGAGGGAGAAGGGAAAGCAGCTGCAAAGAAAGCAGAAAGGTGGAAGAAAAGGATGATCCAATGGGGTTAGAGCGAGCGTCTGGCTTTCAGAAACAGTCGTTGGAAGGGCGCAAAAGCCCAAAGCCCCTTGATCCCGTCCGTTGATTACAACATTGGGCGCAAAGGGACAAGCTTCGGTTCGCTAGCCCCCGTCTTCTCTCCCAGCAGCCATTACCATTTTTCTTAGATTCTCAAACATCATATTCATAGGGTTTTTTCAAGAAAAAATAAATAAAATAAATAGATAAATAAAACTTTTCCTTGTTTTTTAGCCGGAGCTCTTCCTCCCTTTCCGAGATCAACAGTCTCCACTTGTTTTACTTGGAAGAAAAACTTACTATTCCTAAATTATCGTCCAATTATAATTTGTTTTAATATGTTACTTAACTAAATATCTTTTAACGTTCAAACGTTTTCTAAGATTATACTTGTTTTTCAAATGCCTAATCCAAGTCTTGTTAGAATATGTGGGAACAAGATTTTAAAAGAATATTGTGTTGAATTCAGCGAAATGTGTGGGATTATATTGAAAGGATAACAAATTATGAGACCTGGTAAGCGAGTTTCTTTACTTCTCTTCAGTAGAGTTACACAAGAGCGGGGGATATTAAGAACAGCTATTAGTTTTAGAGGAAGATGTTGAGATTATTTTCCATGTCATTTTAAGCCATGCTCTTACCGGATGGTAATGATCGCCAATTCACCAGTCAAACTAACACTCGTTGGAATGAATTGTTTCCTTAATAATAAAAAAAAAGATAATTAATCTCCAGGTCCTTATAGTTTCATCTGATTTTTAATTGGGTCCTTATAAAAAATTTTCTTTTTATCAGATCTTTTTACTTTCGTGTGTTTTTAATTAGGTCTTTCTATTTTTTTTTCTTTTTATCAGGTCCTTACAGTTTCGCTTATTTTTTAATTAGGTGCTTTGTAGTTTTTGAAAAATTATTTATTAACTTTATTCTTTAAAACTAATTTCATTTTTAAATTAATAATTATATAATTGGACAAAATAATTAATATAATCATTTAGTAATTAATAAATAATCATAATAATAATTATACTTAAATATAAATTATTTATAATCATATTTTAATTTTAGAAAAATTTATTATTATAATTTGAATTTTATAATTATAAAAATTCGAATTGAAAGTAAATAATATATTTGTTTAACTAAAAATTTAAAAGAATATTAACATAAGATTGTTACAATAATTTATTATTTTTAAAATGTTATTATTTGTAAAATAAATAATAAAAACTACAAGGGCCTAATTAAAAACAAAGTAAAATAATAAGGACCTGATAAAAAGAAAAAAATTATAGGAACTTGATTAAAAACCAGTTGAAACTATAAGGACTTATATATTAATTTCATTTTTGATAACAGATGTATGGACTAAAAACTGTGATTTCATTTTTTTTTTCATTTCATATAAACAATTTAGACATCTCGAAAAAAAAGCATGTAAAATTAAGTCGAGGCTCATTTGTCAAGCAGCGAAAAATTGAGAGCAATTAATTTATGGACGCCGTACAAGTTACTGGCTACGTGTTGCGTGATGCAGAGTTAATATTTCTTGATGCATTATTAAACGCGGCATTAAAACAACACACCACCTCCTTATGGTTTTTAATATAAGATTTTGTTTGATTTTTATTTTGGTTCTAATTATGAGAATCCAATCCATTTTATCTCTCATATTTGTACATTTTTTCTAAGGTAGTTTCTCTAATAATGGTAGTTCTAGTCAATAAACTTAATTAGTAAGGATATTTTAGGAAGGACAACACTTTTAATCTCTTCAAATTAGTTAACTAACTTTTATAATTAAGACCGAAGGTAGTATTAATTTATCTAAAATGGCAAGCTTTAATTAAGCCTCCCATCTAAAAAGTGAAAACCTTTCGTGTTCACCGTCAGCATATGAAGCAAAATATTTCAGCCTTACCTTAAAAGATGAAATGCCGATAATTTTTTCAATTTATACCATAAAATTAGACTATTATAGAATTCTGATTAAATAAGAAATTAGTTAGAAGATGGATAGAGTAAAAATGAACAAGTGAGACGAGGGGAAATATTAATTAATTTTTTCCCATCAAACTTTAAGTAAATCATATATATAAATCTTTTTTTTTACCGGAAAAGCTAATATCAAGGAAGATCAAATTAAATCACATAGATAAATCTTACTATCAATTATCACGCACTACTAATATTCCTTCTTTTTTCGCCTACCTCCTTGCAATCGAGTTCCGTCCTCCTTCCAGAGTCCCCTCTATGATCTAACTCCAAAACGACGATCGCGTAGCTTTGGATTTAATGATCAAATTAAAATCTTCCGTCATTGCTTAGTTCGTTGTCATTGTTTATTTATCAATCATATCAGTATATTATATAAAATTAAAATCTTCCATCATTGTTTATTTATTTATTTTCACAACCTGACATTTATACATGACAGAGAACTTATTATAGGTTGTGCTTTAATATTAGCTTCATGCAAACCATAAGATCACAGAGTAATTCTCTAGACAGTGAGCAGAATTTGGAGAGGTGTTTGAACAGAATCAAAACTATAGTTTTAAAAGTATTACTCCTCCGGTCTTTATTATAAGATCCAATTTGACTTTTTATTTGGTCCTAATTATAAGACCCAATCCATTTTCTCTCTTATATTTATGCATTTTTTTCCAAGATAATCCTTCTAATAATGATAGTTTTAGCCAATATACTTAATTAGCAAGGATATTTTAGGAATAACAACACTTATTTATTATAAATAACCAACTTAACTTACTTCCTTAATCTCCTCAAATAAGTCAATTGGGTCTTATAATTAGGACCGGAGGAGTATTACGGAAGTAAATATGTAGAAGAATTTATCTCAATTTTTAAGAAATGTTCTTTAGAAACACTTTTGATGCTCCCAACATCGCTTGATATGATTTCTGATTTTCGCAGGCGATGATGTTTCCTTGCAAGTCAATGGAAACCAATCACGTGACAGATAAGGGTCACATTGCAGTCAATGACATTGTTGATGGGAATTGGGAACACGTAACAAAAGAAGTATTTAAATCATAAAAATCAGCACTGTTTTAGGGTCTAATTTTTAATATAAAAGTTAATTAATTAATTTAAGTAAATTTTAAAAAAATAGTTAACTTAATTATTTATAATAAATAGTTTTTGTATTTTTTAAAATATTTTTGTTAATTATGTGTATTAATTAAAATTATTATTTGATAAAACGCTTAACATGTACAACTACTATAATAATTATATTAAAAAATAGTTAAATGTGAGAGACAATAAATTTGAGCCTCATATTTAAGAGCAAATTAAATGTTAAACTTATTCTTAGTCTTATATTAAAGTAGTGGTTTGTAAATATTTCCCAGTCTTGAAAGTTAGTTGAAGTCTTTACTCGTAATTCAAAAGGTTAAAGGATGCATTTGTACTTAACATACACACACATTCAACATTCATAACCAACACGGCAAACCTTAATTAAAAGCATTATTATTTAATCAAGAGAGAAACGGAGCTTCCATCCCAGTGAACCTCAATATACTCTAAATGTTAATAAACATTTTTTAAAATGCAATTAAAAAATTCTGCAGTCTTTAATGAAAAACCATCATTCAAATCAGCAATTAAATTTTGACTTCCTTTATACTCTTCCGATCCTTAATATATGACCCAATTTTTGAATTAGTTTTGGTCCTAAATATAAGACCCATTTATCATATTTATTAATTTTCTCTAAATTACCCCTATAGATACTTTTTCGACCATAATCAAATAGAAGACGGAGATGAGGTATTAAGAAAGATGATTATGGCGTTTTACGAAAAATGTATCACTTTTTTTTATAATTAACTAATTTACCTGACTTCTTTAATCTAATCAAATTAGTTAATGAGTCTTATATTAAAGACCGGAGGAGTGTATATATATATATATGTGTGTGCATGATTTTAACTAACTTCGCAGCCTGTTTCGGTCCAAGAGTTACAATATGTTGATTGGAATTAATTTAATCTTTAGAGACACACGATACGTTGGGACAAATTGAGTTTTCTTATGATAATATGGTACAATTTTAATAAAAAGGGTGAGTTTAGAATATAGAAAGACGGGTTTAGCCCAGTTTGGAACCTCTCATCTTCTTCTCCCATCTTCTTCTTTTTTTAACCGTTGGATTAATATTTTAACGGTTCTTATTTAAATATTTTTAAAATTATTATTAAAATATTAAATTATAAAAATAAATAAATTATAAAATACATACTATGTTAAAATTTAATTCTAATAGTTTGCAAGTGCACTGAATGTTTTTAAAAAAATTTTATAAATAGTTTATAAAAAATTAAAATCTAAACCGTTGAAAAATGACAGTGAGGTTCCGAGGTGTAACCTACCTCTTGTGTCCATTATATATTATCTTTTCATTGCATATCTAGAAACACAAGAAAGTATATCCTGAGATCGTAATCTGCAAATGACAGTGAGGGTACAACGGTTAAATGCTTGAACCGCAGATAGATACATAACGACCAAACTTTGAAGATAAAATAGACCCAAGATTGACCATTAGCTCCACCTTCCCTTCTCTCTATGACATTCCTCTCATATTTATTGCCTCCAGCCACCTCTTATCCTTCCATTCCTATACACAACTTCCTCTCTTCTGTTCCCAGTGGCCTTTGTCCTCTGCACCAAGCCTATTTCAGCTGATCTTGCCAATAATAATGTAAGAAATTTAATTTAATTTACAGCTTCTATTTTCAGACAGACAATTCTTTAGTTTCTGGGGTCGCGGCTGACCATTGTTGGTTCACAAGCACTCCAATAGCGAGAGAACTAATCCCCCCCCCCTTTTCCCCCCTGTCTTCTAACTCTATAGTCTGTTGCAGAAGATGAGGGATATTACACACAGTTGGTCTTAAAAAGTATAAATAATGTCATTTCTCAAGTTGAACACCCCACGAAGTATGTGTGTCGTACTTTTGTTTTTTCCCCTGCATCTTCTTCAGTTTAATTTCTTTATTTAGTCTTTATGATCAGGAGACACCTAGCCAAACATCCCACTGTTCTCAGCCAACCAAACTTCCCGTACGTACACGACGGGCAGATTAATAGATCTTCGTTCTTACTCTTTAAGCGCCATCAAACTTTCCTTCCTTTTCTTCTGATTACAAAGAGACAGTGCCTAAAGAAGAAGTTTGAGGATAACAATAATTCCGCCTCTAACAAGCACAACCACAAATGCACCCTACTAGACACTGCCTCTTATCCTCAGTTAAATCAAATTTACCATGTATATTTACCATAAGCGAAACTCCGGGACATGTGCTACGTGCGATTCCATCCCTTTTAAACCCTTCAATAGTGCGTTTTACATGGACAAATTTGTTTTTTAGTTTGTAAAATTGAATGCATATGATATTTCAAATTTAATATATGTTAATGACCACTTATCTGCTCTTGGTTACTTTGAGCACGTTTCTGAGCACCAATTGATGAGCCAGCACAGGTAACACAATTGACGAAAACTTGAACCCAAATTTTTGACATGCTAATGTATCATGCAGAAAATCGGTAGCTGGCTAGATTGACCATGCAAGGCGACGTAGAGATAAAACCAGGGGTCCACACCTATGTTGCTCAGTGGCCAATCTGTGCTCTGGCATGGTCATTACGTCGCGACAAAAATCACCGCCTTGCCGTAGGTAGTTACATAGAAGACCTCATGAACAAGGTTGAACTCGTTCACTTCAACCCCGAGACATTAAATTACAGCAGTGACCCTAATCTGGTTTTGGACCATCCTTACGCTCCGACAAACATCATGTTCTTCCCCTCCGAGGACGACGCAAATCCCGACATCATCGCCACCTCCGGGGACTACCTAAGACTGTGGGAAATACAAGATGATCGGATTGAGCTCAAGTCCCTCCTGAGTGGCAACAAAGTCAGAGATAACTCAGCCATAACCTCTTTCGACTGGGCAGAGTTTGACACGCGTCGTGTGGCTGCATCGAGCGTGGACGCCACATGCACCATATGGGATATCGAGAGGGAAGCTTTGGACACACAATTAGTGGCACATGACAAAGAAGTGTACGACATATCATGGGGTGGTTTTAACGTGTTTGCTTCGGTGTCTGGGGATGGTTCTGTGAGAGTTTTTGACTTGAGGGACAAAGAAAGATCGACCATAATATTTGAAAACCCAGTACAATATTGTCCGCTGTTACGCCTCGAATGGAATAAAGGGGATCCAAGGTTTATAGCTACGGTCGGAATGGACAGTAATAAAGTGGTAATAATGGATATTAGGCAACCAACCACACCGGTGATGGAACTAAATAAGCATAAGGGAAGTGTTAATGCTATATCGTGGTCCCCACACATGGGACGCCAACTCTGCTCCGGTGGCGATGATTCGAGAGCTCTGATTTGGGACGTGGTGGGAACTGTGCTTCAACCAAAGAATAATGGCGGTGATGATGTGAGGCCAGATTTGTGTTATGAATCAGCGGCTGAGATCAATCAAGTGCGATGGTCTCCGGCTCAGATGGACTGGATTGCCCTTGCTTTCATGAATAAGTTGCAGCTTTTGAAGGTGTAGAAATAGGCTATATATATGACCTATTTTCTCTGTGATATAAGATTTAAAAGGGGGAAAAAAAGGAGAGATTTCAATGAGAATGATCTCTAATACTCATCTTTTAAAATGTGAAAAGGAATTAGCCTTGGTTATTATGCCTGTCTAGTCTTCTCAAAGTGCTCACGCAAGATTACTCTTGTTTATCACCTGCCATTCAAGTCCAAACAGTTTCACGGTTATATATACTACCTCCGGTCATTAATATAAGATCCAGATTTTAGTTCAATTTGAACTAAAAACTAGATGGACAAGAGATAGTATTATTCAAAAGAATAGTCACACAACACTGTTTGTTTGTTTTGGGCAAGTTCTACAGCGAAATATCTATGTATGAAGACCATATAAGGAAACGCGCGCTTGTGTGATTACTGCGAAATTTATTACCAGCAGACACACTGGCTAGCGGCTTCGTAGATGATCCAGTCTATTATTTCCCTACTGAAACTGGCTGCCAGAATGTCATCAGAAGAAACACAGATTGATGTTGAAGCAATCTGAGATGAAACTTGACTTCATGTAACTGATGACAGAGACAGCAAAAGCATTATTTTCTGCATCATGCTCTGTATATATGTGATGGTACCGGACAATAGTAAAGGCATTTAAAACAAAATTAAACAAACAAATTCCCTCCAAACAAATGATGTAAAGAGAGCGAAGGCATCAAATATCATGCCCACTAAGAAAACTAGTACTATTCCTGGCCAGGGCACGAATCCTTTTGCCTTAAATTTGGAGCTGTGAAGAGGTTTTGCATTCTGAAGGCTAACCATCTTCACAGTGAAAATAAGAAGATTGCGGGCAACAAAAGCTTGATAGATCAGGCTTCATGTATAATAAAGGTCGATCAACAATGTTTCTCAACCACTGCTTCATATATCCTTGAAGATGCACACAATTTGAACATTTCAGACAACAAATACTAATTAAGACCCAATTTTTCCCCGGGTATATATGTGGAATGGATGATTCAGCTTCTCAAAATTGAGGCCTCAGTTATCAATTTCAGCGTTCACTTTACAAACGTTAAATTGGAAGAGACCGATCAGAGAAAACATTGCTAGCCCAACAGATTCACACATGCCCAACATCCAGCTGTTTTCCCCCGTGGCGGGGTGAAATCCTGGCCCATTGTCATCCATTACATGGATCATTGTTTGAGGACTTTTCAGGATAGCTGAAGACCAACATTTTCTTGAAAAAGAAGGAAAAAAGGATAATTTAAGACTTATATTCTTGGTAATTACAACATGATAAACAGCTGGGAACCAATCAAGCTTACCAAAAAGAGCATCTTCTAAAATATCATTGGAGTCCAAAAAGTATTAACCCTATCCAGAGCAATCCAAGTTCAGCAAGACGGTTCAACATTTAACCCCCTCCACGAACAAAGAGGGAAAAACGTCCTAGTAAGTATCCAATGCGCTATGCATGGTACGGGATCGGTTGGAAACCTCTGATCATCCCTTCCCGTCCTCTTTTCTCTTTTTTTTAGCCATTTATTAATATTTTAACAGTTCAAATTTAAATCTTTTTAAAACTATTATTAAAACATTAAATTATAAAATAAATAATGAATTACAAATTATATTAAAATTTAATTTTAATAATTTGCAAGTGCACTAAATGTTTTTAAAAAAATTTTATAAATAATTTGTAAAAAATTAAAATCAAAACCGATAAAATTTGTTAATCTAGCTAACAGTTAAAAAAAGAAGAGAGAGAGAGGAGAGATTCCAAACTGAGTACGATATTGATAAAAGTTTTGTCTGGCCATTCCATTCCTTGGGACGAAAAGAGAAAACATCCTTTTAAAAGTCATCGATGGTTTAGGGTATGTTTGGATTGGCGTCAGGCAAAACTGACTTCTAACCCAACTGATTTTTATAACTGAAGTTAGAGTAAAAGTCAGTTAGTATAATGCAATTTATGTTTGGATAGGTGCTTTTAAAAAGTCAGTTGAAAAAGTTAAAAGTTGTTTGGATGATTAATAGAAAAGTTAGTTTAGTTGTAAAATGACTGAAAAGGTCATGGAGTAATGTTTGAAATTTTATATTTTTAATGTGATAATAGTTTAAAAAAACACATAAAATTATTATGATAAAATATAAATGGTTTATTTGTGAAATTATAGAATAAAAATATTTTTTACGGAGAAAAAATTGAAAATACATTATAGATAATTAATTAAATATACATAATAGACAAACATGAATATAAATTAAAATTTATTTGATCTTTAATTAAAGTAAATGTAATCACATAACTAATTAGATTGTAAGTTTTACACAATTTTCCCATAAGTCAGTTAGAAAAGTTGATCCAAGTTGATCCAGATTGCGTTAGATAAGTCAGTTAGAAAAGTTATTTTTTTTCATAAGTTAGTTAGAAAAGAAGCCCTATCCAAACAATCTTCTGAACTACAATAAGTCATAAACCTCAGTTTCACGCTTTCTCGTATGTTTTTGCCATTTGTAATGGCAATCCAAACGAGCCCTTACTTGTTCATGGTCAAGGGAAGTGTGTGTCAAAATCAATCAAGAGCTAGGAATCTATGAATTTTAACGGGTCAGGTATACGACTGGCCCCAGGCACATGGCTAGCCTAAATATACGACTGGCCCCACGCATATGGCTAGCCTATAATGACTCTCAAATATAATGTTCTTCTTTCTTTCTGTGTTTTTTGGGATTTGAATTTTAAGGCCAATAGATCTACGCTAATTCAATTTCTGCGATACTGTTTTACATGGATGAGGAAAGGGACAAGAGTTAACGACATTATTGCCGGTGTTCAGTGTATATGATTAAGCATCCACTTAATTAAATTTATCTTCTTAAGATACCACCATCATTTTTTTTTTTCCTGGTGAAATCGTCTAGCGCAGGGAAATAGATAGGGCTACTCTCGTAGAGTTACACTCGTCTGAAACCTCTCATGTATAATTAAATTCCCCTCTGTCCTTTTTATATGTATAATTCTTATTGATCAATTATGAAGGAATACCTTTTAATAGCAAAATCTGTGGCCTTCTCTCTCCTTTCCGTCGACAAACGTGTCCCGCCATAACTCTGGTGTATAACTTTTTTTTTTTTGGCCCAAAGACGGTCAATTTTATTAATCTCAAAAAATTAGTACAAACACCCATACCCAAAAGGCTAAAGCCCAAGTACAACCTAACAAAAAGCAAGGAAATACAAACTCCAATTCAAAGAGGGCGAAGAAGAAAAGCAAGTAAACCAAAACCAACCAAAACTCAGCCAATGCCAGTATCCTCAGTAGCATCTTCTTCCCAACTCCTCAGATCCTTCTGCAACAACACGTTCAGAGAGGTTGGTGGCTCATAGAGCCATCCTTCCCGTACCCATCCCCTCATAACCTCAACTGCTAAAAGGTCAGCAGCACTATTACCAGCTCGAGTTACTAGTAACAGCCCAACACTTCCTCTTTCCTCAGCCTTTAACAGATGAACATACTTCTGAACAATGTCCACACACTGCCAGTCACATCCCCTTGTTTCCCCTTTTGTCACTTTATTAAAGAAGTCCTGGCAATCAGTTTCAATGAACACCTTCCCTTCCCACCAAAGGTCCCCACACTCTAGTGCTTCCAAAAGTGCAAGACTTTCTGCAAGAAAAGCAGACTTGGCTTCCACGTACCCTTCTCCCCACGCCCCCACGAACCTTCCATTCCAATTAATCCCTCCCCAAAACCCAGTTGCAACCACTTTGTTTTCTCGACAGAAAGATGCATCCACATTAATTTTCACAGCACCGCACATAGGTTTCTGCCACTTCAGCTGTCTAATACTCCCAACATTGGATCCCTAGCCAGCCTCTTCCTCCTCTCCATAGCCTCCCAGTAATCCCTAGCTAATCTCAAAGAACCCGCGATACAACTAACAGCCTTAACATCAGTATGTTAAAAAATGAACTTATGTCTCGCCTTCCAGATCCCCCGACACAGACTAGCAATGCTCGTTAGACTTGCTTCCAATGCCCAACCATTCCTCTAGCCACTTGTCAAACCTGAAGCTGCCATGGCTCTTAACTCTCAGTGAAAGAGGGGAGCCAAACCAACAGTGACTAGCCCAGGGGCAGAAGAAAAGAGGATGTTCAACAGTTTCAGACTGCACTTGACAAATCTCACGCCTTGGACTTGCGAAGCACTTTCTCTTATACCAAGCATCCTTGGTAGCTAAGGCACCACTCGCAGCCCTCCATATCTCTAGGGTATAACTTGCTCCCGCCATTTTTATGAATAAAGGAGTAATTAATTTTTAAAAAATTAATTAAGATCCGATTGATTAATTTAAAGATATAAAAAAGTTACTAAATACTTAATTATAACGTATATTACATAACCTCTTTAAAATATTTATGTATATTGTTGGATTATATATCAATTTATGAGTGAGTTAAATTAATTTTAAAAAAATAATAAATTTAAATATTTCAAAGTAATTTAATAATTTTTTAATCTTCCAAAATTGGTTAACCGAGTTTTGTATTAAGTTGTGAAAGGAGGACATACATTAGATTTGGCATGGGAAAAATCATTATTTTTGTTTTCCAAAATCACCCGGGGGGCTTGCTTTCTGGAAGCGGCGTGTGCACGTGGAAATTTCTATATATCATGTATTAGTCAAACAAGAGTGTGGGTAGACATTGAGAGCCCGAAGTCATTCATCAGTCAATATATACATATTAAAAAAGGAATCAAATAAACAATTTATAAAAGCTCTAACATTCATGATTTATGTATATAAATGCATTCAGCCCTAACAAACCATCGTCTAAGTTTAGAAACTCTGACTATCGATTGAAGTTATTAATTATTTAATTAATACTCTTTTTTAGACCTCGGCTTTCTTGCTATCTTCAACTTCAATCAATTGGGGTTCAACCCTTTAATCATACGCACTTTCCAATACTTTTGTCAAACTTTAGTCTTTTTCGTTTTCTAACTATGGTTCGCTGATTCAACTTGTAATTATAGCCTTAATTAGAATTTGCGCTGGTCAATTAAATATTTTTTTAATATCCTGTAAGGAGCTTGCAGCTGATGAAAATCAAAATTGAGTTGCACTACCATTTGTTAATGTATTTACATGTCGATGAATAAAAAACTATCAATCATAAGTATTCTTTCCATGCAAGAGATAGAGGAGACGTGTGGGTCCAGAATATGTCATAAATATCACCTCTGATTACATTTTCTCTGTGCTTAACATAATGCAGCGCATGATAGAACTTAAAGCTGAGAAGATCATTCCAAGACTGAGCAGCAAACTTCTTCCAAGATTCGCTGGGGGGAAATAGAGACAAACATCAACGAATGGACGGAATAATGGAGAAAACTGTGCGTGGAAATCAAGCTCGGACAATGTAAAATTCCACGACGTTAATGGATTGAAAAAAGGGACGACATGTTCTATCAGATAGTAAGCACAGCAATTATAAAAGGGAAAAGCAAACACGTGCAAAAGCGAATGAACTGTAATGCGCAGTTTTTGAGAAAAAGGAAAAATAAAAGGGAGAATTATCAAAAGTCTTAAGAAAAAAAATTAATTATTAAAAAATCTCAATAACAAGTGAATTTATTGTCATTTCTTGTTCTAAAATTTGTCATTGCTTACTCTTCCCTTGCCGACAGATTTAAAGATAATTAAATATCATTATTAGGACCTGATTGTAATTCTTTCAAAATAAAAGGACAATGGAACATGAATTTGTAAGGACAAAGACGGTGGAGTCTATAATATAAGTCTTGCGGAAGGAGAGTGGAGGTTTCCAACAGTCACAGCAGAGACAGTGGCGTAATTACTGAGAAATTCCTTTGAAACGAAAGGACACTTGTGTTGTTTTGGTTTTTTCTTATAGTCACAGGCATGGAGGAGTTTTGGTCATGCGGCTCATCATTTCTCTTCCGGCGGGACAAAAATATAATACATCTTTTTTTTTAATACTGCATCCGGTTCTTAATATAAGAGTTTTTTCTTATTTTATTTTATTTTTAAATATGAGACTCAATCTACCAATCTCTCATATTTATTCATTTTTTAAAGTAGTCGTTATAATAATAATAGTTTTAACCAATATATTTGATTGACAAGGATGTTTTAAGAAAGATAACGCCTATTTATTACAAGTAACTAATTTAACTAGCTTCATTAATCTACTCAAATTAGTCAACTAGCTCTTACAGAAGCTTGTTTGACTTTTATTTTAGTCATAAATATAATATCTCAGTCTACTTTGTTTTTTATATTTATTTATTTTCAAAATAGTCATCATAGTAGTTACACGTATTAAAGATTCTATTAAATTGTAGTCGTAGCTAATATACATAATTAACAATGACATTTTATAAAAGACAATGCCTATTTATTATAAATAACTAATTTAATAAAATTTTTAACCTGTTCAAATTAATAAATTGGCTTCAAGAAAGGTGGTATTTGTCAACTAACGCGCAAACATATGTACATGCGGACAAAGTGACTCCAACGAGTATGCGCGACTTCCTGGTTGACCAGTCCCCGCCAACAATTACGTACTAAACTTCTGAGTGTCAGTACATGTAATTGCTGAGCAATTGAACACAACTTAGACCTGTCCTAGCTATCACCCCTCGTTTCTTCATCTTTTCAGGCAACTTTCCTAAGTACCTCTTTACTCTAGTGTTTCCGAAGCCACGCGGGATTATTATTACGGGAGAATTACATTCAAGTCCCACACAAGAGAAATAATCACTACAAATTTCAGTAACAACCTGAGCAGCTTGAAATAACAAGTCTTACAGTGAGAATGACAACCTCTGGGACTTGTTTTTTTTAATTACTTGGGACCTCATTGTAATTCTCCTATTACTTATATACTCTGACACACACACCTTTTGCAGATCAAGATACGCGTCGAAGTTTCACTTACAATCAGCCTAACAAATTGTCTAACCCTCTCTAATTGATTTTTTTTAGGTTTTAGGTTAAAATATCTTCTTATTAGAGATAATTTGGGACACAGTCATATACTAATACTCCTCCGGTCCTTAATATAAGACCCATTTAACTAATTTGATTAGATTAAGGAAGTTAGGTAAGTTAGTTAATTATAAGAAAAGTGACATATTTTTCCTAAAACACCATAATCATTTCTTAAGACCCTCTCTCCCTCTTCTACTTGATTATAGTTGAGGGAGTATCCATAGGGGTAATTTAGAGAAAATGATAAATATAAAAAATGGGTATTATATTTAGGACCAAAACCAACTAAAGAATTGGGTCCTATATCAAAGACCGGAGGAGTAACTTAAATTAATGTTTATAATGTTTCAATTCTTGGTAAAATTCTCTTAAACGTACGAATTACATGGTATTAATTCATCCTTTGAAGCCTTAGCGTCATCCCCACATATTATGTACATAACTCGCCCCAAAACGAACCTTATAGGTTGTTCTTGTTTCATCAAAGGCGGAACAAGTTTCCATATTCATTGCAATGATGAGCACTGTAATACTCGTTGATATAACAAAATTTACAACATTCAAGTACAGTTTAATGGTTAAATCTAAAATTTTCAACTAATAATTTTAAGTAAAAAATTATTTTTTTTTAAAAAACTCAAGAGATGATGAACCAATTTCAGTGCTTATCACAAGTTACAAGCACTATGATACATATCGAATCTCAACCATTCAAATTTAATCTAAATAGCAAAAAATTAATATTTAGCATTTTTGTTTTTTAAAAAATACTTTTTCAATAAGCACTTTATCTAAAATAAATGTGATATCTTAACTGTAAGTTTTTTTAAAAATAAATTTTTTATTTAAAAATTACTAGTTGAATATTTTAAATCTAAATCATTAAAACTATATATTAATGGTTTAGATTTCATCGCAGCGATAAACATCACAATACTCGTTAATACGATTAGCATCAAAACTAGCTCATAAAAGATTGCATTTTTTTGGGATCATGTACCACCCAATTCCCATGAAAAGCTGGGTGCGCGCGATTGAAATGGCAAAACAATCATGATTATGCGAAGCATATTAATAATTAATACCCATGAAAATAAGGGTAAACCATTGCTGTTCATATAGACTTATAGTGGTCTTTTGTTTCCAATACGGGAATGAAATGTCAAGCTCGACGGCAGAGAGAGAGAAGGGGTGCCTCCTTTGGCGATAAATATGCAGTCTCTTCATTTCTCAGTACCCTGCGGCTAAAGGTAGAGTTCCGTAATTTTTAATTCCAGCCTTTACTGTGTCTTTAAAGCCAGGATCAAGGATACGAAATAGCTAACCAAATATGTGCGTGAATTCTTACACAGGACGCTCAGATACACTTTCACAGCAAGTGATACTACTTCCGGCCTTTAATATAAGAGTTACTACTTCTGATCTTTAATATAAGACCTTATTTAATTTTTATTTTAGTTCTAAATATAAGATCCCAACCACTCATATTTCTACATTATTTTCCAATATAATCCTTTTAACAATAGTAGTTTTAGCCAATATACTTGATTAGCAATGATATTTTAGGAAAAAACAATACTAATTTATTACAAATAACTAACTTAACTTATTTTCTTGATCTCCTCAAATTAGTTAACTAGTTCTTATAATTAGGACCGAAGGTAGTATTTGACATACAATTTGGTTTTGAAATAAAATCCTCCAATTCATTTTATCTCTTATATCTATCTATTTTTTTAAGATATTTTATTGTAATAGTATAAATGTTAAATATTTTATCAAATAGTAGTTCTAGCTAATACATATAATTGGCAAGGGTATTTTAGAGGAGACACAATATTTATTTACTACAAATAACTAATAAGTAATTTTTTTAATCTACTTAAATCAGTTAACCAGCTCATATATTAAAAATCGAAGTGAAGAAGTATTTTTTCAATGATCAATCGTTTACAAATTTAACATACATATATTATAACAAAACAATATATATTGAATATGATGAATAAGTACTGTACAAAATATATTACATAAATAATTCAAATAAACAAAATACTCTTCTGGTTCTAAATATCAGAGCTAGTTAGAAAGTTTATTTTAGTCCAAAATGTAATACCTTAATGATAATTTTATCTCTCATATAATTTTTTTCCCAAACTAACTTACCTCAGTCACAATTCGTGTATATATAATGTTACATAAGAATATTTTAGAAATACCATATCATATTTGTCAGAATTGAGTAATTTTTAATTTTTTTAATCTATCCAAATTAATTAAATAGCTTTTATATTAATTACCAGATCAGGGGAGTAACATTTTAAATCAGTATTAATATCAATATAAATATAAATTATAAAATTTATATATCTAATCGAGTTGACAAAAAAAAGTACTATGTAATCAGAAATAAGGAATACTGATCACAAATTGTGATCCTGGGTTATCAATTTCACTGCTGACTTCAAAGAAAATAAAAAGAAATGTCTTCCAAAAACTTCTAAATTCGCTTGGAATGGAAATCTACCGATTATAAGCAGCGAGAGAAGGATTTATTAGACAGCCAGAGAGGGGGGGGGGGGGGGGGGAGAGAGAGAGAGAGAGAGCAGGCAAAGCTTTCCGATAAGTGGTCAGAAACCGAGATGAACCATAATGTTAAACGTCTCTACAAAACTTGATAAAATAATCAGCGATATAATTAATTAACTGAAAAATAAATAAGAGATAAATTAAAGCGGGGATAGATATGGCTCAGAAACATCCATGAGCAAGAGGAGAAATTTCTAGTCGGATCTATAGACATCATGACGTGAGAACTTATTGTAGAAGATAAGGTGGCGATATTATATATATTCCGATCCAGTGTTTGAATTTCCTGGGTTCACACGGTTGAGTCATGCTTGGCAAGAAACCAGTCAATTTGCTCCCAATCCAACAAGGGCTCATCCTCCAAATCCATTTGACCCGTCGTCGCTTCCCCACTATGCGAAGCTTGGCCATGGTCTCCTGATGATGAACTCTCTGGAGAGCTTGCGGTCCCTATGGGTCTACTCGATGAACCCGATGCTGGGTTTTGAACTTGTTGATGAAACGTCGCTGAGCTAGAGCCCTCATTAGCATCCATCTCCCTCATCGGAGGTGGCCTTCTATCAAACGCTCGCAGGCACTTTGATTTCTTGTACACCCTGCATAAACTGTATTCCTGCCTTAACTGCAAATCAAAGCAGCGCTTCTATGTATGTTAGATAATTATCTTAATTGGTGGGTATTATTGCAGCTAGGTAGCTTCCTAATGGTACTGTTAAGAAAAAACTGCACTACTAGTGGTACATCAAATATTCAAGGCTTTGAACCAAATCTAGGGCTTCTATTGGACGCATGTACAGATGTAGCTTCCAAGAACAAAGCGGATCAATTGATTGGATTTGGAGTTAAAAATGGTTGTGAAAAGATGGTAAATGAAATATTTTTACGCATGAAAGAAATTTTGACCTGATTGATTTTCGGCTGGGAAGTCGAAGAAGAGAAGAAGGTACGTAGGGTATTTATACATATGAATGGATATTGATTCTTACCAGAGGAGATGGGCGAGTTGAGGATGGCTGGCCTCCGATGGCCTTGTACTCGTTCATCTTCCAATCGGTTTTGCGGCCGTTGGGGGCTCTTCCGTTGTAGAAAACCATGGTTCTTTTCATGCCGATGACGCGATTCTCAGAGGAATAGACATGGTTAGGAGAGCCAGTGGCCTTCCAGTAGCCTGTTGTTGTGAGTCGTCTTGGTCTTCCTCCGCGAGCTTCGCTTTCTTGCCTCGGAATGAAGAAGAACCACTGCTCCGTGTCTCTCAGGCTCGCCTCTCCCGACACCTCTGAAACGCCCAATCTCAATTATTTGTAAGCACAATCTGATCAACTATATATTAATTAAGAGCCATATACACATACATATGCAGATCTGGGAACTAAAACGTTGTTTTTATGTATTTGGAATAAGGATCGAGGTCGTTGTCGACAGAAAAACTCCATTCATCATCTTCTCTGTTGAGTGAATTAATCTCATAGCCAAATGATCCGGTTTTATGGATATACACGTACGAGTGAAGACCAGCATAACATCAATGTATTTTAAAACCAACTAACTAATATGACACGACCAAGGCTCTGATGATGATCAAATTAAAATGGTGTAATGTCCGCATGGCTATAATTTTATGCAGAACCATATATAGAACAATCAAAGTAATTGGAGTCTAGCTAGCTTAACTAGCTATGTCCCCTTCTGATTGGAGAAAGCAAAGAGAACAGAAGAGAGATTTGGAGAGTAGGAATAGGAGAATTTTACGTGGGAGATCCCAAGGATTATATTCATAAATATCAAGCACAGGTATGACCCGGTTGATGTCCTCCCTCTGATCTCCTTCGAGCTTTCTTCGCAAATAGAAGGTAATCAGTTCCTCTTCAGTTGGGTAGAACCGATATCCCGGTGCCATGTTTTCCATCTCTCCCGATCGATCTCCGATCTCTGCTATACACAAACCACAAGAGAATACGAATTCGCAGTAATTAAGCTTCGCCGCTTTGTTTGGCCTTATATAGATAACGTTAAATCAGCAAGGTTAATATCTGCGTTTGAAGCTGGGCAGCTTCGTTAGTGCAGTAATCACAACAAATTCTGATGCGAACGGTTGTGATTTATATAAGAAAGGCTTCGTCTCCACAGTCTGCACACTAAGTTGTTTCGGCGAATGACTGAGGAAGTTAGGCGAGGCTGCAAAAAGCGTAACCGCATACGAGTGAAATTAGAAAATTTCTCTCCTTTATCTATCCCAGTCTCTCTAGAAAAAGATAAAATATATATTCCATTTTTAATATATATATTTAAATATAAGGTCCTTACAGTTGGCAGAAATTTTTTTTTTGAGGTTTTTATTGTCATAGATGGTTACTAAACATTGTCCAATACAAAAAATTTCGCACGAGGTCAAGGTAGCCCTACCGCCCCTACAGAACACTCCATTATTTCATACTGATCGAAAATTGATTTTAATTTTAAATATAACACCGTATCTCTTATATTTACTATTTTTTAAATTAATTCATAAAACTTATAAACTATTATGTAATTTAATATCACATAGCCACTACGTTGAGAAGTAGAGGAATATTTTATAATTACAAGTTTTAAATATTATGGAAATAAAATTTTTCACAAAAGTGGCAAAAATTTATGATCTTTTCTGACAGAACACAAACGCGATAATTAAATTCTGGTTATGATAAATAAAGAACTGATCTCTTGGTACGGGTTACATGAATCACGCAACAAGGAGGCTCAAATCCAAGAGGACGAGGGTATATAATTATAGGGTGTCATGGTTCTATTAATTAATTTGGCATCCTATAAGGCCTGGCCACTGTAGTTTTAAATATTGGTCCAAGTAGGTAATGATAAAGGTTATGGGATTCTCCGGTCAAGCCATATTGACGGACTCGTTTGACATTTCAACGTTTCGTTCGGCCCATGGAAAACTGTAACGGTGCTTTCAAATTGCAACTTAACTTAGATTTATGTGAACGGGAGACCAATAGGCAAGAATCAGGGAGATTTCAAGTCTTTTAATTAGAACATCAAAGCTCATGTTTTAATCAATTATATGGTCCTTACGTCGGGAGTTTTGGATAATGGTGTGAACAAGTGTGAATTTTGGTCTGTCTTGCTCATGACATGGTAGCTGGTGCATTGGATGTAATAATTAGAAGTTTTGCTTCATGCAAAAACTAGTCTTAAATACCATATCTAGTTTGTTGTGTAACTAATGTAATAAATTAAATCTTATATTTAGGATAGAATACATGGAGAATTATAATCAGTTCTAATGATGGAATTTAATACCCTAAAATCCATCAACAGGTGAAGAGTAAGCAATGACAAGTTTTAGAATAGAGAACAATGACAGGTTGGTTAGTTGTTATTAGAATTTTTTAGTAATTAAATTTCTTTCTTTGGACTTCTTAGTAATTCTCCTTATAATATAATACTATTTATAAATAATTAACAACAATAGCTAGCTATATATATTTTCCTTCGGTGCTTAATATAATACCTATTTAACTAATTTGATTAGATTAAGAAAGTTAAGTAAATTAGTTAACTACATAATAAATATAATATGTTTTTCCTAAAATACCTTAATCATCTTTATTATATTATCCCTCCCTCTCATATTTGACCATAGTTGAGAAAGTATCAATATAGGTGATTTAAAAAAATAATAAATATAAAAATATGTCTTATATTTAGAACTAAAATCAACTTTATAATTAGGTCTTATATTAAATATAAAAGGAATAACAGGAACAAAAACAGTTCCTGATTTACAAGCCATCATTATGATGAGGCGGACGTAAGTAAATTGTCAAACAGGTGACCGTCTAATGCCTGTAAAACACGTGTGGTCGATCTTCGATGTTGAATTTGTTAGAACATATAAAAAATACGTATATTCACACACACTTAATAAATTGACTGCTCATATGATTTGACTCCACCGTGAATGACTCTCTGGCTCGTCGCTACAGGACGATAAAATAACGGGTCTTTGAATGCAACTTGCAACTTGCAACTTGTTCCCGTTTGAATTCTCTTTTTAAGCTCATGCTTCTCACTAATTTGAAATGCAAAGGGACAAATAAACGGGAAAGGTCGGCATTTTGATTCAGCGATGTAGAGGAAGACTCTGGGTATGCGTTCTCGTTATATTAATAGTCAAACTTAACGACGAATTATGATTCAAGATAGAAATACTACGAAATAAAAATTTTTAGCATATAAGAGTAAAAAAAAAAAAACTTTCAGGGTTTGAGTACTTTTTAATATACATATTTTTGGAGTATTTAAGCACTTTATTCCTTATATTAATTGATTGGTGCTGAATGGTAGAACGCGCACAGCAATTATAATGATCGATAGTCCTCCCTAATTGTGCTAACCAAACAGCACGTAGTCTTAGAGTTGACGACGACGAGGCGTGCCGAATCACTTGATCCACCCCAACATTAGATATTATTGGGGCAGGTACTTCTGAGAAAACTTAGGGTGTGTTTGGTATGAGAGGAGGGGAGGGGAGGGGAGGGGAGGGATTTTAATCATTTTCTCTTGTTTGGCAACACACAAATTTTAGGAGGGGAGGGAAAATTTTTTAAAATTTCCCCTCCCCTCCCCTCCTCAACCTCCCCTCCAAAATTGGGAGGATTTGGAGGGAAAAGGCAATATTTTGTCATATTATGACCATTATGTTCATATTTTGTCATGTTGTGACCATTATGTTTATATTTTGTCATGTTGTGACTATTATGCCCACGCCTTAAATAAAATAAGAGCAAAATTGTCCATATTAAAATATTTTTCCCTCCCCTCCCCTCTTTTTTATAAATCCAAACAAAGTGATATTAAAATCCTTCCACTCCCCTCACCTCCCCTTCCCTCCATTAAAATCCCTCCCCTCCCCTTCCTCTCATTGAGCCAAACATACCCTTAGACAACTGAATTAATTCCATCATTTTTTCCTTGAATGTCAGTTCAAAATTGCACCAAATGACCAGTGCTTTGAATGATACTGAGAAGCCTTGCTATAAGAAGTCAGAAGTCATAACTATATGTGCCAAACAGCCGCTCTTCCAACTATGTGCCTAGGTTCTTTGCTGCAAGGGAGTCTCTGACGTCTTCAAAATTAGCTAGGGATACTGTTGTCTATTCATATTTTAAAACTTTCATTCCGTTTAATCAAATCCACTTTTTCATTAAAAAAGAAAATGCATCATAATTCCATTTATTTCTTGTCGCTCATCACGCATAATTTTAAATTAAAACCTCATTCTGTTATTTCCTCATTCTTGTGCTCATTTGTTTTTCATTCCAATGTTCCGGAGGAAAAAAAATCCATAATACCAGATAGGTATCGATGACGTAATGAATGACGCACAATTTGGAAAACATATAACTGAATAAACTCCCTTGTCAATCCTAATTACTCCTCTGGTTCTTAATATAAGACCCATTTAACTAATTTGATTAAATTAAGGAAGTTAGATAAGTTAATTAATTATAAGAAAAGTGACACATTTTTCCTAAAACACCATAACCATCTTTCTTAATACCTCTTCTCCCTCTTCCACTTGATTATGGTTGAGGGAGTATCCATAGGGGTAATTTAGAGAAAATCGATAAATATGAAAAATAGGTCTTATATTTAGGACCAAAACCAACTCAAGAATTGGGTCCTACATTAAGGACCGGAGGAGTAATTATATAGGGGAAGGGAGTTTTCAATTGTCCATGAAAAAAAAAAACAATTTCAAATCATGAAGTCCATGATACATAACTACCACTAAGTCCATTCAGACCAAGAAATACCGTGATTTGTCTATTATTTTTTTTCAAAACATTAGAATATTCATTGTAATCAATCGTCCACAGCTAATTAGCACATGCCTAAAGCGTATGGTCAAATTGGACAATTACATTCTTGGCATTTATGCACGCACTTGCTTTAAAATTCCAAATGAAATTAACTGACAAAACCCTTTTTCTTAATTCCCTCCCCCCCCCTCCCCCTCAACGTAGTTAACATTAATAGAATTCGCAGAACGGCAACAGAAAGTTGCCGAGTACAATGTATCCTAAATAAAGATACCACTAATTAATACATAAGCCACATGCTGGCCATTTATATATATAAATATTTATACGTGTGTATATATAATATATTAGCGACGTGAAAAACTGATCAAAAGGGGGTAAAAACGCATATACTTATCTGATCCTTAATATAAGACCCATTTAACTAATTTGATTAGATTAAGAAAGTTAAATAAGTTAGTTAATTATAAAAAATATGACACGTTTTTCCTAAAACACCATAATCATCTTTCTTAATACTCCCTCTCCGTCTTTTACTTGATTATGATTGAGAGAGTATCCATAGGGGTAATTTAGAGAAAATTGATAAATATGATAAATGAGTATTATACTTAGAACCAAAATCAACTCAATAATTGGGTTCTATATTAAGGACCGAAGGAGTAATTAAAATCCTGTTGCAGCAGGGAAGACAGTCAACGTCTACTAGATTTTCGATGCGGGTAAGCAAAGTTAATATTTTCTTCATTTAGTTAGGTTCATGTTAATTAAGAACGTGATGTTTTAGAAGACTCTGAGCAATGCTAATTTAGGCCAAAAATGGGCTTGCGACTCTGATGATTCCGAAGAAATTTTAACCATTTGTATGTTCACATTTGATTCCCTTCAAACTTCTCTCTTTTGTAAACTACAAGGTAAACTATATTCTGTGTGGTCTTTAATATAAGAGCTAATTGACTGATTTGAATATATTAAAAAAATTAGTTAAATTAGTTATTTGTAATAAATAAATGTTGTTTTTCCTAAAATATCATTACTAATCAAGTGTATTGGCTAGAATTATTATTATTGCAAGGACCATCTTAAAAAAAAATGGATAAATATGAAAACTGAAGTGAATTAAGATTTTATATTTATGACTAAAATAAAAGTTAAACAAATTTTTATATCAAGTAGGTAATATAAAACAGGGTCATTGTCCACCATTGGAATATCAGGAGCCTCGAGTTTTCAATATCATTATCCTACGTCATTTTTATTCTTGACTTTTTTGTATGTAAAAGTTGAAGACCTTTATATTTCATTCAGAT